ATTATGGAAGGTAGGAACAGTTCACATTCTACACAATTTATCTGTTCATGAAGTCATCAATTGAGGTAACATCACAGTCCAAGTAATCAATTCGTCCCTATCAATTATTACGTTCCAATTTAATGAAAAATTGGGCAATTTGCTGTTTTTACTTATCTGAATATTTTCTTGTGTAGATGTTCTGTCCTTAGGACTTTGCAGAGCTGTACTTCAACTACATTTCCTCATGGGAGCCATTCTCTACAGGACTATTTAGAGCACAGGTACAAAACAATGGAAATCTGCTCACGTCATTCCAATTTTCAAAAAGGGCCAAAAAGATCTAGTCAAGAATTATCGTCCTATCTCTCTTACACGTCTGCTTGTAAAGACCCTGGAAAGACTGATATACAATCGCATTTTTGGATTTATTGAATAAAATAATCTACTTAGTAGTCATCAGTATGGCTTTCGTCCTGGCTACTCCTGTACCTCTCAGTTGATACACCTTTTCCATGAATGGGCCAAAGCACTAGATAAACGCCTCTCCACCGATGTAATATTTCTAGACTTCGAAAAGGCCTTCGACTCAGTTCCTCACGACTGTCTTCTACTCAAACTAGAACGCTTTGGCATTACCAGCTCTCTACTTTCCTGGCTATCCAATTTTCTCCAAGGTCGATCTCAACGTGTTGTAATCGAGGGCTGTCAATCTGACTGGGCGCCTGTCACATCTGGTGTTCCACAGGGGAGCATTCTTGCCCCCCTGTTATTTATCCTATACGTCAATGACACCCCTGAATCTTTATCAAGTCCTGCAGAAATGTTTGCTGATGATATGTTAATCTATAATTACTGTCCTCCATCTCAAACGTCCATCACTGCCCAGGAGAGTCTAGATAAAGTCACTGGCTCGTGGCTTTTAGGAACAAATGCTGACAAATGCGAGTCCATGAAGTTTACCAGGGCTAGAACTCCCTCTCCGTGCAACTATACTATTAATAGCAAGCTACTTACCCAAGTACCTACACACAAACATCTTGGGGTGGTTCTTTCCAGTGATTTATCTTGGAAACCCCACGTACTGTCTGTTGTTGCAAGATCGAACAGATTATTGGGCTTACTCAAGCGGACATTTGGATCTCACTCTAAGGCTCTATTTACTGGTTATAGATCCATGATCCGTCCAATACTCGAGTACGCTTGTCAAGCGTGGAATCCTCACCAAGCATATCTGATTGAAAAACTTGAATGCGTGCAAAGGAACGTTACAAGATGGATCATTGGTAAAGACACTCCGTATGAAGACCGACTGAAATCCTTGAAACTAGTGACACTAGTTCAGCGCAGAGAGTTTCTTAGTTTGGTTCAGCTTTTTAAGTTCATTAAAGGACACTCTTCTGTAAACACTAATAATTACATATCCTTCAGTAACAAGCAATCAAGAAAAAGTCATCAGTTTAAACTATATAAACCATTTTGCCGTACAGACATCTTTAAGTACTCTTTTCGGCACAGACATATCGACACATGGAACAGTTTACCGTCATCAGTAGTTGAACTTGACTCAATTAATGCTTTTAAGAAAGCTCTTAAATCAACATTTTTTAACTAGGCCTATAACTAAAAATTAAATTATTCTATGTATTATACATTATTTAACTATAATTTTAAACAAAATTTTTATCTTAGATATGTCTTCTCTACTTAGATTTTATATTTAGATAGATATATGCCTGTATGTAAAATGTTTCAGTATGTATATGTATATTGCATAGTATTAAATTTTTATATCTGGGGTATAGTTTACAATGAGGATTAAGTTCCTCCCTTCTATAACCCTTTTTTAATAATAATATGTTATATATTATTATTTAGATAAAGTTGTTATATAAAAAAAATCCATTAAGACTCGACACTTAATGTATTTCTAATTTATATGTACGTGTGTTAAATCCACAGATGAAAAAGTGGATCACTAGTTTTACCAAACTTGGAGACAAAAGAACAGGCTACAGAAAAGAGCAAGTCACCTGTTACATGCATGCGGCAGCATATCTTATTCCCCAAATGGTAGAAAAAAATGACAATATAAAACAGTTCAGTGGTCAAGGTTAAAAAATCTTGAAAAACTGTTTACTTCTCTAACAGTTGTTTAAATAGCCTTGAAATTTATGTATAATTATACATTTACTTGCCTGACATCATGTTACCCTTTGCTGCAACTTATTGTTTTAGCGGTTGAAAAAAGTAACGATGATGCATGACGGATTGTGCAGAGGAAGAGCAACCATAATGATGACCCAGCTGAGGTGTTACACACTGAGTATAGATTGGAAGCTCTGGAGCACAGAGAGTGACAGCATCGCAAATACACAAAAAGGGCCTAGGAATACTGGGATGAACTTATCAAAACAAAAAGGGGAGAAAAGAGGGGAATCAGCTACTTAAAGAATACGACTCCATCAGCAGTCTCCTCAACTAAAGAAAATCTATTTAAAAAAGCTAAAAAATCTAAAGAAAAACTAAGAAAACCTCAAAAAAAGAAAAAAAAAAGTGGAATACTTAAATTTTGAAAATGCAAATTTTCACATTTGCTTTCAAAGTAGAATGTACACTTACTAAAGCAGCATGGGTGCAACGTATGTGTACGAAGATATGTGTTCACTTACAAAACAATGTGCCATTAACAGATTCGAATGTACACTTTTAAATATTTATGTATATAGCCATCAAAATTAAAATTTACAAAGTTGAATGTACACTTACAAAGATGTACAATAACAAAGTTACAATTTATAAAACTGAATGTACACTTATAAGGATGTATGTACACTTAGAAAGTTTTATGTGCCTTTTTAATACAGAGTTGAATGAACAATTGTGACAAAGCTGTACATAGAAAGATGAATGCACACTTGAAGTTGAATTTACTTACTGACCACTTAAACTTGTTATATCCATCTCAAAATTTGTAAAGAATATTTTCCACTCTCAACCTTGAATAGCCTTTATTTAATCTGAAAATAGCATATCAGGAGAATATTTCTTTTATTTTGCAATCATGTGTATGATTACTGACCTAATAATATACATGGAAAAATTACTCAGGTCTGATTGGTTAACATAAATGCAGTTTTCAGGTAATTCAGTGCAGAAGAGAGTTAATTCAGTGCAGAAGAGGGTTAATTCAGTGCAAAGCAAGTAACAAATCAGACATTCTGATTGGTCAATAATCAAAGAAACTCACAGATAGCCAATCAAATGCGAGCCTTGGATGTCGCAACAAAATTTGAAATTTGCGAGCGAGACAATGGCCGTCGCTTTAAGTAGGTTTTCTTTCGCCACCGCAGCTGAAAAACAGCTCAAACAACAAAACCGCTGTAAAAAATGCGACTTTAACTGCGACTGTTACTGCGACTTTTACTGCTACTTCTTCTGTTACTTTTACTGCTGCTTTTACTGCGACTTTTACTGCCACTTTTTCTGCTACTTTAACTGCTACTTTTACTGCGACTTTTCCTGCTGCTTTTACTGCTGTTTTTACTGCTGCTTTTACTGCTACTTTTACTGCTGTTTTTACTGCTGCTTTTACTGCTACTTTTCCTGCTACTTTTACTGCTGTTTTTACTGCTGCTTTTACTGCTACTTTTACTGCTACTTTGACTCCTACTTTTATTGCAACTTTTCATGCTGCTTTTACTGCGAGTTTTGCAGCGACTTTTACTGTTACATTTAGTGCGACTTTAACTGCGACTCTTACTGCGACTTTTACTGATACTTGTTCTGCAACTTTTTCTGCTACTTTTCTGCTACTTTTACTACTATTTTTACTGCAACTTTTACTGCTACTTTTACTGCTGCTTTTACTTCTGCTTTTACTGCTTCTTTTATTGCTGCTTTTACTGCTGCTTCTTACTACTGCTTCTTACTGCTACTTTTTCTGCTACTTTTACTGCTGACTTTACCGCTGCTTTTATTGCTGCTTTTACTGCTGCTTTTACTGCTTCTTTTATTGCTGCTTTTACTGCTGCTTCTTACTACTGCTTCTTACTGCTACTTTTTCTGCTACTTTTACTGCTGACTTTACCGCTGCTTTTATTGCTGCTTTTACTGCTGCTTCTTACTGTTGCTTTTACTGCTGCTTTTACTGCTACTTTTACTGCTGTTTTTACTGCTACTTTGACTCCTACTTTTATTGCTATTTTTACTCCTGCCTCTTACTGCTGCTTCTTACTGCTACTTTTACTGCTACTTTTACTGCTACTTTTACTGCTACTTTTACTGCTACTTTAACTCCTGCTTTTACTGCTGCTTCTTACTGCTGCTTTTCATGATACTTTTACTGCAACTTTTACTGCTGCTTTTATAGCTACTTTTACTGCTACTTTTACTGCTGCTTTTACTGCTACTTTTACTGCTACTTTTACTGCTACTTTACTGCTTTTGCTGCTGCCACTTTACTGCTACTTTTTACTTCTGCTTTTACCGCTACTTTTACTGCTTTTACTGCTTTTACTGCTACTTTTACTGCTACTTTATACCACTTTTACTGCTACTTTACTGCTACTTTTGCTGCTTTTACTGCTTTTTACTTCTGCTTTTTACTTTTTTACTGCTACTTTTACTGCTACTTTTACTTTCACGCTTTTACTGCCACTTTACTGCTACTTTACTTTTACTGCTTTTTTACTGCTACTTTTACTTCTGCTTTTATTGCTACTTTTACTGCTTCTTTTCCTGCTGCTTTTATTGCCGCTTTTACTGCTACTTTTACTGCTTCTTTTACTACTACTTATACTTCTACATTTACTGCTGCTTCTACTGCTACATTTACTGCTACTTTTACTGCTGCTTTTATTGCCGTTTTTACTGCCACTTTTACTGCTACTTTTACTGCTACTTTTACTGCTACTTTTACTGCTACTTTTACTGCTACTTTTACTGCTGCTTTTACTGCTGCTTTTCCTTCTGCTATTACTGCTACTTTTACTGCTACTTTTACTGCTACTTTTACTGCTTCTTTTACTGCTGCTTTTACTGCTGCTTCTACTGCTACTTTTACTGCTTCTTTTACTGCTGCTTTTACTGCTGCTTTTACTGCTTCTTTTACTGCTGCTTTTACTGCTGCTTTTACTGCTGCTTTTACTGCTACTTTTACTGCTTCTTTTACTGCTACTTTTACTGCTGCTTCTACTGCTACTTTTACTGCTACTTTTACTGCTTCTTTTACTGCTACTTTTACTGCCTCTTTTACTGCTGCTTTTACTGCTGCTTTTTGCCCACTTTTACTGCTACTTTTTACTTTTACTTTCTTTTTACTGCTTCTTTTCACTGCTACTTTTACTGCTGCTTTTACTGCTGCTTTTACTGCTGCTTTTACTGCTACTTTTACTGCTGCTTTTACTGCTACTTTTACTGCTGCTTTTACTGCTGCTTTTCCTTCTGCTATTACTGCTACTTTAACTCCTGCTTTTACTGCTGCTTCTTACTGCTGCTTTTACTGATACTTTTCCTACCACTTTTACTGCTACTTTTACTTCTGCTTTTATTGCTACTTTTACTGCTTCTTTTCCTGCTGCTTTTATTGCCGCTTTTACTGCTACTTTTTACTACTACTTATGCTTTTACTGCTACTTTTACTGCTACTTTACTTTACTACTTTTACTGCTACTTTTTACTGCTTTTATTGCTGCTTTTACTACTGCTTCTTACTGCTGCTTTTACTGCTACTTTTACTGCTACTTTAACTGCTACTTTTTATTTTTTACTGCTTTGCTGCTTTTTTACTGCTACTTTTACTGCTACTTTTTTTTGCTTCTTTTGCTGCTTTTTTACTGCCACTTTTACTACTGCTTTTACTGCTGCTTTTACTGCTGCTTTTTTAACTGCTACTTTTACTGCTGCTTTTTACTGCTGCTTTTGCTGCTTTTTACTGCTACTTTTTACTTCTTTTTACTGCTACTTTTACTGCTACTTTTACTGCTTTTTTTACTGCTACTTTTACTTCTGCTTTTATTGCTACTTTTTTACTTTTTTTTTTTTTTTTTACTGCTACTTTTACTTCTGCTTTTATTGCTACTTTTACTGCTTCTTTTCCTGCTGCTTTTATTGCCGCTTTTACTGCTACTTTTACTGCTTCTTTTACTACTACTTTTACTTCTGCATTTACTGCTACTTTTACTGCCACTTTTACTGCTGCTTTTACTGCTACTTTTACGGCTACTTTTACTTCTGCTTTTACTGCTACTTTTACTGCTGCTTTTACTGCTACTTTTACTGCTTCTTTTCCTGCTGCTTTTATTGCCGCTTTTACTGCTACTTTTACTGTTTCTTTTACTGCTACTTTTACTGCTACTTTTACTGCTACTTTTATTTCTGCATTTACTGCTGCTTTTACCTTGCTATTTTTTACTTTTTGCTTCTTTTACTTACTTTTACTGCTACTTTTACTACTGCTTCTTTTTCTTCTTTACTGCTTTTTACTGCTACTTTTACTGCTTCTTTTACTGCTTTTCTTTGCTTTTTACTTTTTTTACTGCTACTTTACTTACTTTTTATTTCTGCTTTACTGCTTCTTTTGCTACTGCTACTTTTTTTACTGCCGTTTTCTGACTGCTTTTCGCTTTTACTGCTACTTTTTTACTGCTACTTTTACTTTTACTACTTTTACTGCTTTTTACCTTTTTACTGCTACTGCTACTGCTACTTTTACTGCTACTTTTACTGCTGCTTTCACTGCTACTTTACTGCTTTTTTACTGCTACTTTTACTGCTGCTTTTACTGCTATTTTTTTTACTTTCACTATTTTTCCTGCTGCTTTTTATTTTTACTGCCGCTTTTACTACTTTTACTTTTTTACTGCTTCTTTTTACTGCTGCTTTTACTGCTTTTACTTTTACTGCTTTTTATTTTTTTTACTGCTTCTTTTACTGCTTCTTTTACTGCTACTTTTTACTGCTACTTTTACTGCTTTTACTGCTACTGCTTTTTTGCTGCTACTTTTTACTACTTTTACTGCTACTTTTTTGCTGGTTCTTTTACTGTTTTTTCGTGCTGCTTTACTGCTGCTTTTACTTCTGCTTTTACTGCTACTTTTACTGCTTCTTTTTTTACTGCTTTTTACTGCTACTTTTACTGCTGCTTTTGCTGCTTTTACTGCTTTTACTTCTGCTTTTACTGCTACTTTTTACTACTTTTACTGCTGCTTTTAGTGCTTTTACTGCTACTTTTTATTTACCACTACTTTTACTGCTACTTTTACTGCTGCTTTTACTGCTGCTTTTACTGCTGCTTTTACTGCTACTTTTACTGCTACTTTTACTGCTACTTTTACTGCTACTTTTACTGCTACTTTTACTGCTACTTTTACTTCTGCTTTTACTGCTACTTTTACTGCTACTTTTACTGCTATTTTTACTGCTACTTTTACTGCTACTTTTACTTCTGCTTTTTTTTTACTGCTACTTTTACTGCTGCTTTTACTGCTACTTTTTACTGCTTTTACTGCGTTTTACTGCTTTTTACTTTTTTTTACTGCTACTTTTACTGCTACTTTTACTGCTTTTACTTTAACTCCTTTTTACTGCTACTTTTACTGCTACTTTTACTGCTACTTTTACTGCTACTTTTTACTGCTACTTTACTGCTGCTTTTACTGCTTTTTACTGCTGCTTTTACTGCTACTGCTGCTTTTTACTGCTACTTTTACTACTTTACTGCTTTTAACTGCTGCTTTACTGCTACTTTTACTGCTACTTTAACTGCTGCTTTTACTTTCTTTTACTGCTACTTTTACTGCTTTTTTACTGCTACTTTTATTTCTGCATTTACTGCTGCTTTTACTGCTGCTTTTACTGCTGCTTTTACTGCTACTTTTAGCTGCTTTTTTTTTACCCTTTACTGCTACTTTTTTACTTCTTTTTTACTGCTACTTTTACTTCTACTTTTACTGCTACTTTTACTGCTGCTTTTTACTGCTACTTTTTTACTGCTTCTTTTACTGCTACTTTTACTGCTGCTTTTACTGCTTTTTACTGCTACTTTTACTGCTTCTTTTCTTTTGCTTTTACTGCTGCTTTTACTGCTACTTTTACTGTTTCTTTTACTAAAGCTACTTTTACTGCTACTTTTACTGCTACTTTACTGCTACTTTTACTGCTACTTTTACTGCTACTGCTTTTCCTGCTACTTTTACTTCTGCTTTTACTGCCGCTTTTACTGCTACTTTTACTGCTACTTTTACTTCTGCATTTTACTGCTGCTTTTACTGCTGCTTTTACTGCTGCTTTTACTGCTGCTTTTACTGCTTTACTGCTATTTTTACTGCTACTTTTTACTGCTACTTTTACTGCTACTGTTACTGCTGCTTTTACTGCTACTTTTACTGCTACTGTTACTTCTGCTTTTACTGCTATTTTTACTGCTGCTTTTACTGCTACTTTTACTGCTACTTTTACTGTTATTTTTACAGCTGCTTTTACTGCTGCTTCTTACTACTATTTTCACTGCTATTTTTACTGCTGCTTTTACTGTTACTTTTACTGCTACTTTTACTGCTACTTTTACTGCTACTTTTACTGCTGCTTTTACTGCTGCTTTTACTGCTACTTTTACTGCTATTTTTACTGCTGCTTTTACTGCTACTTTTACTGCTACTTTTACTGCTGCTTTTACTGCTGCTTTTACTGCTGCTTTTACTACTACTTTTACTGCTGCTTTAACTGCTACTTTTACTGCTGCTTTTACTGCTACTTTTACTGCTACTTTTACTGCTTTTACTGCTACTTTTACTGCTGCTTTTACTGCTGCTTTTACTGCTGCTTTTACTGCTGCTTTTACTGCTGCTTTTACTGCTGCTTTTACTGCTGCTTTAACTGCTGCTTCTTACTGCTGCTTTTACTGCTACTTTAACTGCTGCTTTTACTGCTACTTTTACTGCTACTTTAACTGCTGCTTTTACTACTGCTTCTTACTGCTGCGTTTATTTGCTGCTTTTACTGCTGCTTTTACTGCTGCCTTAACTGCTGCTTTTAGTGCTGCTTTTACTGCTGCCTTAACTGCTGCTTCTTACTACTGCCTCTTACTGCTATTTTTTCTGCTAACTTTACTGCTACTTTTACTGCTGTTTTTACTTCTACTTTTACTGCTACTTTTACAGCTGCTTTTACTGCTACCTTTACTGCAGCTTTTACTGCTGCTTTTATTGCTGCTTTTACTGCTGCTTTTACTGCTGCTTTTACTGCTATTTTTACTGCTATTTTTACTGCTTCTTTTACTGCTACTTTTACTGCTATTTTAACTGCTTCTTTTACTGCTACTTTTACTGCTACTTTTACTGCTTCTTTTACTGCTTCTTTTACTGCTTCTTTTACTGCTGCTTTTACTGCTGCTTTTACTGCTGCTTTTATTGCTACTTTTGCTGCTACTTTTACTGCTGCTTTTACTGTTACTTTTACTGCTACTTTTACTGCTGTTTTTATTGCTACTTTTGCTGCTACTTTCACTGCTGCTTTTACTGCTGCTTTTATTGCTGCTTTTACTGCTGCTTTTACTGCTGCTTTTACTGCTACTTTTACTGTTACTTTTACTGCTGCTTTTACTGCTACTTTTACTGCTACTTTACTGCTGCTTTTACTGCTAGTTTTACTGCTACTTTTACTGCTACTTTTACTGCTACTTTTACTGCTACTTTTACTGCTACTTTTAGTGCTGCTTTTACTACGACTTTTGCAGTGACTTTTACTTCTACTTTTAGTGCGATTTTTCTGCCACTTTTGGACCGATTTTTACTGTTACTTTTACTGCTACTTTTACTGCTGCTTTTACTGCTACTTTTAGTGCTGCTTTTACTACGACTTTTGCAGTGACTTTTACTTCTACTTTTAGTGCGATTTTTCTACTTTTTCTGCGACTTTTTGCTGCTACTGTAAGTGCTACTTTTACTGCTGCTTTTACTGCTACTTTTACTGCTACTTTTACTGCTACTTTTACTGCTACTTTTACTGCTACTTTTACTGCTGCTTTTACTGCTGCTTTTACTGCTACTTTTACTGCTACTTTTACTGCTACTTTTACTGCTACTTTTACTGCTACTTTTACTGCTGCTTTTACTGCTACTTTTACTGCTACTTTTACTGCTACTTTTACTGCTGCTTTTACTGCTACTTTTACTGCTACTTTTACTGCTACTTTTACTGCTACTTTTACTGCTGCTTTTACTGTTACTTTTACTGCTACTTTTACTGCTGCTTTTACTGCTACTTTTACTGCTACTTTTACTGCTACTTTTACTGCTACTTTTACTGCTACTTTTACTGCTACTTTTACTGCTACTTTTACTGCTACTTTTACTGCTACTTTTACTGCTACTTTTACTGCTATTTTTAATGCTGCTTTTATTGCTACTTTTGCTGCTAATTTTGCTGCTGCTTTTACTGCTACTTTTACTGCTACCTTTACTGCTGCTTTTATTGCTACTTTTACTGCTAATTTTACTGCTTTTTTTACTGCCACTTTTGGAGCGATTTTGACTGTTGCTTTTACTGCTACTTTTACTGTTTGTCTTACTGCGACTTTTGCTGTGACTTTTACAGTTACTTTTACTGCGACTTTTACTGATGCTTCTACTGCTACTCTTAGTGCTGCTTTTACTACGACTTTTGCAGTGACTTTTACTTCTACTTTTAGTGCAATTTTTGTACTTTTTCTGCGACTTTTTGCTGCTACTTTAAGTGCGACTTTTACTGCTATTTTTTCTGCTACTTTTACTGCTACTCTTTCTGCTACTTTTAGTGCGACTTTTACGACAACTTTACTGCGACTCTAACTGCGACTTTTGGGCGACTTCTACGGCGACTTTTACGGTTACTTTTACTTTTAATGCGACTTTAACTGTGACTTTTAGGGTGACTTTTAGTGCGACTTTTAGTGCGACTTTTACTGCTATTTTTAGTGCGACTTTTACGGCGAATTTTACTGCTTCTTGTACTGCGACTGTTACTGCTACTTTTGCTGTGACTTTAATTGCTACTTTTAATGCGACTTTTACTGCAACTTTTACTGCGACTTTTAGTGTGTTTTTTAATGCTACTTTTACGGCAACTTGGACTGCTGCTTTCTCCTGCGACTTTTACTGCGACTTTCACTGCGACTTTTACTGCGACTTTTACTGCGACCTGTACTACTGCTTTTACTGCTACTTTCATTGCGACTTTTACTGCGACTTGTACTGCGACTTTTACTTTGACTTTTATTGCGACTTTTAGTGCGACTTTTAGGGACGTCAGAGACAAGAATGTGCAGACTGGTGGATAGAGTATTTTGAGAATTTTCAGAGATTCTGGTTTGGACAACGATGCAAGCGTTATACAACGAGAATGTTTGACATTCTGTTTTATTGATTTGATTCAAGTTGAGCTCAACAGAATTGCCGGCGCTGGAGAAGAACCTTCATAGAATCCGGCCATCTACCAATCTGGAATGTCCTTCCGGAGAGCCAGATATTCTGTACTTTCTTCCGGAGCTGAAAGATCCGGAATATTATTCTACCCCGATTGATACGGAGATATGGAGGAAATTGAAATTGCCGAGAATATGTGCGCAACGCGACCTCGAGAGAAAGAGTGTTGTCCCGCCTTTAGGGAATTGGCAGAAACGCCAATGTAAAACGAGAGACTTGACACGCCCTCTACAATTGACAAGGCTCGCCAAGTCACGCCTCTGAACACTTACGTAACATAGATCGAAGTAGCCTTTAGGTATGAATACGTCATATGCTGGAAATCCACTCCTAAGCATCGTTTTCACTACATTTTTGTCAAGCCTTTACCACCTTTTCGTTATGTTCTCGTGGATATTCTTTTTATCTCGGTGCTTTGAGAATGCGTTTTTAATAAAATTCACCAGTCTCTACTTTGAAAGCGAGGCTTGGGGGTGAAATTAGTTACTCTGGCGTCCATATGTAGAAGGATTGTCGTGAGTTATGTCTTTTCGTTGCTCAAGCATGGGCGGCCTCACGTCACAGAGTTGCCCTCTGTGCCTGTCTATTCGGTGAGGATAGCTTTCGTACCTTTCAAGAACCGAAAGTCGCGGTAAAAGAAGGGCCAAAAGTAACAGTAAAAGACGTAGTAAAAGTAGCAGTAAAAGTCGCGATGAAAGTCGCGATGAAAGTCCCAGTGAAAGTCGCAGTGAAAGTCGCAGTGAAAGTCGCAGTGAAGTAGCAGGAAAATACAAAATGATGTGTGTTCCCTATGGGGTTCCGTAACCGGCCACTCTCGCGCGCGCTGTTGAAATTCTACCAAGAATCAGGCGCACAATAATATAATTTTCTCAACTTTTAATAGAACCTTTTTTTTTATAAGCTTTAACTTAACTTTTCTCTAAGATCGCCAAGATTTAAACTATTAAGAAATTTTTGTTTTTCTGGGCTAATACCCGGACGGCGCCGTACCAAATCCAGTGTAAAAGGAGAGTTATTTCTTTCTGAAGGAGAAATGAGAGTCATTCTGTTCTGACCAATGTTACGGCCTTACCAGTATGCATTCTTCGCTCTGTTGGTAGTGGGAAGGTGTTCTTGACTTCGCTGGCATTCCCTGTTCGGCCCTTCTTTCCCCTCTTGTACGCGTTGGCCACATTCACTCTCGATTCTGATTGATCCACGAACTGCAGTAAATAATAGTCGTAATACGCATACGCTCTCCAAGGACCTCTTGGGGGGGCTTTTCGAAAAGTGCCCAAGGAAGGTTATGATTGCAGGCACAAATCAAAATCAGACATTTAATCTAAAAAACAAAAAAACAAAAAAAAACGCAACTTCGTTTGGCGTTCAACGCACATTTACAAGAGAGTCTTTGTGAAAAATGAAAGAGGCAATGACACGTGAATACTTAAAGCTTTTGCCGAGGGGTAGTGGGTTCGTAAATGTTTATTTGTTATCTACCGGTAGTTATTTTTCTGTTGTTGCATTGTCCCAATTTTCTGCCATAGGTCAGGTGTCGGGAAAAGCGTTTTTCAATGCGGCTCATTAGTGTTATCAATAGGTTTATCTGATTTAAGAGCGCACGATTGTTTCTATTCATGCAGTCCCAGTTGTGCGGAGCATGTATGACCAAATAATTAGGAGTTCCTATGTTCGATGTCCATTGTTTCATTAGTCCATTCGGCAAAATTCATTGTTGTGTTGTATCGGTTGCATCTTGTGTTGTATCGGTTGTGTTGTATCGGTTGCATAAAACAGAGAGTTTCTCCGTTGGTCCAAATTCATTTTTTCTGGTATTGATTTTCTCCTTGCAAATATAAAAATAATTCTATCAAAGTTTCAAATTGGCCTGTGTCTTTCGATCGCGTAAGAAGAAAGGGTTTGGAACAAAGCTTGTATCAGTTCCTATCAAACATCAAATGCAACATTTAAAAGCATGTGACTGAAAAGCATAGCTGATATCCCGATCGCTCATTTGTAGCTTGAAGCTACAAATACAACTCTTATTACGAGTTACTCTTTTTGTTGTCTCGTTGCTTCTGCGTCACTGAAATGTTTTTTTTTTCTTGTTTCGTTAGAGCAATTTTTTCTGACGATTGTCTGTAGCTTGTCACTCGTGGAAAGTCCATTGGGAAACGAAACATTTGTAATTCCCTTTAGAGTCTAATTAAACTGCAAATTTTGTTACATGAATACCTTGCCTCCGCCGTCATTAACCGTGTCGCTATTATTCTCCAGGCAAACTGTAACTGAAGGCGGGGTTATCATCTGTTTAATTAGTAATCTGTATTGATATTGAGATAAGTGCCAACCCTTGTGGTGTTTTCAACAGATGTAGTAAAAACTTTAAAATCGGATTTCTTTTAGATTCTTTTATTTATTTATTGATTATGCCCTTGGTACGTTTTACGAATTGGGAGTTTTTCCGCACAGATGTCTTATCGTCCATTTGAATTTTATCTCATTTCGTTCCTTTTTATTTTTCTTTACTTTTTGAAAGAGGGTCTTAGTCATTTGCCTGAATTAATCTTATTTCAGAGCATTTCCGATTGCAGAAACGTTGAAGTTCTTTGTCTTACGAAATCTGCCTCCTGGAATCATTTGGCAAACTTTAAGTTACTTTTTACACCCTAGTTTTTTGCTTTGTTTCCCACGGGGATGCCAATTGTCTGAGTGTGATTTATTTTGGGATATTTTTATCAGTTTCAGGACAATAGCTTTAATCAGTGCTGTGTTTCGTGATGTTTTGTCGAGTGCCTAATTATCAGTGTCAAATTCTCTTCTTCAGTATTTTCATTTACTTAAAATGTTAGAGATCCTATTTTGCCCACTGGATATATTATTTCTTTTCTTTCTTGCTTGCTTTGAAAGGACGGAAATTCCAGGAAATTCAACAAAAGTTTCAGAATAGTTTTGACCCATGCATGACAGAATGATTGCACAATTCTCCATGACATGTGCGATGACGTCATTAGTAACATCCCCCCTCTAAGCTTTTCGAATAAAACTCTCCTACTACCCAATACCGGCCTCTTTAATCGTGGTTCTCAGAGAGGCGAAGGTATGTATTGGTGACACGATTTTATTTCGATTTTATCCATCTCAATCTCGTCTAGATGATAGCCATCAGGGCCTGTTTTGTAAAGAGAAAGTTTCAGTATTCGTTATTTTTCCGTCATAAACGATCATTTTGAGGTTTTTCTAGCCTTTCGAACAGAAAAGAGTTGAGCGTTTTACCCTTTACCGTTGCACACTCGTCGATCTAGTTTATGGCGATGTAACCTCGGCATTTCTGATGTGTTCAAGGCCTTAAATTTTCAAATTATGAAGTCGATTTCAAAAACGGCTGGCCTAACGTATGGTTTACAGCCGTTTCAGTGAAAAAAATCTAGGAAGGCGCTATCCTTTGTTGAAATAAAATGGCGAATCGTCGATCTTCAACACGTGATGTGTCGCTTCAAAGGGAGATTTTGAAGCAAAAGAAACTGTTCGCTTTCATTTCTGTGTAAGTGAATCTCATCGGGTTATAATATAATATTTTAACTTTGAATACAACGCTTACTCGGCGCTTAAGTGTTGAAAGCCATGCCTCACTTCTTGCTGTCTCAGATCATCTCGTCTAAAAGTAGCAAATCCAAGGCGCAACAATGGCAAAGGAAAAGACTCATATCAACATCGTTGTCATCGGTCACGTAGATTCTGGAAAATCTACTACCACTGGGCATTTGATCTACAAATGCGGTGGAATCGATAAACGAACCATCGAAAAGTTCGAGAAGGAAGCCAACGAGGTGAGTTTCAGTAACGTTCCTTGTGATCATAACTCTAAAAGAGGAAGAAGGAAAAAAATAAAAAAGGAAAAAAGTTTGGGATGGTCATATTTGGCTAAAATATGGGAACTGCGAGTTAATTTGTTTTCCCCGGCAGAAAATTTCAATTTGTTACTTACGTTGGCCTTGCCCATTGAAATAAGATCAAGTTAATAAATTTGTCTTCCCAAGATAGGACAAAAATCAGTAAAAGTTCACTCTGACAAAGATGGTGGGCTGAGAATTTGAAAGCTGAAAATTTTGGACCCAGTAAGTGTCCTGATAAGTTCCCTCCCTTCTTTGTGGGCCTTATTGTCTTCTTGGGAGGGGAAGTTACAATTACTCTTTGATCTGAGTTAAATAGGGCAATCATCTCATTATGTAATTGAGAGTGTGCATAGAGAGTGAGTAAGTTAAGCTGAAGTTTATTGGAAATCTGGGCTTATTTGTAAATATCAGTGTGATGGAGTATGCTATGGAACTTGCTGGCTATGCCTACGATAATAAAGTTCACCTTCTTAAGGTTAGAGTGGATTGTTGAGCCCTTAAATTCTGATTTAAAGGGGGAGGGGGATATTAGACCATTCACTGTGAGTCAATTTGCTTATTGTACCTCAACCTCTTAAGACATCCAACTTAGAAATGTTAGGGAAGACCATGTATGATTCAATGTACTTCTTTACTTTTAAACATTAGATGGGAAAAGGCTCCTTCAAGTATGCCTGGGTGCTGGATAAGCTCAAGGCTGAGCGTGAGCGTGGCATCACCATTGATATTGCCCTCTGGAAATTTGAAACTGAAAAGTATTATGTCACCGTCATTGATGCCCCAGGACATCGCGACTTCATCAAGAACATGATTACCGGTACTTCACAGGTAAGGCTTGCTTTTTTACTAACTAGCTTGCCCATAACAGAAAAAGACTGTGTGTGGTATATCTAGGATACATGAGATCTGGTAGAACAGATTTTTGTTGGATTTGATCAACTTGCTCTAAACAAGAATGTAGGGTGTTGGCAAACAAATGATGGTGAGATTTCTGAGAAACAAAAGAAAATAGGACAACATTTTACATTCAAGTCTTGTTCCACTGTCTCCTTGGAATGTCAGAGCCTTTTGTGCTTTATGTTGTGCAAAGGAAGGGGTTGGATACAGTCTTGGCCTTAACCCTTTCACTTCCATGAGTGATCAAGACAGAATTTCTCCTTACGGTATCAACACAATATCAAGTGGACTAGTGATGAGAATAAAGAAAAACATCAGATGGGGGATTATTGGTTGATCTAGGACTAAATTCCCTGAACTAACATTATGAGAAGGGTATGGCTGACAGTGAAGAGAATTACTCATAAGATCTTGGGAGTGAAAAGGTTAACACATTAATTTTATTCAGAATTTTGCCATCAACTTCTCTTAAGTAAATAAAATTGAAATCATGTAAAGGTTAAGAAACCCTGTAATGGTCAAAATGCCCTTTCCCAATTGTATCAAGTTAGAATTAGTTCCCCTTCAACTCCTTCCCTTTTTCATTAGAGTTGATTAGAATAGTTCTTTTTTTTCATTTGATACTCATTTTGCTGTTCAACTTTCAAGGCTGATTGTGCTGTATTGGTTGTTGCTGCTGGTACTGGTGAGTTTGAAGCTGGTATCTCAAAGAATGGCCAGACCCGTGAGCATGCCCTTTTGTCGTACACTTTGGGAGTGAAGCAGCTTATTGTTGCTGTGAACAAGATGGACACCACTGAGCCCAAGTATCATGAGGGGCGTTTTAATGAAATTCAAAAGGAAGTCAGTGGCTATGTGAAGAAAGTTGGCTATAACCCCAAAGCCGTGGTATTTGTTCCCATTTCTGGTTTCCATGGTGATAACATGTTGGAACCAAGTGATAATGTATGTATTTTCTTACTGATCATTAATTCTTAAACCCTTTTACCCCTAGGATGACTAACATCTTATTTCTTCTTACAATATCACCCTTAAAGCAAACATTAACGTAATGAGAATGAAGGGGATGATCACAAGCTAAAGCTGTTCATTGTTTGATAAATTCTCCTTGTCAGAACCCTAAGAAATGTCAAGGGATTAGTATGGAGAATATGCATACTGATGTTAGGGAGTGAAGGGTTAAACTGCCTATTTTGGGTGAAAGTCGTAGATGGTTTCTTGTTAACACTGCAGGTTTGTTACTACTGTAACATTAAAAACTCAGTGATACTTTAAAGGAAGTCTGTAAGGATCTCAAATAGCATCTTCATTTGAGGTTATACCTTTGTTGGTTTTCTTCAAACCTCAGCTAATGGTGAATCTGGCCAAATATTAAGTTTGAGAGATCTGTGTTTCTGTCCTGGATAGAATATCTTAATGCTGCAATTTCTTACATTTTGGGGTGTTTTTCTCTATGGATTTAGATGCCATGGTTCAAGGGATGGAGCATTGAGAGAAAAGAAGGAAATGCTTCTGGGAAAACCCTCTTTAATGCTTTGGATGCGATTTTGCCCCCGGAGAGGCCCATCAAGAAAGCCCTCCGCCTGCCATTACAGGATGTTTACAAGATTGGAGGCAAGTTATTTCCTCGTTTTGTGCATGTTTTATGATCTAGCAAAGTCAGACTTTTTGCTTTGTCACAATCTTCTGCCATTAATTTCTTTGACTTGAGACTTTCCCTTAGATTAGTCTCTAAGGGGTTCCTCTTTTTGGCAGTTGCATGAAGATTGTCATTTCCCAGTGTTTTGGGAATTGTGACAGAAAATTTACTACTTTTGCATGGTGCAATACATGATGCCAACAAAAAACAAAAATTCTGTCAAAAACTTCTGCATTATTGGACCTTTTACTATTTGGTATTGGTTACTGGTCTTCTCCTCAAGATTTTGTCTTTTTTTCTTTCAACGCATTAAACTTGGATGATTTCTTTAACTAAAAGGCTAAAAACAAAATTTTGAAATTTTTTGATCAGATTTTGTTGATGGTAATCCTAACTTTAGGGGTAGTTAGCATGCATTTTCTCCTTATGATATCCATACATTATCCAGGAAACTCTTAATGGAAATTTTCATTTCAGGTAGTTTTGTAGAACAGAGCAACACAATGACTGCTCTTTTTTTCCCTTTTGCTTGAAAAGAAAAAAGAAAATCAATTTACAAGCAGGGAAGATTTTTTTTTGTTGGTCCCAAAAAAACTCTCCCAGTTTTTGTATGGGTTGTTTTCATCTTTCTTGTACTACTTATGCAATGGATACAACTCACAGATAACAACTCCCCAAGCATTGGATATGTTTCACAGATAAGGCCTAAGGATGCATTTCACAAACTTAATATGAAAGAAAGAACTTGGAATTGAAATGTGGAATAATAAATCTGTTATTCAATGGTTCTACATGGTGAACATTTTGCTTATTGCCTTTTTTTTTTCTTTTTTTCCTTCACCCCCTTAGGGGCTCTGGGAAAAAAATCACAACTTGCCAATTATTGTCACATATTATATATGCAAATAAAGGTGTATATTTAGAAGACTGGTAGACCACATAACTTTTTATTGTAGTAAGTAAGATGGCTGGCTTTTTTTTCTGGAGATTCAAAAGGATATCTTAAGGCTTAATTCCAGGGTTTCAGGGGAGAAAAGCAAATTGTGACCAAAGGAAACAATGAAGCATGAGTGTTTTTTAATGCAAATCTCACTTCAGCCTCAGACCATTAAAATTAAGTTGAAAATTTATAAGTCTTACTATATGACCCCAAACACAGATTGCCAGTTAACCTGCCAAATTTTTTTCAAGTTACCATGTTGACCAAACTGGTCTAAACTAGGAGCCCTGTTCAGATGAATATTTACCTAATTTGAAAATGGAATGTAGCATTATCTTAAGTTGTGGCTTGGTGTTAAGCAATCGTTAATTTTCAACCCACTCTTAGGTATTGGAACAGTGCCGGTTGGTAGAGTGGAGACAGGCATCCTGAAGCCAGGCATGGTGGTGACATTTGCTCCTACTGGCCTGAGTACTGAAGTAAAGTCTGTGGAAATGCACCATGAAGCTCTAACAGAAGCTCTTCCTGGTGACAATGTTGGCTTCAATGTGAAGAACGTGTCAGTAAAGGAAATAAAACGTGGCAATGTTGCTGGTGATACCAAAAATGATCCACCAAAACCAACCAATTCCTTTAATGCTCAGGTACAGAATACCATCATTCTTTGGATTATTTCTCTTCTGTAAGAAGTACTAGTTTTGAGAGTGGTAAACTTGGGACAGAACAGCCTTGTGTTTATTTTTAGGTAGTTCTGCAATTTACATTACAATTTTAAAGTGTTCTTGCATCCCTATGAAATGTATATGTGAAAAATCCTCATGAAACTTGTCACAGATCTTTTGTTCCAGAGACAAAGGTAATATCCTAAAATTGGCTAGCTGTACTTCTTTCCCTTTTAACCCTGTAACCCCTTAGAACGATCAGCATCTAATTTCTCAGTACAATATCTCCCCTGAATAAAACATTTGGGTTGTAAGAAAAGAAGGTAATTATCACCAACTAAAGAAGCTCTTGATTGTTTGACAAATACTCCATGTCAGTAGCCAAGAAAGGGGTATGGAGAAGAGCCTGAGAAATATTGATGCTGATGTTGAAGGGTGTTGAGTGGTAAGGGTCATTTTTGTCCCATTGTCCATGCGGTTTCTCCCATCAAGGCAGTGTGTTTTAACGTTAACTTTTTGTTCCATATTGGTAGGTCATTGTCCTTAACCACCCAGGAGAAATTCATGCAGGCTACAGTCCAGTGCTGGATTGCCATACTGCCCATATTGCTTGCAAATTTGCAGAACTGCTTGAGAAGATTGATCGTCGTTCCGGCAAGAAGTTGGAAGACAACCCCAAAATGATCAAGTCAGGAGATGCCTCCATAGTTAAGATGATACCATCTAAGCCTATGTGTGTGGAAAAATTCTCAGATTATGCTCCGCTGGGACGCTTTGCTGTACGTGACATGAAGCAGACAGTGGCTGTAGGCGTCATCAAGGATGTGGATAAGAGCGAAGTCGCTGGCAAAGTGACAAAGGCAGCTCAAAAAGCTACCGGCAAGAAAAAATGAAATTCAGTACACCATCTCAATTGCAAAAGACTTCTCCGCTTACAAGTCAATCATGCTGTAGTAGTTGAATGGCTCCTTTCCTATCTATTTCATCGCAAGTCTGTGCGAAGGCGGAGACTGTTTTAATATGTGAAGGTTAAACGTGTACTTGGTAGAAATAAAATTAATAAAACGTTCTGTTGTAGGTGGAGTGTGTTCTGCTTTTTCAATTATGATTTGAACGAAGAAACCCCCTTTTGGGTGTGGCATCGAATCAAACTAAGGTAAACTCTTTTTGTATTTACGAGCAAATAGTGCAAACACAAGGTGTGTGCGCAAACACGCAGATGATGAATTACTCGAGCTCTGCGTTAACCCTTATCAACGTACTTTATCATGGGTTGTGGACATTTTCTAAGAAGTGTTCCCTTCCTGAATACTAGACTATGAATCCATGGCCGTTCGTTGGTTATGAGATAGAAAACGGCTCAAGGAAACATTTCTACACGTAGAAATGGTTTTCACCTCCATCACCAGGAGAGACCTTAACCCTTTAACTCCCATCAGTGACTAAGACATAATTTCTCCTTACAATATCGTCACTGAATCAAGCAGACAAGTGAGGAGAATAAAGAAGAAATCTCAATTAGGGGACAACAAGTTGATCCAATACCAAATTTTCTAAACTGAAATGATACGCATTTTATGGCAGACATTAGGGAGAACTACTAATGAGATCTTTGGAGTTGAAGGGTCAAGGTTAAGAGAATTTACAATTATCATCTTAGAAGAATTGAAATACCGCCAAGTACAACAAAACTTTGACAACAGCAAACTGTCGTCCTGTGTAACTTCGTAAGGGTTTTAAGAGGGCTTGCAGAGATTCGAGGGAAATAGAAAATGAGCCTTGAAACGAGTTAAGGCTATGCTAACCAAAACACCATATTAATTCATTTCGAGTGAATTCATTTCGAGTGAATTCATTTCAATGTATGGGACAATCAAAACGAAAAAAAAAAGAAAAAAAGAAGGGAGTTCATCTTGCTCTCAGATTATCAAAATTTTAAATGTCTAATTTGCAACAGATTTTCCGTCTCTTAAACGAGAAAAGCTAGAGGGAACTTATATCCGAGGGAGTGGGGGGGGGGAGGGGGGGAGCTTATAATCGAATGTACAGTGTCGTAACTGATTTAATTAGAACAACAAACACTCTCTCGCTTACACAATCATTCTGACTGAGGATCAGTTCTCTCTTATCTTTTGTCTCAATTGATTTTTTTCCTCGTGTATCATAAACCTCTTTTTGTCGTAGTGCTTAATGAAACACATCTAAGCGACACGCCTTCAAAAATGTCAATCTTAATAACACGTTCTTCGTAACGACATTTCACAAAATCACGATATACAGTATTTTCCTGGCTTACAGATAGATGAATCTGTAACCTATAAACGGCAGTTTATAGTAATAGGCACTATCCAGATTTTTCCCCAACCTCAAACGGGCAAGACTAGGGCTCCTGATCGGGGTCATTTTCTTTGGGACGTAACAGATACCATATTTGACGTCTTTTTTGTTACGTTTTATACAACGCTGACCCCAACATTCGATTTTAGTAAGACAGTAAGGAAGAGGATCGAGGAGTCGAGCGAGGAAAGGAATTTCTCGGATGTGGTAGGTTGTATCTTCGCTCGAAAATGTAGTGGAATGGAATGGTACAAACTGCAACGATGGTTTACGCGCTCATAATTCACACACTTGTTCCTGGACCCTGTAGATTGTTGTATTCATCAGTTTTTGTTCACGAACCAGAGGTAAGTACAGCTCAGTCATAACTTCACCGTATAGCCACAACTTCACCACGAAACGGCAGTGTGAAATATGGTCTTGATGAGGAAAAATGGCTTCGATTTTATCTCTTTGGTGTGTTTTATCAACGTAAGACAGTGGGAATGAGCATCGCCCTTCTCAAACTAAAGTAATGAAATTCACAGTGCGTAGGAAACAACGGATGGTTCCAACAAATGAAATTGCCTCAGAAGAGAATAAAAAAGACGAGCAAAGATGTCCAAATTTTTAGATGTCATACTTTGCTTGTATAACTCCAACCCTTCAATCCATGCGAGTGAACCGCACCTAATTTCAGACGACCCCTTAAGCTTTGAGCTTTAAACCCTATCGTGTTTAAATAAAGGATGTTATATTATTATTATTTCTCCTAACCCTTCAACTCCCATGAGTGACCAAGACAGAATTTCTCCTTACAGTATCAATACAATATTAAGCAGATAAGTTATGAGAATAAAGGAAAATATCTACAAGGGGATTATCAGTTGATGTAATACTACATTCTCCAAACTAACATCACAAGAAATGTATGGCAGACAGCAAGGAGAATCACTTCTGAGATCTTGGTAGTGAATTGGTCAAAGAGGGAATGATCACCAGCTTAACCCTGTAACACCCAAGATCTCATTAGAAATTCTCTTTACTGTCTCTCATACAGTTCTTGTGATGTTATTTTGGAGAATTTGGTAATGGATCAGCTTATAGTCCCCTAGCTGATATTTTTCTTTATTCTCTTCACTCGTCTGCTTGATATTGTCTTGATATCGTAAGGAGAAATTCTCTCTTGGTCACTCATGGGAGTTAAAGGGTTAACCCTTCAACCCCTCACAGTGACTAGCATCTAATTTCTCTTTACAATATTACCCCTGAATCAAACATTAAGGTCCCAAGAATAAATGAAATGATCACTAACTAATGAAGATAATTATCAAATTCTCCTTGTCAGCGCCTTGGGAAATGTATTAAAAATAGTATGGAGAATATGCATACTGATGTTAAGGTTCAAAGGGTCAAGAAACCCTTATTCTCTAATTCTTCTGCTCAGTAGCCTTGAAAATTATATATTTAGAACTTTAGGGAGAATATGCATATTGAAAACAGGGTGGGAAAGAGTTGATCAAATTTGGTCAGTTTTTGCTGTGTGACCCTATTTGTAACAAGTGTTGCAATGTCAATAATCTTTGATCTTCTTAGATTAATGAAGAGGTAACAGGTGACGAGCGTGCAACCAGGAAGGAACACCTGTCGGAAGTGGCACAACGAGTGCAGTCTGAATACTCTTTTAGATATGTTGCTTCAGAAGATGACAGTGCAGAGGATTTGACTGGATTGTCTTCAACAAATGAGTTATTTGAGTTTTTGAACGTTATAGAATGAGCTGAATAGTGCATGCATAATGAGCAAAATTGTGCATGTTTGATTGGTTCTTGCTTATGAAAAATATCTTTAACTTAGAACCAGTGTCATTCTTGACAAAAAGTCAATATCCTACCCAAAGTGGAGTTTTTTTTTTCACGGTCAAACAGGCAAGAAAACATATCCGGCCGAACCATGGACGCTGGAAATCATCGGCTACTACTGACAAGCTCGGGTGAAACTATATCGAAGGCGTTCGTTGAGGGTCGAACACACAAGTTTATAGTACGGCGATTAAATTTAAAATAGGTTATGTAAGCTTCAGCACTTGTTTCCACGAAAAGTTCAAACCTGAGATGTACAAGATCGTCCTTGAGTTCCTGAGGCAGTTTCTTGATTTTGTTTTGAGTATTTTGTGGTTGTCATAAAATAACTACAGTGATAAATTTCTTTTGAACAATTTTCACGGGATTTTTGCCCGTGAGCTAAATGCGAATACAAATATTTTTATAACGGGCACATAAAATAACATGACACCGTTACTATTTTCTTCCAGTATCAATCATTAGAAGAAGAGATATTACTAAATGCGTGATCGTGTAGTTTATAGCCATTCCCGAAATCCTAGATTCATGAAAACAAGCCATCAATCTATACTTCTCTATTTTTGTTCAGTCACATGTGGCTCACAGATAAAGATACACAAAAACGGATAAAATTTTTTTCAGTATGTTTGAGCTATTTGATTAGGTTATCAATGCGCCAATAAGCCTAACAGTAACGTTTGAATTTTAGACGGTAACTTCGTCTCTTAAAAAGTAAATTATGAGAAAGATTCTCCTTGCAGCGTTGAGTTCGTTGAGGGAAGTTCGATGTTTTTTACTTACGTAATACGAAACATTTGTCAACGCTGAAACGTCAAATGATTCGTGAAATAACGAAAGGGAATTTCAGGAATTGTATGCACCCACTTTTATGGGAATTCTGAAGTAAATGAATGTAAATGACCTTCCCGATTTTGTGTCCTCAGTATGCGAAAAGTTTGATGGATTCCTCCCCTAAAATACCTAAAAAAATTAAAACAGTTTCGCGGGTTTTGCAAAAATCGAATGCTACTGGTACGTTTTCTTATTTTTCTAACTCTGTTTTCAAAAGGAATTCTCACTTCTGTTGGTGTGTAGAGGCAATGGCGAGTTTCATTGCTTAGATGGTAAACGATTTGCCGAAAAATTGGATCGGTACATTACCACCATTGTGTTCAAAGACGGGAGACGCTGCAAATGCATATTTTGAAAAAGTATTACGGTATACTAGATTACGCACTTAGAGTGTTTTCCAAGTGCTTTCCTTTGTATGAAATACTTTTAAATATTTCCACACTTTTCCGCCCGGTGCATGGCGTAAGTTTTTACAAAATTGTCTTCAAAAGATCGAGTCTCTTCGAGGCCCACACCGAATTGATAAAAGCAAAAATTCAGTTAAAAATAAAAGAAACTGCCCACCATTTTTCGAAAACCTCTCGTGATTTAACTCCTTTGAGTGCAAGGCCTTCTTTACAAAGCATGTGGAACTACTAAGAAGAAACCTCTCGAGCATATCCTCGAACTCGTCTCTTTTTTCCATCGAAATAACCCACGAAGTACCGGTTTTTAACAGCACAATTTTCAAGGTTTTCCTCAAGGAAGTCAATCTCCGATTTGTTTAAAGAAGGTTGATTAGTCGCCGCCATCATAACGCATTCTAGTGTCTTATTCAAAAATTGCCTTCAGTTTTTAGATGTCATCCTTTCACGGGCTTTCGCAATATTCGCAGGTTTCATAATTTCCTCAGTGACCAAAATTACCGGTTACTCTTACCTTCGACGAACGCCTTCGATGTAGCGTCACCCGACAAGCTTTCCAGCATATTACACCTCTCGAGACCACTGAAAATTATACTTTACAAATTCAGGTGTTGTTTGGTTATCACGTTCCCGAGTCCCCGCGTCCCACGTCCCTGCGTCTTACGTCCCCGAGTCCCGATTCCCGCGTCCAGCGTCCTACGTCTCCGAGTCCCAGTCCCACGTCCCAGTCCCACGTCCCAGTCCCACGTCCCCATCCCACTTTTAGTCACAGCCCTCTCCCCTCTGCTGTCACAGCCGATTTGAAAAGACTGCAGCTCTTAACCCTTTACTCCCATGAGTGACTGAGACAGAATCTCTACTTACGATATCAATACACTATCAACCAGTTATCCGTCTCAATCTCGTCTAGATGATAGCCATCAGGGCCTGTCTTGTAAAGAGAAAGTTTCAGTATTCGTTATTTTTCGTTCATAAACGATTATTTTTAGGTTTTTCTAGCCTTTCGAACAGAAAAGAGTTGAGCGTTTTACCCTTTACCGTTGCACACTCATCGATCTAGTTTATGGCGATGTAACCTCGGCGTTTCTGATGTGTTCAAGGCCTTAAATTTTCAAATTATGAAGTCGATTTCAAAAACGGCTGGCCTAGCGTATGGTTTACAGCCGTTTCAGTGAAAAAAATCTAGGAAGGCGCTATCCTTTGTTGAAATAAAAATGGCGAATCGTCGATCTTCAACACGTGATGTGTCGCTTCAAAGGGAGATTTTGAAGGAAAAGAAAATGTTCGCTTTCATTTCTGTGTCATTTGTGTCGCTTTCTCGGCGCTTAAGTGTTAAAAGCCATGTTTCACTTCTTGCTGTCTCAGATCATCTCGTCTAAGAGTAGCAAATCCAAGACGCAACAATGGCAAAGGAAAAGACTCATATCAACATCGTTGTCATCGGTCACGTAGATTCTGGAAAATCTACTACCACTGGGCATTTGATCTACAAATGCGGTGGAATCGATAAACGAACCATCGAAAAGTTCAAGAAGGAAGCCAACGAGGTGAGTTTCAGTAACGTTCCTTGTAATCATAACTCCAAAAGAGGAAGAAGGAAAAAAATAAAAAAGGAAAAAAGTTTGTGATGGCCATTTTCGGCTAAAATATGGGAACTGCGTATTAATTTGTTTTCCCCAGCAGAAAATTTCAATTTGTCGCTTACGATGGCCTTGCCCATTGAAATAAGATCAAGTGCATTTGTCTTCCCAAGATAAGATTAAAATCAGTAAAAGTTCGCTCTGACAAATATAGTGGGCTGAGAATTTGAAAGCTGAAAATTTTGGACTTGGTAAGTGTCCTGATAAGTTCCCTCCCTCCCTATTGGGCCTTATTGTCTTCTTGGGAGGGGAAGTTACAATTACTCTTTGATCTGAGTTAAATGGGGCAATCATCTCATTATGTAATTGAGAGTGGGCACAGAGAGTGAGTAAGTTAAGCTGAAGCTTATTGGAAATCTGGGCTTATTTGTAAATATCAGTGTGATGGAGTATGCTATGGAACTTGCTGGCTATGCCTATGATAATAAAGTTCACCTTCTTAAGGTTAGAGTGGATTGTTGAGCACTTAAATTCTGATGTAAAGGGGGAGGGGGATATTAGACCATTCACTGTGAGTCAATTTGCTTATTGTACCTCAACCTCTTAAGACATCCAAAAGAGAAATGTTAGGGAAGACCATATATGATTCAATGTACTTCTTTACTTTTAAACATTAGATGGGAAAAGGCTCCTTCAAGTATGCCTGGGTGCTGGATAAGCTCAAGGCTGAGCGTGAGCATGGCATCACCATTGATATTGCCCTCTGGAAATTTGAAACTGAAAAGTATTATGTCACCGTCATTGATGCCCCAGGACATCGTGACTTCATCAAGAACATGATTACCGGTACTTCACAGGTAAGGCTTGCTTTTTTACTAACTAGCTTGCCCATAACAGAAAAAGACTGTGTGTGGTATATCTAGGATACATGAGATCTGGTAGAACAGATTTTTGTTGGATTTGATCAACTTGCTTTAAACAAGAATGTAGGGTGTTGGCAAATGATGGTGGGATTTCTGAGAAACAGAAGAAAGTAGGACAACATTTTACATCCAAGTCTTGTCCCATTGTCTCCTTGGAATTTCGGAGCCTTTTGTGCTCTATGTTGTGCAAAGGAAGGGGATGGGTACAGTCTTGGCCTTTTATTATTAATTTTATTCAGAATTTTGCCATCAACTTCTCTTTTGTAAATAAAATTGAAAATGTAAAGGTTTAAAACCCTGTAATGGTCAAAATGCCCTTTCCCAATTGTATCAGGTTAGAATTAGTTCCCCTTCAACCCCTTCCCTTTTTCATTAGAGTTGATCAGAATAGTTCTTTTTTTCCATTTGATACTCATTTTGCTGTTCAACTTTCAAGGCTGATTGTGCTGTATTGGTTGTTGCTGCTGGTACTGGTGAGTTTGAAGCTGGTATCTCGAAGAATGGCCAGACCCGTGAGCATGCCCTTTTGTCATATGTTTTGGGAGTGAAGCAGCTTATTGTTGCTGTGAACAAGATGGACACAACTGAGCCCAAGTATAATGAGGGGCGTTTTAATGAAATTCAAGAGGAAGTCAGACGCTATGTGAAGAAAGTTGGCTATAACCCCAAAGCCGTGGTATTTGTTCCCATTTCTGGTTTCCATGGTGATAACATGTTGGAACCAAGTGAGAATGTATGTATTTCTTACTGATCATTAATTCTTAAACCCTTTTACCCCTAGGATGACTAAAATCTAATTTCTTCTTATAATATCACCCTTAAAAAAATCATTAAGGTAATGAGAATGAAGGGGATGATCACAAGCTAAAGAAGCTCTTCATTGTTTGATGAATTCTGCTTGTCAGAGCCCTAAGAAATGTCAAGGGATTAGTATGGAGAATATGTATACTGATGTTAGGGAGTGAAGGGTTAAACTGCCTATTTTGGGTGAAAGTTGTAGATGGTTTCTTGTTAACACTGCAGGTTTGTTACTACTGTTACATTAAAAACTCAGTGATACTTTAAAGGAAGTCTGTAAGGATCTCAAATAGCATCTTCATTTGAGGTTATACCTTTGTTGGTTTTCTTCAAACCTCAGCTAATGGTGAATCTGGCCAAATATTAAGTTTGAGAGATCTGTGTTTCTGTCCTGGATAGAATATCTTAATGCTGCAATTTCTTACATTTTGGGGTGTTTTTCTCTATGGATTTAGATGCCATGGTTCAAGGGATGGAGCATTGAGAGAAAAGAAGGAAATGCTTCCGGGAAAACCCTCTTTAATGCTTTGGATGCGATTTTGCCCCCGGAGAGGCCCACCAAGAAAGCCCTCCGCCTGCCATTACAGGATGTTTACAAGATTGGAGGCAAGTTATTTCCTCGTTTTGTGCATGTTTTATGATCTAGCAAAGTCAGACTTTTTGCTTTGTCATAATCTTCTGCCATTAATTTCTTTGACTTTAGACTTTCCCTTAGATTAGCCTCTAAGGGGTTCCTCTTTTTGGCAGTTGCATGAAGATTGTCATTTCCCAGTGTTTTGGGAATTGTGACAGAAAATTTACTACTTTTGCATGGTGCAATACATGATGCCAACAAAAAACAAAAATTCTGTCAAAAACTTCTGCATTATTGGACCTTTTACTATTTGGTATCGGTTACTGGTCTTCTCAAGATTTTGTCTTTTTTTCTTTCAACGCATTAAACTTGGATGATTTCTTTAACTAAAAGGCTAAAAACAAAATTTTGAAATTTTTTGATTAGATTTTGTTGATGGTAATCCTAACTTTAGGGGTAGTTAGCATGCATTTTCTCCTTATGATATCCATACATTATTCAGGAAACACTTAATGGAAATTTTCATTTCAGGTAGTTTTGTAGAATAGAGCAACACAATGACTGCTCTTTTTTTCCCTTTTGCTTGAAAAGAAAAAAGAAAATCAATTTACAAGCAGGGAAGATTTTTTTTTGTTGGTCCCAAAAAAACTTTCCCAGTTTTTGTATGGGTTGTTTTCATCTTTCTTGTACTACTTATGCAATGGATACAACTCACAGATAACAACTCCCCAAGCATTGGATATGTTTCACAGATAAGGCCTAAGGATGCATTTCACAAACTTAATATGAAAGAAAGAACTTGGAATTGAAATGTGGAATAATAAATCTGTTATTCAATGGTTCTAATGGGGAACATTTTCCTTATTGCCTTTTTTTTTTCTTTTTTTCCCTCACCCCCTTAGGGGCTCTGGGAAAAAAATCACAACTTGCCAATTATTGTCACATATTATATAAGCAAATAAAGGTGTATATTTAGAAGACTGGTAGACCACATAACTTTTTATTGTTGTAAGTAAGATGGCTGGCTTTTTTTTCTGGAGATTCAAAAGGATATCTTAAGGCTTAATTCCAGGGTTTCAGGGGAGAAAAGCAAATTGTGACCAAAGGAAACGATGAAGCATGAGTGTTTTTTAATGCAAATCTCACTTCAGCCTCAGACCATTAAAATTAAGTTGAAAATTGATAAGTCTTACTATATGACCCCAAACACACATTGCCAGTTAACCTGCCAAATTTTTTTCAAGTTACCATGTTGACCAAACTGGTCTAAACTAGGAGCCCTGTTCAGATGAATATTTACCTAATTTGAAAATGGAATGTAGCATTATCTTAAGTTGTGGCTTGGTGTTAAGCAATCGTTAATTTTCAACCCACTCTTAGGTATTGGAACAGTGCCAGTTGGTAGAGTGGAGACAGGCATCCTGAAGCCAGGCATGGTGGTGACATTTGCTCCTACTGGCCTGAGTACTGAAGTAAAGTCTGTGGAAATGCACCATGAAGCTCTAACAGAAGCTCTTCCTGGTGACAATGTTGGCTTCAATGTGAAGAACGTGTCAGTAAAGGAAATAAAACGTGGCAATGTTGCTGGTGATACCAAAAATGATCCACCAAAACCAACCAATTCCTTTAATGCTCAGGTACAGAATACCGTCATTCTTTGGATTATTTCTCTTCTGTAAGAAGTACTAGTTTTGAGAGTGGTAAACTTGGGACAGAACAGCCTTGTGTTTATTTTTAGGTAGTTCTGCAATTTACATTACAATTTTAAAGTGTTCTTGCATCCCTATGAAATGTATATGTGAAAAATCCTCATGAAACTTGTCACAGATCTTTTGTTCCAGAGACAAAGGTAATATCCTAAAATTGGCTAGCTGTACTTCTTTCCCTTTTAACCCTGTAACCCCTTAGAACGATCAGCATCTAATTTCTCAGTACAATATCTCCCCTGAATAAAACATTTGGGTTGTAAGAAAAGAAGGTAATTATCACCAACTAAAGAAGCTCTTGATTGTTTGACAAATACTCCATGTCAGTTGCAAAGAAAGGGGTATGGAGAAGAGCCTGAGAAATATTGATGCTGATGTTGAAGGGTGTTGAGTGGTAAGGGTCATTTTTGTCCCATTGTCCATGCGGTTTCTCCCATCAAGGCAGTGCGTTTTAACGTTAACTTTTTGTTCCATATTGGTAGGTCATTGTCCTTAACCACCCAGGAGAAATTCATGCAGGCTACAGTCCAGTGCTGGATTGCCATACTGCCCATATTGCTTGCAAATTTGCAGAACTGCTTGAGAAGATTGATCGTCGTTCCGGCAAGAAGTTGGAAGACAACCCCAAAATGATCAAGTCAGGAGATGCCTCCATAGTTAAGATGATACCATCTAAGCCTATGTGTGTGGAAAAATTCTCAGATTATGCTCCGCTGGGACGCTTTGCTGTACGTGACATGAAGCAGACAGTGGCTGTAGGCGTCATCAAGGATGTGGATAAGAGCGAAGTCGCTGGCAAAGTGACAAAGGCAGCTCAAAAAGCTACCGGCAAGAAAAAATGAAATTCAGTACACCATCTCAATTGCAAAAGACTTCTCCGCTTACAAGTCAATCATGCTGTAGTAGTTGAATGGCTCCTTTCCTATCTATTTCATCGCAAGTCTGTGCGAAGGCGGAGACTGTTTTAATATGTGAAGGTTAAACGTGTACTTGGTAGAAATAAAATTAATAAAACGTTCTGTTGTAGGTGGAGTGTGTTCTGTTTTTTCAATTATGATTTGAATGAAAAAACCCCCTTGTGGGTGTGGCATCGAATCAAACTAAGGTAAACTCTTTTTGTATTTACGAGCAAATAGTGCAAACACAAGGTGTGTGCGCAAACACGCAGATGATGAATTACTCGAGCTCTGCGTTAACCCTTATCAGCGTACTTTATCATGGGTCGTGGACATTTTCCAAGAAGTGTTCCCTTCCTGAATACTAGACTATGAATCCATGGCCGTTCGTTGGTTATAAGATAGAAAACGGCTCAAGACCAGGCCAAACGGACACGTAGAAATGGTTTTCACCTCTATCACCAGGAGAGACCTTAACCCTTTAACTCCCATCAGTGACTAAGACATAATTTCTCCTTACAATATCGTCACTGAATCAAGCAGACAAGTGAGGAGAATAAAGAAGAAATCTCAATTAGGGGACTACAGGTTGATCCAATACCAAATTCTCTAAACTGAAATGATACGCATTTTATGGCAGACATTGGGGAGAACTACTAATGAGACCTATGGAGTTGAAGGGTTAAGGTTAAGAGAATTTACAATTATCATCTTAGAAGAATTGAAATACCGCCAAGTACAACAAAACAGCAAACTGTCGTCTTGTGTAACTTCGTAAGGGTTTTAAGAGGGCTTACAAAGATTCGAGGGAAATAGAAAATGAGCCTTGAGTTAAGGCAATGCTGACCAAAACACCATATTAATTCATTTCGAGTGAATTCATTTCAATGCATGAGACAATCAAAACGAAAACGAAAAAAAAAAAAAAAAAAAAAAAGAAGGGAGTTCATCTTGCTCTCAGATTATCAAAATTTTAAATGTCTAATTTGCAACAGATTTTCCTTCTCTCAAACGAGAAAAGCTAGAGGGAACTTATATCCGAGGGAGTGGAGGGGGGGGAGCTTCTAATCGAATGTACAGTGTCGTAACTGATTTAATTAGAACAACAAACACTCTCTCGCTTACACAATTATTCTGACTGAGGATCAGTTCTCTCTTATCTTTTGTCTCAATTGATTTTTTTCCTCGTGTATCATAAACCTATTTTTGTCGTAGTGCTTAATGAAACACATCTAAGCGACACGCCTTCAAAAATGTCAATCTTAATAACACGTTCTTCGTAACGACATTTCACAAAATCACGATATACAGTATTTTCCTGGCTTACAGATAGATGAATCTGTAACCTATAAACGGCAGTTTATAGTAATAGGCACTATCCAGATTTTTCCCCAACCTCAAACGGGCAAGACTAGGGCTCCTGAACGGGGTCATTTGCTTTGGGACGTAACAGATACCATATTTGACGTCTTTTTTGTTACGTTTTATACAACGCTGACCCCAATATTCGATTTTAGTAAGACAGTAAGGAAGAGGATCGAGGAGTCGAGCTAGGAAAGAAATTTCTCGGATGTGGTAGTTTGTATCTTCGCTCGAAAATGTAGTGGAATGGAATGGTACAAACTGCAACGATGGTTTACGCGCTCATAATTCACACACTTGTTCCTGGACCCTGTAGATTGTTGTATTCATCAGTTTTTGTTCACGAACCAGAGGTAAGTACAGCTCAGTCATAACCTCACCGTATAACCACAACTTCGCCACGAAACAGCAGCGTGAAATATGGTCTTGATGAGGAAAAATGGCTTCGATTTTATCTTTTTGATGTGTTTTATCAACGTAAGACAGTGGGAATGCGCGTCGCCCTTCTCAAACTAAAGTAATGAAATTCACAGTGCGTTGGAAACAACGGATGGTTCCAACAAATGAAATTGCCTCAGAAGAGAACAAAAAAGACGAGCAAAGATGTCCAAATTTTTTGATGTCATTCTTTGCTTGTATAACTCCAACCCTTCAATCCATGCGAGTGAACCGCACCCAATTTCACACGACCCCATAAGCTTTGAGCTTTAAACCCTATCGTGTTTAAATAAAGGATGTTATATTATTATTATTTCTCTTAACCCTTCAACTCCCATGAGTGACCAAGACAGAATTTCTCCTTACAATATCAATACAATATTAAGCAGATAACTTATGAGAATAATGGAAAATATCTACAAGGGGATTATCAGTTGATGTAATACTACATTCTCCAAACCAACATCACAAGAAATGTATGGCAGACAGCAAGGAGAATCACTTCTGAGATCTTGGTAGTGAATTGTTCAAAGAGGGAATGATCATCAGCTCAACCCTTTAACTCCCAAGATCTCATTAGAAATTCTCTTTACTGTCTCTCATACAGTTCTTGTGATGTTATTTTGGAGAATTTGGTAATGGATCAGCTTATAATTGCCTAGCTGATATTTTTCTTTATTCTCTTCACTTGTCTGCTTGATATTGTCTTGATATTGTTAGGAGAAATTATCTCTTGGTCACTTGTGACTAGCATCTAATTTCTCTTTACAATATTACCCCTGAATCAAACACTAAGGTCCCAAGAATAAATGAAATGATCACTAACTAATGAAGATAATTATCAAATTCTCCTCGTCAGCGCCTTGGGAAATGTATTAAAAATAGTATGGAGAATATGTATACTGATGTTAAGGTTCAAAGGGTCAAGAAACCCTTATTCTCTAATTCTTCTGCTCAGTAGCCTTGAAAATTATATATTTAGAACTTTAGGGTGAATATGCATATTGAAAACAGGGTGGGGAAGGGTTGATCAAATTTGGTCAGTTTTTGGTGTGTGACCCTACTTGTAACAAGTGTTGCAATGTCAATAATCTTTGATCTTCTTAGATTAATGAAGAGGTAACAGGTGACGAGCGTGCAACCAGGAAGGAACACCTGTTGGAAGTGGCACAACGAGTGCAGTCTGAGTACTCTTTTAGATATGTTGCTTCAGAAGATGACAGTGCAGAGGATTTGACTGGATTGTCTTCAACAAATGAGTAATTTGAGTTTTTGAAAGTTATAGAATGAGCTGAATAGTGCATGCATAATGAGCAAAATTGTGCATGTTTGATTGGTTCTTACTTATGATCTATTGGAGGACAGAGGCATACATTATATCACCACTAACAATCTTTGCCTCTTTATGGCAAAAGATTCCATTTTGCCATGTGTTTGTTCTGTAATAAATCACAGAGGAGGTCAGTGAACATCAGTGACACACCAGGCGGTGCTTTGTGTGTCACTTTTTGTTCTAGGCATATCTTAACATCATCTATGATCCATTACTGAACAGATGTGTATAAACATGGAATCTATGTGTTGATATGAAAAAAATATCTATAATTTAAAACCAGTGCTATTTGTAAGGCGAATTACTAATGAGATATTAGGAGTAAAAGGTTCAGTTTCAACTTTAGCAATGTTTAATGGTTTAATTGGATGGTGTTACAAACTGACATTTTGGCCATTTTACAGGCTTATGTCCAATTTGAAGTCTGGTGTCTTCAGGTACGCATGTGTCACCTTTTTGAAAGTTACATTTTCATTTGTTGACCCAAATGAAATGTAAATCTTAGAGCATTAGGTAGTCTCTCCTCAACATAATGTGTCATCATTGTACCGTGGTTTAAAAGTTGTTTGATTCTAAATGATCTTGTAGTGCTCACAAGGTTTAAATTTATAATTTGAACACCCCTCCAAAGTTTATCTCAGTACCTCTTTAAGCTTTAGAATTTAGAAGAACTAGGTGAATGATTTTTGATGAATCAAATGATTTTAAAAGTCAGCCTTAAGTTACACACTACAATATTCAACAAGCCTCATGAGACACTTGCATGAAAACAGTTAAAAATTTACATGTATGAAACCTTGTTAATCCAGGAGAAATTGTTATTACTTCAATTACGCAAGGATACAAGTTACAAGGAGTCAAATGTTTTATATTTCTCTTAATGCCTTCATTTTTTTGTCTGATTTGCAGGCTTTCACCAGGAAATCCCTTCAAAGAAGAAAAAGTTGTTCTTTGGAAAGGTTTGGCAAAGTAAGTAGTATCCATGAAGTTTGCTTCATTTTTGTCCACAAAATTAGCATTAAGACTTTAATTGTTAAATAAATAAAACTAATGCCTGGATATAAGCTGACAGATTCACATGATGCTGTTTCAGTTAAATTAACCCTTTAATTCCAAGAAGTAATTAACATGAAACTTCTCCCTACAATATCCATACATCATTCAGCAAACAGGTAATGAGAATATTCAAACTTATCAGGGAGAAGCTGCTATCTTGATTTAGCACCAAGTTCTCAGAACTAATTTACAAGGAAATGTGTAGCAGCTAGAGGGGAGAATTAACAATCAGATCTTGGGAGTTAAAGGGTTAAATGTAGAGTCTTGCCAGGGGTGGGGTGAGCAAAGTGCTCAGCCTCCTTCCCCTTCCCCTGTCTTTCTATTTCTCCTTGTGTAGTTTCCTCAATCCAAGAAACTCTTGCTTCAAAAGCCAAGATATTGGACTTGGGTACATATCTGATAATGTTAATAACCAACCCTCTAACTCCCAAGAGGGAGGATTTTGGGGTTTTGGTGGGGCTCACATGTTTTTCAGGGGGAGTGGAAGGGGTATCACTTGTCTCTAACAGAGTTTAAAGGGAATAACATTACGAGCCAAACGAAGTTTAAGGAATGTACAGTGGTGCTGATACCTGGAGAGCTTGTTCCAGACAAAAGCAGCTTTTCTAACTATGAAATTGAGAGGTAACATCTTTGGATCAACCAGGATGGATGATTTGCAGGCGGATGAGAAAAGAATATAAAATATTAGAAATTGTTACTAGAACTCTCAGGCCAACAAAGGTGCGCCATGCCAGGAGGATCAATAAAGATTTGCAGTCCAAACCTTGCAGCAAACACGAGCATAGAGAGTTTAAAATAAATGCAAGGATGGACAACTTCTGACAGACATAAAAAAGATTAAAAAATTTAATAAAAACGTTTCAGTCAGAGACCTTCTTCAGTTATTTACAAGTTTTGAATAACAAAGAGCTTTAAATAAGATTGAGGTGCTAGTGATTATGTAATTACAGGTTACAACAAATGAATAAGATACAAAATCATGTGAAAGAGTGGAAAGTGGTGCTAATAAAAAGATGACCAAAAAAAATTAAAAAAAACAAGCTGCAAAGAAAATAACAAAACACAAGAGACAAAACCCAAAAACCAAAAACTAAAAAACCAATAATAATAATTAATTATTTATCCTCCTGGCGTGGTGCACCTTTGTTGGCCTGAGAATTCTAGTAACATTTTCTAATATATATATATATATAATTATATATACACACACACACATGCAAAACAATGGCCAGACTCTTGGTTGATTGTTTTCACATTACTTTGGAACCAAGTTCTTTATTGAGGTTTGTGAAAAATGCAAGAGAGGTTCTTGAAAAGTCAATATGAAAGTCCATAAACCCTGAAAATTTCAGTTTAGCTCAAGTTGAATTTCTTCTCTTTGCAGTGCAGGATTCACTTTAGTCTGTGAAAAAGATGAAAATCGCCTCATTGCTGAGAATGTTTTGGACCATGTTATTAGACACCTTCAGGAATACTGCCAAATAATTCTTCAGCCTTCTGAGGCAAGTTGGTGGGATGTTTCTACTCAATAAGCTATCTCAAGAATTTCATTTTAATTTTGTTGTCACATTTGTAGCAATGCTGTGCTGTACCTCTGTGAGAGCTTATCAATTGTTTGAATGTTGTTATAGGCAATCCTCAAAGTGGACAGGGTTGTCACAATTATTCATCAGTTTCTACCAAATGGGCAGGTATGAATCAGACTGACAAGGTCATGGTTTTTTTACTTGGTCTCAGAGCAAATGTTTTACCTGTAGTGTACCATAATGATTTGACAATCAGACATTAAGGTCCCACTATCACTCAGAAAATGAGAGCAATTTTTTCTACAAAATATAACAACAAGAAAGGCACATGTCTATTTTGTTTACAAAAGCACACTGTTATGCTACTTAGTTTACTCTTTTATCTTTCATGGATTGTGTACTAAGCTGTATTCTACACACATTTTTATTGGTCCTTACTTATGATCTCCAAGGACATTTTGCTTCTCCATTCCATAAAACAAATTAAAAGATTCCATGTTGCTGCAGGCCTGTGCAATGATAGGCCCACAAGATGTCAAAATGTGGTAGGAATAACAGTGACACACCTGGCTGCGCCTTGTGTGCACTTTGTTTGTTCTTACCAAATTTTGAGGTCATCTATAATCTATTACTAAACAGAATCACAGAAACACAGAGTCTGCTTACAACGAAAGGATGACCTGTGAGGACTTCAAATTTATTGTCTTGAAGTAGTTCTGAACTTATTTACCAGGCTGTAGAGGGACAGAAAAAGTTCTGTATTTCCTGAATCAGTCTTCCCTCTCACCCTCCTCCCATGGCAGAGAGCTGTGGGGAAAGCTTGATGTATATTCCCCATCCTCTATAGATAGGTTAATCTACTGACAAGGAGAATTTGTTTAAAAATCAAGGGCTTCAAACTTTAGTTGGTGATCATTTCCTTAATTCTGACCTCAATGTCGTTTCAGATGAAATAAGAAGCTTGTTTCTTATAGGGGTTAAAGAGTTAAAAAATGTTTTTGTGCTACAGAGATGGATTATATTCCATGAGCATCAGCCTCTAGGGATCACTGGGGTAACTGTTACTCCTTCACCCCACCCTTTCCTTATTTTTGACCATCAACCGTCCTCTTGGTACAAATGCCTCTCTCTCACCAGCTTTCTGCTGCCATAAAAATCAAAGATGGTGGCCATAATTTTTGTTAAGAAAACATGAAGCACTCGCTGACCAAAATTATGCCTCTGCAGGCTAGCAATAGATTGACATCCCATCCAAGGGGAAAGTAGTGATACTCCTTGTTGCTTCATGCTTAGGGAACTGGGTCCAGCTCCAGCTGGGTGAGCAACCTGACTTGAGTAAACACCTTTTTTTCTTTTCATTTTTTTTTTCAGCTGCTGTTCATGAACACTCGTTATTTGCGGCAAATGGAGAAAGAATTGGAACAAGTTATGTCCTTCAAGAGGGAGTGAACGCGACTGTTACACTTTAAAAATTTTTAAGTAAAATTAATAAATAGTATGTATCACTGGAACTGTGTTTACCTTTCTGTGTTTATAATGGTAAAGTGTATAGGGCAGTTTCCAATTGACTGTTGAAAGACCAAAACCTAAGTGATCACAACTACCAATCAGAAGAGACGTTAACATCATCATCAACTGATAAGTATACAAAGTAAAAACAGCCAACCTGTTTGAAGGTCTGGGAAACTTGGTATTGGTTTTGGTATTGGTTTTGATTGGTTGAGATGGCGACTCGAGGTTTTTGGACCTATCACAGGCAAAGTAATCCAGGATCATTTTCTACACTTAACTGAAAACTTCTGTATCTACATCTCTAAGTTTGAAGTGGGCATGAGATAAAGGGTTAAGTTTCCATAGAAACTGTGGTGTTGTGTCAGTGGAGGAGTGTAACAGGGTAATTTAGTATTATCAACTGAGTTGATGACGTAAATTGGCCACCGTAAAGAGTTTCAAAGCTGATGTTTCAAGCATAAGCCCTACATCAGAGCAAACAATGTAGTAAGCTTTGAAATTCTTTATGATGGCCAATTTTTGTTATCAACCCTGTAAAATTTCTGATCCACTTTGGAACTCCAGAGCAAGATGTCAAACTATCTTCACCTAAAAATCATCATCCAGTGTGTCCAGAAAAGGAACAAGGTGCCCACTTTCTCGACAATAATAATTATATCAATAAAAATACTTGAGCTCTTTTTTTCATAATTTAATAGCAAAATATCCACAAGAGCCATACGTTTAACCATTACATGAGGCATATTTATCACCAATACTAGCTTCTTGTTAGGGTCAATGATTCATTGCATGATAAATGTCGTTAGTTTCAAGAAAAATAAACTTCATATATTTTCATACTCTGAACAAAACTTGTTTGGCAAGTTTGTTTTTTATTTTCAGGAACAAAGCATATGGCTGAACCATTTCAATATGGCAGGCTCTAATACCACAAAGAAGAATTACTGAGATTTGCTATGAAAATATTTAAAGGATCTATCATAAATGATAATTCAATTTTCCGAGGACTCAAAGCAAAACAAAGCAAAAGCACAGCAGAAATACCAAAAGTCACTCGTCCTTGACAAATACTTCAAAATGACAAAATTTTTAATAATTGGATTGATTGTTCCTAATGAGAATTTCTGCTGTAATTTAACCTCTAGGTCTCTGTTTCCTCTTCAATATGGATATTCTCCATATTTTCCCTTTACATTTCCAAAGGTTCCAGAAAGAAGAATTTGTTTAACAATCAAGAGCTTCTTTTAATTAGTTGTTGATCATTTCCCTTATTCCCATGACCTAAATGTTCTATTCAGGGGCAGTCTTGTAAAGAGAAATTAGATGCCAATCACTCTCAGGGGTTAAAGAGTCCTGAAAGGATCGAGTTTATTGTACTATGAAATAGTTTTAAACCCTGTACCCTAAAATAATAATTAATCATCTGTACCAAGCTTAAATTATTATCCAGCGGCATGGTATAGGCATAGAGGCATACATTGCCTGTTATCTGGAGATTTTAAGAAAATTGTCAACAGATTTAGAGGATTTTTAGAGACTTCAACCCTTAACCCTTTAAGTCCCATGAGTGACCAAGACAGAATTTCTCCTTTCAATATCAATACACTATCAACCAGAAAAGTGATGAGAATAAAGAAAAATATCAATTTGGAGATAATTAGTTGATCCAATACTAAATTCTCTGAACCAACATTATAAGAATTGTATGGTTGACAGTAAAGAGAATTACAAATTTGATCTAGAAGTTAAAGGGTTAACATCCTTACATCAGTTTACATATTCTCCATACTGTTCTCTAATACTTTTCCAAAGGTGCTGACAGGGAGAATTTGGTTAAAAATCAAGAGCCTCTTTAGTTGTTGATCATTTATTTTCTTCTTGTGACCTCAATGTGTTATTGGGAGGTGATATTGTGAGGAGATATTAGATGCTGGTCACTCATAAGGGTCAGAGGGTTAACAGAAACAATTGACAAATCCTGACCAGACTTTTAGAGCATTTGTTTTGGTGTCTGGGCCTACTAACAGATGAAGTGAGGATCGAAATTTCACTCTCAAAGCTTGTCACTTTGATATGACACTTCACTCTGCAATAATTTAAAATATATATATATATATTTTTTACTAGGAACATAGCAGCTTAATTGAAGAAAAAACAAATGACATCCTGAGAGTTTAAGATTTACATCCATTCCATCTCTTCACTTGTTAGTGGATACGTTCATATTGTGAATTCTTCTTGTCAAACATGGCTTCTATCTCTTCTAATGTTTTCCCCTTTGTCTCTGGCATTAGTACATAAACAAAAATGAATGAAACAAAACAGAACCCTGCATACAACCAGTATACACCTTGGTTTTGAAGAGTATTAGCCATGGACTGGTATGTTTTAGTGACAATAAATGCTAATGTCCAGTTGGCCATAGTCGCAAAGCTGCTGGCCGGACCTCGGGCTCGGAGGGGAAATATTTCTGACATCACAAGCCATGGAACAGGTCCCCATGCAAGGGCGAACATCAAGTTGAACAAAACAATACACAAAATTGATAACCAGGAAATCTTCTTGGCTGGAATAGAGTGACTGATTGAACCAAGCAAGGAAACTGTCTCACTTGCTGAGCCTTCACCTTCTGGAGGGATGTAGATCTCAAAATACACACCAAGTGCTACAAGAGAGACACACATTCCAATTGCTGTTGTCAAGAGGAGGATACGCCTCCCCGCTTTATCCATAATGACGCATGCTAAACCTGTTCCGACAAACTGCACCAGGCCCACAGCAATGGAGACGACCTTCCCATTTTTAAATCCTGCCATAGCAAAGATGTGGGCAGCATTAAAGAGAACTGCATTGACTCCACAAAATTGTTGAAACACCATTAACCCAAGACTAATTATCAGGGGTTTTGCTATCACTGGCGTCAGCCAGTCTTGCAACTTTAGTGCCTCTTGCCGATCTGTCAAAATAATTACAACAAGTAGCTTGTTAGTACTGACATAATGTATCTATTGCAACAAAAGGCATGAGAAGAACATATAAATCTACACTTAATTGTATTAGTAAAATCAGGGGTACTTCAACTGAAGGAGAAATGTTATTCAAATTTATCAGGTTGCTTTTTTAATAAAAATACTTTGGATTTGAATGTGTGATGATTTCTGATGTAATTTTCATTGTGTTGTCAGATCAGTTTAAAAATGAATCCTCTGATCCTTGGGTTAAAACAAGATGGAAAAAGTTGTTGGCCACATCAAAAATAAGGCTTTCAATGTAAAACCTTCTGGAAATCCTCCTTAACCCTTTAACTCCCATGACTGACCAAGAAAGAATTTCTCCTTACAATATCAATACAATATCATACAAACAAGTAATGAGAATAAAGAACAATATCATTAAGGGATCATTTAGTGATTCAATAACAAATTCTCCAATTATATGACAAATATTGAATGGCAGACCGTAAGGAGAATTATTAGGTCTTCAGAGTGAAAGGGTGGACACTAAATAATATATAGATTTAGCCAAGCCTTAAAGTAGAGCATCTCAAGGGCACAACACTTTGCCCCGGCCAGGACTAGAACCCGGGTCGTCTAACTTGGAGCCCAGTGCTCTGACCACTGGACTACTGGACAAAGCCGTGGCATTGGCGTGCCAGCGGTACAGTTGACCACGCATGTTAAAAGTAACACCTTGTATGGTTGTATGGTTGTATGGTCGTACGGTCGTATCCAAATTTTTTCAGTTAGATGGGTTACTACTATTTTGTATAATTATGGGGTTATGCTCTACAAGCTCCGCTATAAAGTTCCATACTATCTTCTCTTGAAATCAAAAAGCAAAAAATAGTAAACATAAATGAAGTTTGGGACAACATGCTCATGTGTAGAAATCAAAGACTTTTAAAACCCTTTAACTCCCAGAAGTGATTAACATAAAACTTCTCCCTACAATATCCATACATTCTTCAGCAAACAGGTGATCAGAATATTCAAACTTATCAGGTAGAAGCTGCTATCTTGATCTAGCATTAAGTTCTCATAACTAACTTACAAGGAAATGTGTAGCAGCTACAGGGGAGAATTAACAATCAGATCTTGGGAGTTAAAGGGTTAAAACCTCACCTAAAGTTGATTCAATGAGGAAACATTCATTTTCAATATCAGCTTCAGGGCCTCGAAACCACAGCAAAGAATGCAATGCTTCTTTTCTCATGTTCTTCCCAAGACACCAACGAGGAGTCTCTGGCATGGTATACATCAGAATGATGAGCATTGCTGGTGGAACTGCACCAATAATAGCCAGCCATTTCCAGTGACACACAACCCCTACTACATAAGCAACCAAAATGCCCAATGTAACTGCAAGTTGGTTAACAGAGCCAAGTGCTCCACGCAACTGTGCAGGTGAAATCTCAGCAATGTAGACCTACATAAAGAAAGAAGAAACTATCTTCACACAATTGTAACAATATTAGAGAAGTTTTAAGTATTAAATTTTTGAACTGAAGTGCATTCAGCTGGAATACCCTCCCTTCCCTTATGGAATAACCAATATCACCTCAGGGAAGAGGGTGTAAAGTGAAGATGTTAGGAATAAAATTGTCATTCTATTCCAGAATATTGTGATTTCTGCCCAAATGTGTCAAACATTTTGTCACTGATTGAAGTTTCTAAGATGGCTAGTGTTTCCTCTCATTCATTTGACAACTATGTCTGTTTGGCATAAAATTTTAACCCTTTAACTCCCATGAGTGACCAAGACAGAATTTCTCCTTACAATAGCGGTACAATATTAAAAAGATAAGTGATGAGAATTAAGAAAAATATCAATTTGGTAAGATTAGATAATCCAATACTAAATTCTCTGAACTAAAATTATAAGAATTGCATGTTTGACAGTAAAGAGAATAACAAATTTGATCTGGGAGTTAAAGGGTTAATGGTTGGTGCTGGGAGAAGGGATAACAAAAAAGTTTACAACTTGCAGGTATGAGAATCAATCTTTTACACCCTCATGCCAATATGCACATTCTCCTTACTAACATCTATACATTTTCTGCAGTGCTGACAAGGAGAATTGGTTAACAATCAAGAGCTTTGTTAGTTGGTGATCATTTCCTTTATTCTCATGACCTTGATGTGTGATGCAGGGATGATATTGTATGGAGAAATTAGATGCTGGTCACACTAAAGGGTCAAAGGGTTAAGAAGTGGAGATGGCACATAGAAAGAAACGTATGAACTTACTGGAACAGCAAGTGAGACTGCACCACAACCCATTCCTGTGATGATCCGACCAGAGTAGAGCATTGGAATATTCTGAGCAAAGCTGATAAGCAGCCATCCCAGAACAAATGGTACAACGCACAACATTATCGTACTCTTGCGACCAAACTTGTCAATTGCCCATCCACCCACGGGACTTCCCAAAATGGCTCCAATTGTGACCAGGGACTGCAGATAAAATGATGACATTAAGAATTAGAAAAACAAGGAAATAGATGACCCTTGCTGGTGAGCAGCAATTAAACCTTTCACTCCCAGAGTGATTAACATCAATAAGGAATCCCTCCTTTAAATGCTTCTTGTCATATTCATGTAATAAGGAGAAAGATAAAAACAACAAATCAAATTCTCATAGCCAAAATAAGAAGCAATATATGGAATACATTACAGAGAATTGATATTTTGATCTAGGGAGTTAAGAGTTAAAAGAAATTGTAGAAAAGAAGCAATTTTAAATAGCAGCTCTCTTGCAAGGATCATTTAAACTACTTGGAATACATCCACATGTTAAAACATTTCCAGAGTTATTTCATTTGATCTAACACTAAGACATTGTCTGGGCAAAGGGTCATGATTGACTGAAAGATAAAGATATTTGGGTCACAGTCACTTATTTATCTGAAGGTGGAAGATTCGAAACTGCTTGTAAATAGCAGGAGTTGTGTAGGCCTGTCAATACTTTTTAACTTCTCTTTTTTTTAGTTAGACTTTTTAACTCATCTCGACAACACTGATGGAGAAATGGCACCTTATTTAAAACCCACCACCTTAATGAGCAATGTGAAAGGAAAGTATTTGAAAGACACTCTGGTCAGAGCTATTAATATTGTGAAGAAAGAAGATTTTAAATCGCTTGCGAGTGGTAGGAGTTGCACAGGTCCTAGAAATCTGTAATTTGTGACATGGAAATATGCTAATGCTTTGCAAAATAGAAATATGTAATTTGCAAAATGGAAATCTGTGATTTGCAAAACGAGAATCCCTGTGGAAAACTCCACAAGCCAGAAGAATGAATCGGTCAGTTCACCATAAGTGTGAATTGCAGCCTGCCAAATAATAATAAAAACAACTAGCGAAAGCAAGAAATAAAAAATCTGTGTGGTGAACTTTTGTGAATAACTCAATGTGTTGTTTAGTCAATTGAGCACAAAAGTAATTTGAAATTTTCGCTGACGCTGTAGCTGTACTGTCTAGAAGGTGTAATCAATGTACATTGTTGATGAATAATTTTAATGCATGACACGACACTTACCTGACTGGAAATGCACATGGAAAGTGTCGCAGCATGTTTCTAGATGAAATATCATGTTTGCTGGGAAAATGTAACTGACCAAGCTTTTTTATTTTCTTAAGTCTCAGAATAATTTTTTTCACAAATTACAAATTTCTATTTTGCAAATCATTAGCATATTTCCATTTTGCAAATTACTGATTTCTAGAAATCTGTAATTTGCAAAATGGAAATGTGCTAATGATTTGCGAAATAGAAATCTGTAACTTACGAAATGGAAACATGCTAACGATTTGCAAATTTGCGATTCCTATTTTGCAAATCATTAGCATATTTCCATTTCGAAAATTACAGATTTTCATTTCATTCGGTTTCGTTTCGCCAATTATAGTAGGCCCAATGAAACAAAAAAACCAAGCCAAATAGCCAATAGAAATTTAAGTGTGGTTGATCTTATGTTACAAAGAAAACAAATACGCTAAGACAAGTCAGAAATTATTGTATTGCCAAATTTAGTTTGACAGCCACATTTTTATTCTAGCGAAATTGCGACAGCGACATTTGTCCCTAATCAAATAGGCGACAAGAGAACCCCCTCTGTGGGCCTTACTGGAAACACTTAACATGTTCTACTAAGGAGGCGTTCTCGTAAGACTTATTTCGACATACCTGTTTGAAAATGTCATAAATCACAACAAGACTGAAACAACTTGATCAGTTTCTCTGATTCTTCATCATTGTTAAATTTTAATGAAAGAAAAATTCGTTCAATAGTTCCGTAATCCACTAGCTAATATAACTGTCGAGACCATTAGACGTTTGGTAATCTAATCGGGATGACTTCCAGTTGAACTAGTTTTTACCACAAGCTCACGGTGTTTGCTCACTAAAGGTAGAATCAACATACATGTACACATTTCAACTTACAGAAAACCATGATCCTTGCCCGTCAGATAAACCAGTAGCAGAAGCACTACTGGATTTATGTACTAGATCTTCCAAAGCAGACGATGAATATCCCATACAATATCCAAATGACAACGGACCGAGAGCTGCAATGAAAGTAGCAAGGATTGCTCTTCCGACCCTGACGTTCTGTACTATTTCGTTGGACTGAATGGATGAGGTAAACTCTTTTTCAAGCTCAGTCATGTTGGATGCTTTGTTCGATGCTGATCACTCGATTTATGGTAGAACAAGTGAGGAAGTCACCTTAATATACTTTAGGATTGCAATGTAGTAATAGAACCACACCGATCAGGCGTAAAGGCTAACGGAAACATGTGAGCTCGAATGCGTTACGAGTGAATGACGCAATTTCAACGCGCAAACCATGTGATTTCTCCACCCGTGATGGGACTGTGTGAATATGCATGTGAACTTATATAACAACAACATAAAGATGTCTTTTGGTAAATTTGGTAATTTATGGCCATGTTATCCGCCCAAACGAGTCCAAAATCCAATCCACAATAGTAATAGCGCAGTAAGCTTGACATACTCGATCCGCAGTGCGTGCATAGTACGTAGCCGATAGTGGATTTTTACCTATTTCCGATCTGCACTCCCCACCCCCACCCCTCTCATTATTTTTAACCATCACCCGCCCCCTTAGTACAAATTTCTTTCTCTCCCCAGCCCTCCGCTACCATTAAAATTAAAGATGGTGGCCATAATCTAAAAATACAGAGCACTCGCTCGCCTAAATTATACCTGCACTGCAGGCTATCCACTCTGAGTCACGAATCGCGCTTCGCCGCCTTGAGACAGAAACCTTGCGGAAATGGCTCACTGAGGCACGTTCAGCTTTTTTTGAGAATGTATGCCCGCATTTTTATTCTGTCTTTATTAAATTTTTTTTTTGCTCTACCAAGTGACAGGCGTTTTTTAATCTGGACGACGAGTAATCGTTCTTTAGGTTATAAATCGCGCTCTCTATCATATCAACAGTTTCGTTTCATTTTTGGAAAAAAAAATGGGAACACTCCGGCATTGTGGGCCAATAACTCATACGATTTGACCACATTTATTCATTCATTTCAAATCATACCTCAAACATTTAGGGCGTTAAATCGCTCCAGGAATATTAAAAATACACGCAGAGATTTCGCTTATGTTTCCGTTGGACCATCACTGTATCTTTTTCATGTTAATATGACAGCTCTTTCCCTCTCTTTGAACTGGGTTTTCTGGAGGGCTATTGTATCGCTTTAACGTAATGTTAATTACTGCGAAGATCGCTTTCATAATCATTTCTTAATCCGCACTTCTTATCAATACACATGATTTTCATACATCCACAGTCATTTATTCATTACTGACTTCACGAGTTTATCATATATCAACATAATGACCAGCTCCCAGTTGGCTTGTTAGCTCAGTTGGTGGAGCATTGCATTGGTATTGCAAAGGCCATGGGTTCAAATCCCGTACAGGCCTGCATTAATTTCAGGCCTTTATTACACCCATTTTGAAATTACAGGTGGTCTCTATAATCTAATTGGCTCTAATTGATGCGATTTACTCACGAATCGCACCATTTTTTTTAACTTTTAATCACATATTTTTCCCAGCCAATGAGGAGGCTACACTAAAAACAAAACAATCAATCAGATTTCAAGGCTTGTTTAACCCTTTAACTCCCAGAAGTGATTAACACAAAACTTCTCCCTACAATATCCATACATCATTCGGCAAACAGGTAATGAGAACACTCAAACTTATCAGGTAGAAGCTGCTATCTTAATCTAGCACCAAGTTCTCATAACTAATTTACAAGGAAATGTGTAGCAGCTACAAGAGAGAATTAACCATCAGATCTTGGGAGTTAAAGGATTGCTGGCTGTTGGCTCGTGGTAAAGAAACACGCGCCTACATGACAGCAGCAACACTCAATCGGAAAGCGCACGAATGCATTGTTTGTGTTCCTGTGTTTCCGGACTCACACGTAGGTTTCTCGTATGGGCAATTCTATGGAATCCCTCTCTTTTTTCCCTTTACCCTCGAAGTACATTTGAATCTTCTCAAGAGATTTTCCCTCCGTTTCTGGGACACAAACGTAAACGAAAAATACGGCCATAATCGCCTGACTTCCATATAACCAGAAGGTTCCGGCCGCTGTGAGTGTATTGATAAAGAACGGAAATGTCTTAGTGATTGTAAATGCGCAAGTCCAGTTGAATAGAGTTGCATTGCCACTGGCTATTCCCCTAACCTTGACTGGAAATATCTCGCTCATTATGAGCCAAGCACAGGGACCCCACGTCATACCAAATGCTACTATGTACACAGCAACACTCGTAACAGCCACCCACGAGAAATCGTAGTAAGTAACAATGCTATTCTTGGACAGAGAGTTCTCAGAGATGTAAAAATAAGAACCCAAGCTGAAAAGGCTTATGCTCATTCCCACAGCACCTACGATCAACAGGAAACGCCTACCAGCATGACTAATCATAATAACAGACAAGGCAGCGGCAACTACCTGGATGATGCCAATTAAAATCGGCACCATAGTGCTTTTGTTCTGGAAACCAGCCTTTTGGAAGATGGTGGCACAGTAGAACATGACTGCGTTGATGCCAGTGCTCTGTTGGAAGAAATGAAGGGCCAAGCTGATTGCGAACGGACGTAAGAGACTGGGTTTGGCAAATTCCTTGATTGACATCCTCTCCTTGTTTTCTATTGGCCGCAAAAATGAATGAATGAAAGAATGAAATTTGAAAACGAGAAAAAAATTTACAAAAGAATCCAAAACGAATTAACAAAGAACTGCACTTTGCCAGAAAAAATGAACCTACCTAAGCTATCTTTTATTTCCATAATTTCCTTCTCCACGTCAGCATTCGGTCCTCGCAGCCACCATGCTGTCATGTAGGCGCGTTTTTCTTTTCCACGAGCCAACAGCCAGCAGACAGTTTCTGGCATGAAAATCATCAATATCAACAAACAGGTTGGGAACCCTGTTCCTATTATGGCACACCAATACCAGTTGAGGGCGTGGCCTGTTATGAAAGACAACAAGATCCCCGATACAATTCCCATTTGGTTAAATGTGCCCAGTGTGCCTCTTAGACGAGGAGGGGCGGTTTCTGAGATGTAAACCTAAAATTTAAAAGAAAATTTATCAGTAATGAGGAATAAACGAAGTTCTGTAACTTGATCAGGTGTTTAAAGTATTACCAGAAAGGGTAGTGCAGCAGTCAGGACTTTTTCCAGAAGAGTATTTTAGTGAGGTCAGGCCAGGTTACGAGTTTTCTTATCTCCAGCTTCAAAGCAGAAAAGTTTAATACCCGCCCAGATCCCTCCCAGTTCACCTGACAATGTGTAACAACACAACGACAATATGAGGGACGCGATAGCCTAACAATCATCGGCGGTTTTTGCGCAAGTGCTTTTTTCACACGTCATTGCCAAGCGGAAGCCTAGCTCAGGATGCTACTTACCGGGGCAGCAACTGAGATCGCGCCACAGGCTAAGCCTGAAATAACTCGGCCGGAATAGAGCATAGCGAGATTTTGAGCAAAGCCGATCAGAAGCCATCCCAATACAAAAGGAATAACACATAGCATTATGGTACTCTTTCTACCAAGCTTATCAATCGCCCATCCAGCAAGAGGACTGCCAAAAATAGCGCCAACGGTGATCAGAGACTGCAAAAAAAATAATAAAGATCAAAATTGTATCGAAGTAATTATTTGGCAATACTCTGCTAATTCGAATAAGTAAAGATTTGGTAAAGCATTTCACAATAAAAATCTGCGATAAAATATTATAAAACATAACACGACGTTTCGACGTTTCCAGAACGTCATTATCAAGTGAACTAGAATAATAAAATCGAGTATATATATAATGAAGCGGTGAATAAATTACAAAGCGTTAAAAGTTGGGTGTTTAAATTGGGCCTTATTGTTCTTATGTACAACATTTCATGAACAAGACAATCCCATTTCGTGCCACATTTTTTAAGCATTCTAAACTGGCTCTCATTGAGTAAGTCAATGTTCCCATGGGCATCTCTCAGGTGGCGACCAATGGCAGAGTATCGATGATCAGCAATGCGTTGAAACAAATGGCGCGTCGTATATCCGACGTAATTTGAATCACACAAATCACATTTAAAACAGTAAACAATGCTATGCTGACTTACGATGCATGGCTTGATTTCTTTAAGCTTTAGGTCCTGCTCAAGTTTCTTACTGGTGTAGACTGGTTGTACATCAATGCCGATTTTTGAACTGAGATCGCGCATTTGTCTTTTGGCAATGTTCGCTGAGACTTGATCTTTGAAAGGAATACTGACTCTTAAAGTTTCATCAGATTTTGTCTTAGTATCTGGTGTAGAGGAATAATTACATTTGTCGATAATACAGATATACGACGCGCCATTTGTTTCAACGCATTGCTGATCATGATTGTAATTTATTCACCGCTTCATTCTATATATACTCGATTTTATTATTCTAGTTCACTTGATAATGACGTTCTGGAAACGTCGAAACGTCGTGTTATGTTTTATAATATTTTATCGCAGATTTTTATTGTCACTCTGCTAATTCAAAATCATATTATTGATATTTATGTTTGGTTCAATTTGAGAGTTTGTATAAGCCTGACCTTGACTTAACACGAGCTCGCCATAAGTTCCATTCAGGTGAATGTGTTCAAAGATAGGACTGGTGTAATTTAAGATTTGGTATCAACTTCTTCTTTATGATTTTATATTTTCCTTTCTTTTTTTTTTTGACATTCAGAAAAGCTTGTGAACAGGAGACTAAGTTCAGGTGTTGAATTAAGAACAGTCAGCTCTCTAAATTAATTTAGGTGTTTCTACTTAAAACATTTAACTTCCATAAGTGATTAACAAATAACTTCATTTTTCGGCCCGCTAGATTTAAAATAACCGATTGAGCATTTGACAAAAATAAAGTTATTTTTTCCCTCGTTATTCTGCCTGTGTGGTAAATACTAGAGAAAAAGGGATATTTACCTCAGCTTGGGTGAAGATGATGGATATTTACCTTCACTACGATTAATAATTAAAAACTATTCAGTTTCCCACTTAGATTTGAGATCAAGTGAAGCTTTTCAAGCGAAATTGCGCCAACATTAAATTTAGTACAAAAGACCCAAATAGCACACTATTTACTGCAAAAGTGGTTTAATCGGCTTTAACTCTTACAGAGCCGTCTATAATCAGTATATCTAGTAGGACCTAGAAAATAATCTTATTCCCTATTTTTCTAGTCATAACAATTATATTTTGACGGATCAAAAGGACACATGGTCCCGGCTCGGGAGATGACTTAAAAAGTTACTTTTTTTCAGCTGATTTACGAAAAAGACATGATCGAACCTACCGAAAACCAGGATCCCTGATCTGCAGATAGACGCACAACTGAAGAATAATCAGCGTTTTGCAAATCTTCCAAAGCAGAAGACGAATAACCAATACAATACCCAAAGCTCACTGGGCCAAGCGCAGCGATCAACGCGGCCAGGATTGCTCTGCTAACTCCTTGTTCACGTTTTGCTCCATCGGACTGAGGAGATTTTTTGTAAGCATCCCCGCGAGGCTCGGCCATCTCGAATGTTACCCACGCTAGAGCGAACTCTATTACAATCGCGAAACGAACAGAACTTCCACTTATGTAAACTACTGTTATGTAACATATGTCTGTTTGGCAGATTTTGGAATCAAATTATAAGGAACAAACGGAGGGTATCATAATTCAAGTACAACTGATGACGAAGAATTTTTTTAAGCCTTCCTGCGTATGACTAACAGTTTCACGTCAGTATTCACGTCATTAACAGGAGGAAGACGAAACTTGGGGATAAAAAAAAAAAAAAAAAAAAAAAGAAAGAAAGAAAAAAAAAACGCTGGACAGAAGCACAAGTTCATTTTACAAGTTTTCTTTGCATGAACAAGTGTTTGCGTGGGTGTAAATGGAGTGAAAAAAAAAATGACTCTAAAGGACCTTTAATTTAATGAGGAAAATTGCTATAGGTATGTACGTCATATCTTTTCCGCTGCCCTTTGTTGGATCTTCTCACGAATAAGTGTTTTACTTCGGGCACAAACCCAGCATCCGGTCAAAACTGCTGTGTAATAAACAGGGAGATCTTACCAGAACTGGGCTGGTAGAACTCTTTGTAAACTTTTTCCGATCAGCCAAAGCAAACGATTAGTAGCTGGAGTGGAAAAAGGACACCAACCTAGGCAACAATAATATCTTTCCCTATTTATTATAAAGCCATCCTACCATCAAAAGTAAGAGGATCGATTTGATATTGTATGTCGAAAGTCCTCCGCGAGTGCGTTGTCATTGCTTTTCTTCTCTCTGAAATTGGTCCACAAAACTCGCGCCTCTCCCTCAACCAATCCGATTCAAAGCTACAACCAATCTCGAAATGGTCACTCGCGTTTTCCTGCGCTTCAAGCAGTTTGCGTGTTTCAGTTAACTTCAAGTTCACATTAGTTGTGACATTTTCCTTGCTATGATTGAGCGTTGCAATAATTTTGCTTTTGGTTTTATGACACTCAATCGAAAAGCGCTCTGAAACATCCCTGTAGCACCAAAGTACACTTACTGGTGTTGTGCGTTTACGATCAGATCTTTGACCCAGTGTCGATTATTTAAACCATCACAAGATATGCAAGACAATGTCAGTTGATTATGAAAAATTAAATACTTTTCAAAAGTAAAATTAGCTGTATGTATGAGCTAAATTTGAAAATCATACATATCATTCGCCTGGGTTCTAAAATCAGTCCCATTCCGTTTAACCGACGATGCCGACGATTGAGGAAATCGTAGGGATATAGTGAGCTTCACGCAAGATTGAGATATGCAAGAAATGAACGAGTCATGTCCTTCTTTCAAAATATTTTCCCTAATCACAGTTCACAAATAAATCAAGTCGTTCGCTGCTCTTGAATCAGGAAAAAAAACAAATTGTTAAACCATAATAACACTTCGCTTCTCCACAATACTATGTTAGAGTATTCTATCTTGTTAACGTCTATAGTAATGGAAATACTTGATTTTCTATTAGCGTGTTGGAGAATTGGTTTCATCAACTTTTCAAGGTTTTTTTTTTTTTCTGGCACAAACCCAACATCCTGTAGATTATGACGTCATTAGGGTCCAAATTACCTACAGGTTTTTTTGGACTTGGGCCGGAGGATGTTTGTGCAAACTGTTTTCAATCTAAAATGATGAACCCTTTAACTTCTTCGGAAATGATAGGTTAAAGCTAAGCTTTCGCCGTTCCATGGCATCGTTAGGGATGATAAAAAGATTTCGAGTATCCATATCAAATTCTTTCCCCAGCGCGACGAACATTGTTTTTCTCGGTTCCAGGTGTACGCGACGACTAAGCCTTCGTGATGTACATGCTCTCTGTTGCGAATTTTCAAAATGGCGGACAGGCTAAAGAGGGAAATAAAAAAAGCAAAGCGATTTTGCAACAAATACTTGACATACACCCCCGTTAGAAAGGCGAATCCACAATAGAAAGATAAAAAACTGTATGATATTGAAATCAGGGAGGTTGACAAAATCAACAAGAGAGGTTGAAAATTCATTACGTTGGCTATAGCACATGCTTCGATGAATGGACACCCTTCAGGGCCGATAGAGGATCTGGATATTTTCCATTTGTTCGCAGCGAAAAGCTGTTCATTCCCTCGGAAAACTCTCTAGAGGATAGAAAAGAATCGTTTCATGGCCAACTTGCTCGTGAAATAAAGAAAAAGCTTTGGTCTGGACGGCGAGAGGACCCTGATATAAACATAGACCTTAATGTTGACCAAGATGTTTTCATGGAAGGTGTTGGGAGTGTTTTGCCCAGCGTTCTTCAACGAGGGAAGATGGTTTACCAATCGGAGTCAAATAGGGTGCTTGATTCATATCTGGGGCTGAAGTGGGATGAAAGAATTTTAAATGTAGCTGAAGATTTTGCCTATGTAATTCCAGGAACTATTAAGTATTGGCTGGGACAAAGAAGTCCAATCATTGAATACAAGCTCATCGTTGTAGGTGTTCTTAAGCCCTTTCATAACCTGCTGCCTCCAGGAAATGAATCCTGTTTTTCTTCAGAAACAGTTGTTTGAGGGCATCAACCCCTTTGTGAATTGTGGATCTGAAGAAATCTTTAGAAGCTCTATTATTGTATTTTTCCAAACCTTGCTGTGTGTAATATGTTATGTTCTGATAAAGTGACAGGAACTCAGGAACATGATATCATAGTGCATGCATGTAGGGAGTGACATCTTTTGCTTGGTAAACTTTGAGAAAGTGCTCAAACCATGATTTGCTATTTCCTTGCAGTTCAAGAATACCCTCTTCAGATGTAAAATCTAGCCTCAAATCACCAATTATGTCCATAAATTTAGCCCAGATCACTTGTATGTCTTTGTTTTGACTGCAAAGAGGGACAAGCATAGGTCAGAATTTTTATATTCTGAAAGAGTTTCAACTTTTCTGGTTCAGTAAGATCTCTATATTCCAGCTTTTTGCTCTCTTTGTTGATTCTAAAATTAAAAGTGATTCCCATACTTTTGATAAATTCTTCATAACATGCCATGTGTTTATATTTATCTCTTGGGAATCTATCAGAGGTTTTTTTTCTTGTAAACAAGTTAATCAAAACATCTGAAATCCTCAGAAAAAAATGTAATGTATCTATGATGACAAGGTCCATAGGTATAAAATCAAATAATGGTTGTGCCTTACAGTTTAATTTCCTTCCAGTGGAAAACCTTGCTATTTCGGTGACAGTTCTAGCACCAAATTTGGGGTCATTAATTGACAATGTTTTGCTTGTGTCCCACCATTGCTCCCTGGGACACTTGCACCACACACAAGCATAATCCTCATTTGCCCTGCCTAAACCACATACCAGTGCTAAAAATTTCAAATATCCACGTAAAAAGTATTCAATTTTATAGGTGCAATTATTTGCACTTATCTCCTTTAAGTTTGACATTTCCATTCGAAGGTCTGCTAGGCTGTCTCTCAGATTATCATATGTCTCTTTAGATTTTATAACAGCAAGTATATAATTTCCCTTCTCACGCATTGCCACATCCTTTTCATGGAGAATAGTAAAAGTGAAGTTGACAACTGTAAGCCCCTTTCCAATATTTGTACCATCACCACTAAGCTTGATCTTAATAGTTTCTCCATCATTGATTTCTCCATTCTTCTGAAGCCTAACAATGTGCTTTTGCAATCTTTCTGCAAATCCTAACTGAACACCTTCAGCATCTCCTGGTGTTGGGTTCAAGTTCCATTCACTGTTTAGCTCATTAATTCGCTTCTTGATGGAATATATATTGGGGAGATCATTAGCCTTAATGGCAATTTCATGCCAGGCCTCATTTGAAATAATGAATTTATCTTTGAGGTAAAGCCACATATTTATGTTTGGGTCAGACTCTGTAAATGGCAGCTCTCCCTCTCCAACAAGATTGAAAGTTTCATATTGATTAGTCTCAGTCTTGAGGACTTCAATTTTGGTTGCAACAAAATTGTACAGCCCAAGAAAGGAGAGTGTAGTTTGGCACTCCTCCTTCTGTTGGTTTTTAATTCTCTTTTAATGGTGCTTAGAATAGTCATTAAACTTCTTCTTAGCTGGGCCTCTACCTTTTTTCCTATTTATAATCACTTTTTTGGCCAACTGAATAAATTTTTTATTGTAGAAGGCCCCTTTCTTCTCAGCTTTCTCGAGAGCTTCTCGGGCTTTTTTATCCACTCGCAATCGCTTTGCCTTCTCCTGTACCAACGATTCTTCTAATTTTATTTTTTCTCCCCTCAACTGGCTGTTCTCATCTTTAAGCTGATGTACATCAACCTCGTTGTAATACACTTTAAATCGATACCGAGGGCCCCGTTTCCAAATTGCTAAGAGGTGCATTTAATTGCCACGATTACTAGCTTTCTTGACAGCTTTCTGAAAACAGAATATTTTCTTTCTGAAGACTTCTTATATATGGCTATTGATTATTATACCTCCTATACCTGATTGCTCAAACGCTTTGTTTACAATTATTGAAAGGACCGACTCATGGTTTTCTCTGAAAACTTCTTTGCTTTGAAATAGTATAGATTAGTAAGCTGAAACGAAAAATTAATCAGGGAAGTTTACGAAAAATCCAGCGAACAAGCTTAAAAAAGGCATTTATTTAGACTTCATACTGCGATGAACTTCACAAATCTTACTTGTTTATCTCGTAAGTAAACAATGGCAGATTAATTCCCGAAGTGCTTTCTGAGTTTCCCGATCCCTCTCCTACTGCTTTCACGCCCACCAACAGGAAAAAATCAAAAGGAGGAAGATACAGCTGTTTTGAAACGCCATTTGACGAGGGTAAATCTGCTTTTTGTTCGACACTTTACATATCAAAACAAAGGAAATTTGTTCCTCTTTTTGATTCTGGCGGTACATTTTTAAATTGCGCTTGCGTAAAAGGGATATCGTCCGAGACGCTTCGCTCGGTTGTGTTTTGAACAAAAACCCCTTGTTAATTTCACGCAACCGCTCGGAGAAAAGGTTAAAATGACGAGGGAAAAACTTTACCTTCAAGTTAGAAAATTAGCGAAATAGAAAGCCACAATATTATAGTTTAATATTTCAGAGGTACATTGAGTGCTTTTTCCGTGGAGAATCCGCACGATGGTAAAATGTTCGAAAATTACACTCGATTTGAGTGGGGCGTTGAAGTGGGCGTGGTCACTATATTCATGTTAAGACTATTTGTACCCCGTAAGTTTGATATGAGTAGTTTTTAACGGTAAGCAAATTAATGTAAAAGTAAAAAGTACGTGAGATTGCGGTAAAGTAGATAAATTGTTTAAAAGTTTTCCATGTTGTACGTATAAAATAAAAAATCTGTTTAGATGTACCAGTTGTAAGGAAAAGTTTCCGCTAGCAAACTTGTTGCAGTTCTCCATGGTACGAATTGAGAGAAAGTTTATACCTTCTTAAGTAAAATCATTCGACACATCATGCGTAGACTTACGGGACATCGCTTTCTTGTGGAAATGCATTTTCAGTCTTTTCAGGCAGTGGTCTCGACATGTAGAGATGTGTTTCAGTCTCAAGGGAGGAACTGTTTTTGTTTACGACGTATTAAGGCCCACGAGATCGTGCTTCCGATTAGTCAAAGGAAACTGAAATGTTGGGCGCACACTAACCGGGTTTTACTGAGGAACTAATATTCATGATCATTGCGGAAAGACCCAATGTTTGCGGGAACTAGTTTGCGCGATTTTATTTTTAAATTGTACTAAGCGAGCACAAACTGGCAACAGAGTTTCCCCCTTGATACAGATGTCACTACCTTACCACGTTATTTCGGCAACCGAAGAAGTGCAATATGATTTTTATCACCTTTATTTGCTGAGTATTTATAGGAACTTATGCCAGGCCGTAAAAATTCAGTCAATCAGACTACAGGTGCCGTTGTACAATCAAGCACGATATCAATGGATCACGAGTAGTCACGGATCCTTTACGGCGAAGTCCATCGCATGAGTCCAAAAGAATTGGTTAAAAAAAACATTTGACGTTAACGCGCCGTGGGGAGCCCTTGGAGTGACGTCTATGTGCCACGGGAGAGCTCCATGAGTGAGGCACTCTAAAGTGATAAAGAAAAGGCACCTCTCTCATGGACCTCCAGCGACGCACTGACGTCACTCCAAGAAGCTCTCCGTAGCGCCCAAAAATCAATTTTTTTACTGATTTTTTTAATCGCGGACTTCGCTGAAAAGGAAGGACTGCTCGTGGTGTACGATATTAATTCCGCTAAAATCTACAATAATAAGCAGTAACACGGCTAGTTTCCTTCAAGCGTTTGACCGCAATTAGCAACTTTATTTCCCATCTATTTTTGGCATCGAAATTTAATCGATGTATTTTTAGAGTTTTAAGTGGACAGTGAGGAGCTGGTTCCAAGGCAATCAAAATGATTTCTGCGGTAAAATGACTAATATTAGAAGGATTAAGTTGGCTCTTTTTTTTTCTACATAGTTATGCAACACTTTCTCGTTCTATACCATAGAATATCCCATTTGTCACCTTCATTTCCGTGGCATATTCACAGCTATTCCTGACAAAAATAAAGCTCGTGGTATGTTACATGGTACACCACGAGATTGGGTTACATAACCTGTAAGTGTTTAAAAATACGCTATTAATAACAATATTGAAAATGTATTATATAACATGACGTGTGGCTACTGAAAAAGGTTTGAAAGGTGACAGGTGATAGACGATATTGAGTTACTGATCACAGTCTATCAAATTTATTAGTGCTTGATTGGTACAAAGACCTTGGCCTTACTGATTATCCTGATAATCCTAACTTAGCCAAAATTCATGAGGGTGTCACACACGCCCATTTAAAAGTTCTTCATCAGAAACATATGAATGTCAGAAGACTTAGCAGAATTCGTGCTGAGACTGATGATGATGATGTGAAACTCCTACAGTGTTATGTAATGCTGGATTGCATCGTCTGATTAAAATTTTTATCTGAAATTTTTCCTCTTTTGGGATTGCAATAACAGGGAAGACCAGCTGCGGAGCGCACCACGTCAAGTTAGCAAAAGGCACTAAGGGCTCTCGTCCTGTCTTTTACGGTCTTCTTTTTAAAATCTGTATTCTGTAATATATGTCTACTAACCGTAATAATTCGATTTAACGCCTGGGGCGCTCATTTATTTATGGTGCTTTTACGATGGGGGCGCTCATTAGGGCACTTATTAGATCTTGATAGGAACAGGGCGTGCAATTTTTTTTTGAGAAATTGCTGAATGTGCAAAACAAATCTTTGATGTTTATCTAAGAAGGAACAACAGCAGAAGTTGTAAAAGCGCAAATATACTGTGAATATCCGAATATATTAATGGTAAGGAATATACTCTGGTGGTACTATCAGTGAAACAGGATAGGGTCGCTTACGCAATAAGGTCGCTTATCAACGAAGAGAAATTCGAGGTGGGGGGAAAGGAGTGGAGCTTACTAGAGGGGAGGGCGCTTAGTGGAACGAGGGCGCTTAATCGAATCATTATGGTACATCAAAATCGCTTCACTCAGGTTAACTCTGGTGGACTGACTAGTACTCTTATCGACCTCTCTCTATCTCTCTCTATCTCTCTATCTCTCTCTTTGACTCTATACTTACCCTATCATTAACGCTAAAGCACGTGCTCTTACACTAACTATCGAGCGAGTATGCTGGCCAACCTGACCTTGGAGGATTTAACCCCCTGTTGTCAGGTCCCTAACCCAAACACTTTTATAGGAATCTCGCATGTTTTATTTATTTATTTATTTTTTGTTTTGTTTAAGAAACTCACCTATAAAAAAAAATGTATTTAATGCTTCCGATCTTACTCTTTGACTGCCTAACCAAAATAAGAACTCTAGTGTGGGTATAAGGCAAGGTCAGCAGACAAACTAAACACTTTCACTGATGAAAGTCAGACAAGACAGTCACAATTAGAAGGCTCATTACAGTAGTTTTTGTCTGAATAACTTCGGACTTTAGAGTTGCTAAGTTTAGCTCCAACCATCCCCTTACCCTCCCCCGCTTCCTCCCACTTAGTCTCCGAGAGTCCGTCCGTCCATTTTGCCTCACGTGAATTTTTGTCCTAGGAAGCCTGGAAACGGTTGCCTTGAGACATTCATTGATCGTTTGACTAATGCGTCAAGGCACTAACTTTCTTCGATCCTCGCTTAGCAACGACCCATGAGACGATACGCTGCTCAAGTGAACTAAATATCAGAGAGTATTTTTACGCATGATACGAGAGTAAGGATTAAAAATCTGCATTGGAGAATTTTTTAAGTGAAGTGTCGAAAGGCCTCGAAAGTGTTCGAGTATCAAATTTGTGTCACTTTGCTCCGCTGAGTGACAAAGTCCGTGCTCACCTCAGTCACTCGAATGCTACAACGCGGTTTACTTTAAAAAAAGAATCGTGTTCCTCATAAAAGTTGCTTAAACTGATTTCTAATTTAGCACAATGAAAATTCAAGTTACTGATTGCTTAAACGAGAGTTAAAATACAGTTTTATGTAGCTGATTTTCATCCAGGTTTAGGTTTACCTGCACATGTCTTGCTGGTGTGAATGAGGCAGAAGACGGACAGTCGGATGGGTGAGGGGAAAGTCCATGAGAGAGCGAGACGAGATAAGCTAGATTCCCATATCTTTGGCCAAGCTTCGCGCCAATAAACTCCCTTTAATTTGCCACAATCATGAGGGGGATATGACTGGAACAGAGGACTCGCGTCATTCTATCAACCTATCAGATACAAACACCAAGCCATTTATCCACTTTTGCAGTGAGTCTCTTGGAGCTCTAATTGGTTCCCTACGTAGGATATTGTTATTATTATTATAACTATTATTTATTTCCCACCAAGGTTCACCGATCATTAACAGGATATGTCACCTGTAATGTCACGCGACCCTTGAGTCATGTTTTATTTAATTTTAAAGCTTTGGAATTGCGATTTAATCGTCGAGTCCTTATCAACCGCTGCTTCCGAAATGGGCGATTTACCCAACAGTTTCTCTCATTCGCTATCTATCCAGTCCACTGAAATCCTGAGGAAAGAACGAGTTGGCTGGACAATCCTTGCCACTTTTATTGCAGCTATTGGCCCTGTAACCTTTGGTTACTGTGTGGGGTATTCTTCGTCAGCGCTGCTTGATTTACAGAACGAAAATGCACCTTCCGATGTTCGCCTATCGTCCGAACAAGCATCATGGTTTTCAGTAAGTTCAATGGCACTTTTTTACAATGATATTATCAATAGGAAAATAACTATGCTGATTCTGCGCGAAATTCTGACTACAGCTTCTACAGTTTTTGCGATTTTTAACTTTTTTTCCTTTTCAATAAACGTTATTCTTAATACAGCTTGGAGATATTTTTCTATCTGAGCGGTGCGGCGTTATTCATGGAGAGTCAAAAATAAAAATTAGGCTATAGTTTTGTCTCAATTAAAAATTGGTCGGTGAAAGCACGTTAGTCGTTCATCAGTTTCTCCCCTGCTCCCAAAGTCTGAATGCTGGCGTGATACAACAAGAAACGGGCGAGACATCTGACAACCCCATGAACAGACCAGAAGACACATGACATTGCACAGACAGCCAGCGAGCACGTAGATATTACGCTCTATTTTGACCACTCTTTACCTGTCAAGAATTTTTAATGATAAGAAATTTGGAGCTAAATCGTCAAGATGTTGAGGATATGTTGCGAACAACCATATTTCAAGCGCATGGTGATGGAAAATAAATAACATTACCAAAAAGAAAAAAGAAACCTAGTGTTTGCTATTGTGCGATTGAAGAGTTTGCTGGTAATTTATATCATTTTATTTATTGTTTTCGACAAATTTGGCATTCAAAGCGATAAAATTTAAGTGTACATATATTCAATAATCTGGGAGTACGAACAAGGATATTTCTGTCTGACGTCGGGAAAAAAAAAAAACTACTGAGCCCAGCTCGAAGAGCAAGACGTTAATCATTGGAAATCGATGTCACTTCTGTGTTTGTAATGTTTGCAAGATTATCTTTAAAAGGGAATTTTTCGCCAGTTCTGCAGAGAGGATCCGAACGAAGGGTCATATGCCACGGCTTTTCCAGTTAAGAGAATCTTTATTAATAAATGACACACCGGATAAATTTGTTCCCGTTTGTTGTAGTAATACACTTCATTTCACGTTTAATCCGCGTTCAATTCACGAGCAGCAGCCTTTAATCCGCGCTCGGCCGCGTTCGTGAGCGTTAAACGCGAACAGGGAAACCAAAATTCGACTTCCTTTACAGGGAGCATTTCCACCTTAATAAGCCGTGTAATTGCAGCGCAAATACGATAGCGTTACGCGTCTCTTGAAATCATCCACGAAAATGGTCCACAAGCGAACGGCTTTCTGGACAAGGTATAGTCAGAAAACGAAGCTTTGCGTATAAAGCTAGTAATTTCTATCTCTAAAAGCGCACAGTAAATCATGTCAGAGGTTTTTACTTCATATGGCCATGGGTAACAAAGAATTCGTTGAACAGTGCAGCGCAACTGAATGCGACACGTCACACGTCCGTTGAAATCCTATGTCGACAGTGACCGGATAAGAAAGGGTAGGTTGGAAAATATGAAATGCCGGAATTCGTAACCGGAGTACCAGGAATTCCCGGAATGATCGAAAAATTATAATGCTATATGCAGTAAAGTCACTTTAGAAACTGAGAGAACTGTATACTGGATCTTTCCATTATACTTTAACTTAAAGGGCATGTAAACCCAAAAAACGTTCATTTTCTTTTCACATAGATGTTTAGTAAATATATCAAGTACACCAAAGGTACCATTCGTTTATTCTCAAAAGTCCATTTTCACTTTGTAAAAGCTCTTCCAAATTCGAAACATTCGCCATCTTGAATGGCGCCATCTTTCCTGTGACGTCACGGGTGGACCCTCCAAAGTCTCGTTTTATAATCGCGTGAGGCACGAAGGAGTCTTTCCTACAGCCGTTGTTTGCTGGTCTCGTCATGATTTTTTTACTTACAGTTTGCTTCAATACACTCAATTTTTTTCGTAATGGTGAAGCGTTGTGTCGTCCAGTTTTGTACTGATTCAAACAAAACTGGGCATACAATGCAAATATTTCCAAATGACGCAAATTTGAAGCGACAATTTGTGAAATTTGTTCAAGTGAAAATAGCCGATTTCGTCGAGCCGTTCGAACGTTCTGTTGTTTGTGGCAGTCATTTTTCTTCCTGGTGCTGTACCGACGATTCAGGCCTCACCAGAAGCAAATTATTCGGAAGTATAAAAACGACCCATACAGTCGGCAGACGACGAGGATTCGGAAGTGGCCGACCGAACTGAGAAAGAAGTTGAGCTCTTCAAAAGTTAGAGGTCAACAGAGAAAGTACAAAATCGATTTACATGAAAACGTTTTGTTAATTAAACAACAATAGCTTTATTGGTTCTCTAAAAACATCTTTTTTCTCATCTAATGAAATATTATGGGGAAGCCAGTTGTTCGGGAGCCAGCGCTGAGCCCGTAAAAGACACTGACATGTCTGAACCTTAAGAAAGAGAATTCGTTGATATCAGTGTGTAATAACGTGATCTGGAATTTTGTCGGTTCGATAAAAAGAATTTGTCGGTTCGATAAAAAGAATTCTATACAGGATCCCATAATCAACCCTTATGTTCTATAAGAAAATCCAAGCCAGCCCCACTTGGTGCTTCCTTTGAGAAACCCTGCAGAGAAACAGCAGAAGAATTTGTGTCACGGTTTTTACAGCAGTGAAAATGCATTCAAAGGTCAGTAGGACAATATTCATCATTTTGAGTACAACTTAAAAGATCCTGATTTCAGCTTGCAAAACTATCTTTTCAATATTTCAAATCGAAGCAAACACAAACAGGGTTGGATAATTATGAAGGGCACACAAGGAAATGTACATGATACAACTTTTTTATCGATGGAAATGCTTCTGAGATGAAGGATATTGTTTACCGCACAAGATAGCACAGCGACCCTAAAGTGTTTGCCGAGATATCCCCAACACCAACGAACAAGCTATCTGTAGGCAATTTAGCGAAATTTCCTGCCAGGAAAGAAGCGAAAAACAACTAGCTCTAGTACTGTATTATTAAATCAATGGCAGAAACTCAAGTAAATCGATCTCAAAATGTAACAAAGCAGATGAAACAGAAAATATTTAGCTTATACCCCATTCACACCAAAGCTTAAACATGTTTTAAAGTTGTTTTGTTAAACACACTTTAATTTTTTTTTCTTAGTAGAACCAACTTTACCTAATATTTTCTACTTAAAATATAGCCCATTGGAAATGCAAGTTAGCAAGTACTTGAATCTTACGCAAAATTAAGTTTTTCCAGTTCTCTCTTTGTGATTTTCATTCAGTAAAAGTCAGTTTAACAAAACATGTTTTGCTGGTGTGAATAGGGTATTAGTCGTTTCCGGTGTGATTATCTGTGCTTTGCTGCTGCCTGTACGCGTACTTGGCCGTCTTCAGCACCCAGAAATCGAGGCAAATTGACTGAAAACCTGGATGCTCAGTGATACAACTTATCTGGGTTTCAGGTCATTTTGCCACAATTGCCCGATTTCCGTACAACAAACACTTTCATGAGTTGTCGGCATTGGTTGACAAGTTCCACACTCGCACCTTTGATAATTTTATATAAAACACTTTCAGAAGCTCAATTTAAAAAAGATTCTGTTGCATTCCTTTAGATTGTATCCTCGCCTTATTGCATTTTCATGTTAAATACATTTAAACGAGTCTTTAGTTTCACTACGTTGCTCAAAGTTTCCTTTGTTTTGTCTTTTTCATATTTTTCTCAACCGGAAACTTTTATTATACTACATAGAATCGTGTATAGAGAGATTCCATTCCTCAAAGTATTTCTCTCAGCTTGAAATTACTTCGCGACGTGAGCACACATCACCTGGGACTCAACAATGTCCTGATGTTCACAGGTTCTTTTCATAACTTTCCCACAAACTGTTCAAGGTCATAATTCAAGCCTCTCTTCGTTGTTTATTTTTACACCTGACGATGCTTTTTAAGAAGTACAATTCGGAAACTAGTTATGATCTTCAGAAACCCTTCAGTATTGTCCACTTTACCAACAAATGCACCTCGAGATAAAGGGTTTTTGTCGATCAGGCGACCGCAGTTAACTGACAGTTTGATCGCTGGGGGATCATGCAAAAGCATTGAATAAACAGGCAAACATAAACCGTGGGAAAGTTTGCGATTTTTAAATTATGTACATTTTTAAAAGGTTGTTCCTGTATCGGCACTATTCTGAAAGAATTTACCAATAACGCGCTGAGCTTATCGGCTGGTCTTAATAGTAGCTGCTTGGATTGCTCCCAATGTGTGGTTAATAATTATTTAAGGTATAGTATTAATTTGTAACAGTTCCAAGATTCGGAGCTTTTTACAATTGAACTATTAAACTAATTGGAAATGTTGCATTTGTTTAATCTTCTGCAACGGTTCCGGCTTGAAAGGCGCGGCAGCCTAATAGTTATAGCACCCTAGACATCCTGCAGGTGTATAAATGAGTACAGGCGAATTTAAAACGGGGAGTAACCCTGTGATGGACTAGCCGTCCAATCCAGGGGGAGGGGAGAGTAGAAATATTTTCGTCACTTAGGCTGTATGGACTACTGACATGACGCAGACTTTTTTAATTTCTAGTATGTACATCACCATAAACAGTGCCGATAAGTGGTTATTTATTTAACGCCACGGGATCCTCAAAGAAAAATTTTGTATTTAATTATATAATTACGTTATAAATTTACCATTAATTATTAATGAACATTCAATTAATTATTAATTATCATTATATTCTTATTTCTTTATTAATTTTTAGTTTAATTTTTTTTAAATTTATCATTTTTCATTCACTCCGGGAATTCCGGCTGTTCCAAGTATTCCTATTCTGGTTTCGAATTCCAGCATTCTTTATTTTCCAACCTACTGATAAGAAAGCTAACTTTGAAATATCCCGCAGCGCTTTTTTTCGCATCAGGCATATTCCGAGATCTTCACTCTGCGAACAGGCATTATTTCCTCTTTTCTTAGCGTTTCAGGTGAACGGATAGGAGATAAGTGTAAGGCGGGTGCGGAAAAAGTGCGTGGCTAACGCGCGAAAAACTCAAGAAGCGAGACACGCGCAAGTGGACAAGCGCGAAAAAAGTGGCGCGTAATTTTGTTCGTACTCTTCCTCTCTCGCGTGATTTTTACCTCACCCTCTTCCCACACTCGCCCTGCATTAGTCCACGCTGGTAGAAAAAAAAGGCGCTCCCATGCCCCAACCCCCTTCCCCCTTCAAAAAAAAGTGTTACCTGGGAGGGCGCTCTAGTGATATTTGGACTGCTAGCAAGCTGCACAACGGGTGTAAATTTTTGGTAGTGCCGCTGTCCAGATGTTAAGTTCTGAGAAACATTTTTTTCCAAAATACTGTAAATCACTGAATATGCTAATCATGGCGTCTTGATGTCGCTTGCGTTTAGCAAAGTAGATAACAATAAGCCACAATACATCTTCCACCTGAGAAGACCCCTCACCTTGCCATATTTTAAACGACCACTTCCACAATCCGGCTAGTCTTAAATGCGTGCATACCGTTATATCCATGAATATCTAATTTTTTAAATGAATTATTTCCAGTCTTTGCTCAATGTGGGTGCTATTGTTGGAAGTCTTATCGGTGGATGGGCGATTGACAAGTTTGGTCGAAAGGGTACCATCGTTTTATGTGCGATACCTTTCGAGATCGGATGGCTCCTCATAAGCTGTGCTCATCACGTTTCCATGTTTCACGCTGGCCGGATCATTACAGGCTTAGGCATCGGTGTAATTTCACTTGCTTACCCGGTAAGACATAAGGGCTTAAAGTAACATCAGATTTCAGACCTTAAGGTCCATTCTACCGTAGTTTACTCCGGTTTTAAAAGTCTAAAGCGAGTGTGAGCAGAGCCGTACGCCCTCCCCTCCCGCCCCCCTCCTAGGAGCTTCCTAAACTGGTGATCATTTCTTTTATTCTCATGACCTTTAATTTTGATTCAGGGGTGATACTGTAAGGAGAAATGAGTAGCCAGTCTCTCTTAAGGGTTGAAGGGTTTGCGTGGTCAACTATACCGCGGGCACGCCAACGCCACAGCTTTGTCCAGTAGTCCAGTGGTCAGTGCACTGGGCTCCGAGTCAGACGACCCGGGTTCTAGTCCTGGCCGGGGCAAGGCATTGTGCCCTTGAGACATGCGGGACAAAAAATGCAAGCTCCGCTTTTAGGCTTTGCTAAATCTATATATTATATGTTAGGTCAGGAATAGCATTGTTCTAGTAAGTAGCACATCGCGCGCACCCGAAGTCCAGCATGGTAACCACGAGGCTATCACTTCGAACCGTTCAACTGAATAGAGAGCCGTCAGTAGTAAACTCCCAAGAAGCTTGTATTCACACGTTCTAGAAGTCTGGCCCTGAGCCCTCATTGGCACTTTATGTTGTGTTTTTGGGTGAGACTCTAGAGTCACTGAATGCCTCTCGCCACCCAGGGCTATCAATCGTTACCGCTAAAAAAGTCAGCAAAACCTGACTTGTGCTGCGAGTAAACCATTATCTCATCTTGGGGAGAAGACTGGAACAAGCTGCAGCAATTTATAGCTCCCTTGATCCCTATAACTTAGTCTATCCGTTCTGCCTTAGGTCTACGTAGCTGAGATCGCAACTGCACGACTGCGCGGGACACTTGGCGCTGTCAATCAACTGGCCATAGCAGCTGGCATCTTACTAAGTTATAGCTTTGGAGTCCTTGTGCATTGGAGGTGGCTGGCTCTCATTGGTGCTATGCTCCCTGCCCTACTCGTGATTTTGATGTTCCCTATGCCGGAGACCCCTCGCTGGTCGTTGGGAAATAACCGAAACAGCGAAGCGGCCAGTGCATTGCTGTGGTTAAGAGGACCTGATTTTGACGTCGAGGAAGAGTGTTGTGTGATTAAAGCGAGTCTAGACGAAGGTTAACTCCTATAATATATCAATTGATAGTGAGGGGAATTTACCTCATCCCCACACAAGGCTCCTTCGTTCCCTTTGAAAACCATGTGAACCCAACCCCCTCCCTCCAAAAAAAGATTTCTCCTCCAGCGCCCTGACTGTTTCCTTACTCGGAACTGATTAGATCAAGTGACCACCACAAACCGTATAATATTAAGCCAAGCTTTAATAATTATTCGATCTAAAAGAAATACATTTATAATTCGCAATTAGAACAAACGCAAATCAAGTCTTTATCTTGTAACTGAAGTCAAAAACTTCAATATAAACTTACTTCTGTGGCGGGTCGTTACAACAGTCTCACTTTACGGGTTAGCAGATTCTCCAGGTAAGCGGATTTAGAGACAGAAAAACGATAACAAAATAACTTCTTTCTCACTTCGATTCTGCTGAAAAACTGACTTAAACATAATAATCTAACGCTTTTAAATCAATCTATTGAATTAATGTCAATCACGATTCTTGTCATCGAATAAATCTGTCAACACGAGGCAACGCCTATTTATTAAACGAAACATTCTCCGCCCCGATAAGGGCGTAGTCCTTATCCTTCTTGAAGTCAGCCTAATTTTATTTAGTCGTATCCCTCAGCAGGATATATAACAGCAATCTTGGTGACTGGGCGGCTGTATTCTCCGGCTGGTGTTTTTACTTTGACATTACGGACTCGGCCATCTGTCCCGGGATACACCTCGATTACTCTGCCGATGGTCCATTTACCTCGGATAGCATTGTTGTCCGCCATGACTACAATGTCATCGACTTGAACGTTTCGCCTTTCTGTATGCCATGCCTTCCTTATCACTAGCGCTGGCAGTACGTCTCTGCTCCAACGTTTCCAGAATGACTCCACAATTTTCTGCACAAATTCTACACGGCGTCGCGGGTTTTTCGTGTCTTGGAATGGGCCTTGAGGAACTTCCGGTGTTGCTCTTCCAAGAAGCATGTCGTTCGGGCATAAATATTTGCCGTCATCCGGGTCATTTGGAACACGGCCGATCGGGCGTTGATTAACGAGATTTCCAACTTCTAGCAGACATGTGTATAACTCGAACGGACTTAGAACCTGTTCTCCTATTGCCTTCTTCAAAGCACGCTTACAACTTTTGACGAGTGCCTCAGCACATCCGTTCTGATGAGGGGCAGCTGGAGCGGTGAACAGCCAGTTGATACTTCTTTCAGCGCAGAAATCACGGAGTTTGTCAGAATCTAAACCTTCGACCATTTCGCGCAATTCCCCAACCATTTGCCCATTGTCTCAATAGCACTGCCAACCATTTCTTAGCACCTGGATAAATTCCATTGTTGACCCATTGTCGCTCAATAGCACTAGCCGTTTGGGTATCCACGGATTTCTCGACAAGAAACACATTTAAATTTCACAGCCTTACTGAGCTTATTCGCCTTCAAGATCCAGAGTCTTAAAACTCCAGGATGCCCATGGTTGTGCATATGGCTTGTAATCAACAGGGATATTCTAGCTCATTGGGAAGCAGCACACCTGGATAAATTCGTCATTGTTGATATTCTTCATTCGGTCAACAGCCATGACATCTCAGCCTTCTTTAACTCTTCAGGCATGAGAGGTCCTTCTCGTCCGTTCCAGATGGACGGCTCGGCCCAACTAGAAATTCTTCAGCAGGCTGGCATCTAATCTGTCAGGCACAGTAAATCCACTTTAACTTTGAAGCTGAACTCATCTGTAACATAATTCCAAATCACTCCAAGCACCTTTTCTTCAACTTCTTCCTGGAACATCTTGAACTCATTTTCCTGATTTTCTGTCTTGGTTAGACTTATCACCAAACGTCAGGACTGTTTTACGTACACATCAGGTTCTCTTTCCGTTTCCAAGTTTCTCCACAGGAACCGATGAACATGTTGATCCTCTTCTGGGATGCGTATACGGTGATACATTTTGGATATGTCACCCATCACTGCTACTTCTTTTTCTCTAAACCTCAAGATTACTCCAAACAGATTGTTCAACAAATCAGGCCCCTTAAGCCAATAATCATTCAGTGCGTGACCTTGATAGACTGAAGAGGAGTTGAAGACGATTCGTACGGGTGTGCTCTTCTTCTCAGGTCGAATAACGGCATGGTGTGGGATGTAATGCACCGGGCCTTTGCTTGAGAACTGCATCTCCTTTTCTTCCATCTGTTTGTCATGGTTTCATCGCCAATGGCTTATTATCCGGCAACAGCATGGGGTCTTTCTTCCAGTCCACTGCTTGCCCACCTTTTCACACGACTTGGAAATGATTTCCTCCTAGAGGTGTTCTTCTTGCAACTAGCTGTCCAGTTTGCCTGGTCTGTCCAGTATGCATCTGGGCGTGGTCGATTCCTATTAGTAAATTTGCCTCTGATCCTTTCGGTCCAAGAAGCTTGGCGATCGGTCTAAGCTGGACTGCTGACACTTCCTCACTAATGCGCGGGCTTGATCGTCTCCTCTTCTCCTCCCACTTTCGCGGTGTCTCCGGCAAAAGAGTTTCATGGTGCGCGACGCCAACTTTGACTGCGGTGCTCTTGTGAAGCAACGGGTGATGAAAATGCATGCATTCCCTTCCGCTCCTACTTTCGTGATTTTTTTCTTTGATTTTATACGTTGGTCCCGAGGGCAGCGAATTTATGCCGGAGACCCCACGCATACGTGATTTCATCTCTACGTCCATCCACTTCATCAGTCGCTCTAAAGTTGCTTTTTCTCCCTGACGCTGGTCATTGGGATAGCAAACCTCCTTCAGAGTAAACCGAAACAAACTTTACTATGTCTTGCGTGATGGTGTCGGACACGAACCTTGGATCTCCGTAAATAAATCCCACGCTGCCTTATAGTCCGAACCTATCCCTTTGCCAATGCATTGCTGTGGTTAAGAGGACCTGATTTTGACGTCGAGGAAGAGTGTTGTGTGATTAAAGCGAGTCTAGACGAAGGTTAGCTCCTATAATATATTAATTGATAGTGAGGGGAATTTACCTCATCCCCACACAAGGCTCCTTCGTTCCCTTTGAAAACCATGTGAACCCAACCCCCTCCCTCCAAAAAAAGATTTCTCCTCCAGCGTTCTGACAATGAATAATAACTAGTCCCTTAACCCCTTCACTCCCAAGATCTCATTAGTAATTCTCCTTACTGTCTGCCATACAATTCTGAAAATGTTAAGTCGGAGAATTTGATATTGGATCAACTAGTAATCCCATAATTGATATTTTTCTTTATTCTCATAATTTTTCTGCTTGATATTGTATTGATATAGTGAAGAGAAATTCTGTCTTGGCCAGTCATGGGAGTTAAAGGGTTAATTGGAGTGGATGTAACTGTTCATTTTATTCAATCCTCAACAGATCATCAGGAGAGGCTTCCTTGGCGTGACTTCTTATTACCATCGATATTAAAGCCCCTGCTGATCAGTATTGGGTTGATGATTTTCCAGCAGTTCTCCGGGGTAAACGCAGTAATCTTCAATGCTGCATCCATCTTTTCAAACGCAGGCTTTTCCGATGCAAAGCTTATCAGCATTACTGTGGGAGCCGTACAATTTATTGGTGCTGGCCTTGGTTGTCTGCTCATGGACAAAGCTGGAAGACGAAAGATCCTTCTGATGACTGGACTGGTGATGTGCATCTGTCATGTAGTACTAGGAGTGTATTTTGAGATCTACATCCCTCCAACAGAGAAAACCCCACAAGCGGACACTCTCGCCTTGCTTGGTTCTATCCATAGATCTGTTCCAGCGAAAAGAATTTCCTCTCTGTCAATCACAAGCCTTGTCGTATTCAACATGTTTTACGCCCTCGGTTGGGGACCAGTTGCGTGGTTAATAATGTCGGAAATATTTCCTCAACGAGCTCGAGGCCAGGCTGGTGGTATTGCGACGTTGATTAATTGGACATGTTCTTTTATCGTTACCCAAACGTACCAGTCCATGGCCGACACTTTGTCTATCCAAGGGGTATACTGGTTTTATGCCGGATGTTGCTTCTTCGCGTTTATTTTCGTCTATTTCCTTCTACCTGAGACAAAAGGCAGGACCTTGGAGGAAATGGAAGCCATGTTTGACCAAGATAAACAAGACTATGAAAGGATTAGCTAAGTAATAAGAAAAAGATGAATAGTTATGAGGCATATTTCCGTCGGTCGGAGTAGCCAAATTCATCCCTAAGCGTTTTTTGAACACCAGGGCTCTTCATCGTAGGAAAACGTTTTCCTGTGGTGAAGTCTTGATAAGCAGAAGCTGAGTGCGAAAGTTTTTAGGCAAGGCTTAAGCGCAAATTTTGAACCATTTCTGAAATGTTTTTGTGGGTTTACTTTGCTTTTCATTGTGATTATTTAGAAACAGTGCGTTGCGCTAAAACACTGCGTTTCCCTTCCAGCCAATCAGCTGATCAGAAAGATTTTCCGCATGAATATTGGAAAAGTAAAGCACTTATTAAGTAACAGTGCAGACTTTTCCCATAAAGCCCTTAGGTAACATTGTTGATTATAACCGACTGTATAACCTTTGCCGCCCTCTTTCCAGACAGAAAACAGAAGTGATCGTTTAGATGTTTAGAATGTACGATTTTTGCACATTGCCCTGGCGGAAAATTAGTTCATATTCATTTGCTTCTTCACAATTTCCTTCCACACAGGGGATATAGTAAATAGGCTGGTGTACATACAGTGTAGGTTTATTTCAGCACTTACACGAAATAAAAAAATATTTGATCCATCAATTCAGTTAAGTATATCTATTGGTATTACGACACTCCGAACTAACACGAGCCTCGATAAATGATAATGATAATAATCTGATGTGTAAAGAGAATCATTAATCAAAATTTGAAGGCACAAACCGCCAGTCAATTACAATTACAACTACAATATAATAACCGTAATTCGAGTTCTTGTTACAATTACTACCCGATAACAAGTGGTATAATGCGTGAGTTTTGTTTCAAGCGTGCTTGAAGCGTTTCGCACCTGCGAACGTAGAAGTGACTTAACATAGTGATTACATACCATCAGAACCAAGTTGTCTTAGAGGAATTGAAAACGGCCACATTGGCCAGTTAGTTGTTGTGGCAAAAGATGAATCGAAAAAATACGTGTAGTTAAATGATTTTGTGTTCGAAAAGTCTCACTTTTCCATTCTCTTTTTTAGATTTCTTTACACTTGTGACGGTGTCAATTTTCTCTTTTTCCGGAAAGTTTGCCGGTTTTTTGCTATGTTGTGTATTTGTCCATCTTTTTCAATTTTGCGTGGGAAATTGGCGCTTGGCTGGCCAAATTCGATCCGTTTGCGCATGCTTTACGTTTTAACGTTGTCTTATCCACACGTGGTTACTCTCCTGCTTTGCCACTCTGTGACATATCACACAACACTCCATCTAAGCGTTGCGTGACTTTATAACCAAGGCTGGGATGCTGGTCATCACGTGTTTTCGATGACATAATGGCACCAGCTTGCAGCACCTGATGCGAATCACCGAATTAAGTCTTTGCCATTTAACGAAGTATCGAACATGGCTGAGTTCGAAAAAAGCCACATACACTCGCCATGTTCCCAGTCTAATGAAATGAGCGCGATTCAAGACAGAGTTGACAGATCGATCCTTGCCACCTTTATTGCAGCACTCGGCCCAGTCAGCTTTGGATTCTGTCTGGGATATTCATCGTCTGCCTTGCTGGATTTACAAAGCACTGATGCACCTTCTGCAGTTCGTTTATCTGACGATCAGGCATCTTGGTTTTCAGTAAGTTGAGTATTATTATTCGTAGGATCATATTTATGCCACTATCATTACGTCGTATAGAGTACTCCTTAATTGCTTCGCGTTTTATATATTTATTTTTTAACGTGTGTATCATGTAATAACCGCATATGTAACGCTGACTAGACTTAGCTAAACTTTAAAACAACATCTGTAAAAAATTTTAAAAAACCCAAAATTTAGCCTAAAAACATAAATAGATTGGAAAAACTGTTTCTGCTTCGGTTTCAACGAAATCACGCCTCGGGCTTAACCGAGCAGCTTCTATTTTTGTACTACAGAGACTGCCGAAGGGGGCCATTTTGCCTCTTTGATATCCCACGGTACATTTCCCTCATTATTTCGCCTGTGGCTAAAACTGTTTGTTTGATAGCTGAGGAGCCACATGACTCTCATGAGAATCACATGATTTACGATGGGATCCATTTGAAAATGACGTGGATCAGTGCTTTTAATATAACGTAAAACAATTGTAGAAAAATCCACAAGATATTGTTTTAAAAGAGGAACAGCGTCAAGGCAATGTAGCGGAACCCTTGATAAAATTTTAAGTAGCAATAAAAGAAGATAAAAGAATTTTTGCGTAAATTCTGCCCCAACGTGAGTTGTGCACGTAACTTCTCCTATTTCGGCTGGTGATGATGCTTTATTTAGTAAATCAAGAAGCGGCAGATTTTCTCTGCATGCTAGAAAAAAAAAAAAACTTGCTATTTCCCATTCCTCAAGTACAAAAATCATTTCCCACCTTTCGATCCGGTAGAAAAAGTTTTCGGAAAGATCCGGCAAACAATTTCTTTAAAATAATCAATTTGACACGCTATTTAGTCACCCTTTTGACCCAAAGCCCTAATTTGAAATGATAGTGCTGAAAGGTCCTTGCTCGAAAGACTGTGTCACGCTATGACCGATGGATCACGATTGTCCAAGTTTGCATGAAGGCAGTCATTCTTAATGTTCTTCATATGTCGCTCTTGAATATTTATTGGCCCTGTGTATTTGTAAAGGACGTAAAAGTACAATTTTTTTGGACGGAAGCAGGAAAATTGTATGCATCGTGGCGTGACATGCCTCCTATAAGAAAGCTAGCGCTAGCTTCATGAGTTAGATGCATTGTCAATGCTATGATGGGGCTAATGGAAATGAAGGATATCATAAATCTCTTGTTGTGACCTTTGGTTGAAGGAAAAAACGATAATTCTAGTCCGTAACGGAACTTACCAGCGCTCAATAAGTCGAAAAAAGACCGACCAAAGATAATGCGGAGAACTTCAAAACAGCCACACTCCAAGATAAGATGCTTCCCTCTAGTGGGGACCAGCAATAAAATTTGTTTCCGTTTTTGAAAAAGGATGTACGTGCAAAGAACATCTTGGTCAGATTTAAGATTTTAAAATCGCAAATACTTAGATGAAATTCTTGGAATGCAGCAGTTTCGATCAATCTAATCAGGCTGACCTCTGTCTATTGTATATAGGCCAGATGTCGAGGTAACTACACACATCCAAGTAGTGAGGGTATGTCTCTGTTAGCTTCTTTAAAACCTCGTTAGTGAAAGATTGGATCTCTATACTTTGAACTACACATCGCGTATGAGGAGCTAAGAAATGAACTAGTTTTGTAGTTGGAGGGTATAAGTGACATTTTTATTTTCCATCTGAATTTGCTAACAGTCTACCTTTAGACAACAATTTTTATACTTAAGCTTCGTGCCTTTGAGATTCATTCTTATACATTTTGTTCTAGTCTTTAGTTACTATTGGAGCTATTTTCGGAAGTGTCATTGGTGGATGGGTGATTGACAAGCTTGGTCGGAAAGGTACCATTATGTTTTGCACAATTCCATTTGTGCTTGGATGGCTTCTCATTTGCTTCGCTCAGAGTGTTGCCATGCTTTACAGCGGTCGGATCATTACAGGCCTGGGCTGTGGTGCAATCTCGTTGACTGTTCCGGTATGTCTGTAGATTTAAGAATTGGTCAGTTCGTGATTACCGAAAAGTATAAATAAATGACAAAGAAATAACAACCACGAAAGATTTCAAGACCAAATCATTAATTGATGAAATGTAAATTTTATGCTCAGAACCGAAAACGAACAAAAAAAACGAGATACGTGTGATAGATTTAACCTGCTTGGATTGGATTCTTATTTACTAGAATTCACGACCTGAAATTTGCGTGGCTTTGTGTTAAAAATTCTGAAAATTATGCTTTTTTCAAAACAAAATCTCCTATTGAGCAACACTTTGGGACATATAACACTTAAAGAGTTACCAACGTCGCAAAGCCTCAGTTGAAGTCAGAAAACCCAGTTTTGTTTTCAGCCATAATTCGCATCGTGTTTGAGAATGGAGTATCGTCAACTCCAAAATTCAAAGTTTTGAGACCTCGCGGTTAAACTCGACGGGAAATTTCAGTCGAAGTGAAACTACACACGTCATGTTTTGGTGCACGGCCGCGCGTTACATAAGGATTTGTATTGTGGTAGCTCCTTAGGAAATAGATAGGCCTTGCGCGCGCGTTATGTTATAAGACAGAGTGTATCATTAACCTAGCCTTGGTGTAACTGTGTTAAGATTTTAATTCATGATAAGAAGGTTACTATTTTTTTTAACCTTTTAAAACTAATAGCAAGTTGGTAACCCAACTAAACATGACCACGAAATAGTTACAAGAGGTGAAAGTCACGTGAAAAAATTGAAATTTAAAGGCAATGCAAAGCAGGAAAAAATTGCGTTTATGATAGTTTTGCATCAGATGTAAATGGTTAGGCATATGGCGAGAACTCAAGACTAATCACGAAAAGTAATTAATCAAAGATAATGTCAAACTGCTTTATACTTTAACAGAAAATTTCAAATTGCCCTATTAATGGAACATTTTTTCTTTAAGGTCTACATTGCTGAAATTTCAGCTGCTAGGATACGTGGTACTCTAGGGTCTGTCACAAATTTGGCCATCACCGTTGGTCTTATACTTGCCTATGTAGCGGGTGTCTTTTGTCACTGGAGATGGCTAGCTTTTATAGGTGCAATTCCTCCCACGCTGCAAGTCATTCTTATGTTTTCTGTTCCGGAGACTCCTCGCTGGTTGCTGGGAAAGGGCCGTAGAAGTAAAGCCCTAGAATCCTTGTTGTGGTTAAGAGGTCCTGATGCAGACATCGAAGAAGAATGTGTCACCATCAGAGAGACCATAGGTGAGCTTCTTGTAATACAAACACAGAGGAATTTGAAAGTTATTGTATTTAGCGACGCTTTTAGCTCAGAATTTGAATTTGGTTAATGAATGAACTGCTTCACCTTTTCCTATATATATATCTCTCACTGTCATAATTTTGTCGGGCCGATGAAGCTTGATTTAGAGTTGGGAAAGGTTCACAGATATCTGGTGCGTCTATACATATGAAAAAAAGATAACCTTTCTTATTATTTTTTTTTTTTGAGACAGATCGTCATGAGAAATTTCATCTAAGGGAATTATTATCGCCAGAGATCGCCAAGCCTCTTGCAATCAGTGTCGGGTTGATGGCGTTCCAGATGCTCTCTGGAGTCGACGTAGTGGAGTTCAACGCTGCAGGCATTTTTGCAACTGCAGGCTTTTCAAATGGAAAGCTTGCAGCTATTACTGTCGGCTTGGTACAGTTCGTGGCTGCAGGTTTGGGATGTGTCCTAATGGACAAAGTAGGACGTAGAATTCTCCTATGGCCCGCTGCACTTGGTATGTGTGTGTCTCTTGTAACCCTAGGTGTGTACTTCCTGATCTACATTCCTCCGAAAGATGGTGGCTCAACGTCTGACGCTGTTTCCATGCTCAGCTCTATCAGCCACTCGGTGCCAGCTAAAAACATTTCTTGGTTGTCAATCTTGTGCATTGTTCTATTCAACCTGATGTTCTCCCTTGCATGGGGACCCGTTGCATGGCTTGTGATGGCGGAAATAAACCCCCTGCGTGTTCGTGGCTTTGCCTGCAGCTTGGCAGCTTTGACAAACTGGTCAATGGCGTTTGTTGTCACTTATACATATAATTCCTTGGTTAATGCTCTCACCATCCAAGGAACCTATTGGGTTTATGCAGGCATTTCCTTCCTAGGTTTCCTTTTCGTTTACTTCCTTTTGCCCGAGACAAAAGGCAAAACACTGGAGGAAATAGAGGCCATCTTTAATAAAGATAAGCACAATTACGAAAGGATTGACTAAGCATTTGATACTAATTTGATATCTATATTGATATCGTACGGACAATGTTAATTTTAAATTTTTGTTTCCAAAGAGAGTTGAGAAATATTATATTTGATTTGCAAAATATGAAAATGGTGATAAGTTTGCTCCTAAAACTACGTACAACAAGTTATTTGACTCTGTAAGAGATTGATGATACAGTAAATTATATGTTTGCACTTCGAAAATATAAAATCCCTTTCAACTTACGATAATCATCAGACGAGTTAAGGTTGAAAATATAGAACTGCCGCGTTGAGGAGGCACTTAACTGTACTGAACTTGCAAACACGAGATTTGAGATCGTAAAAAGAACAGAAATTAAATTGCATTTGTTTATATAATTGCCACATAGCAAGGAGAGAATTTCTAAATAAATTAAGCATATCTTGTGGCCGTTGCGCTAACCCTTTAGGGTGTCTATTGGGTTTATGGCAGGGTTTTGCAATTCTTCTAAAGCAGACGATGAATATCCCCAAGTGTAACCACAACTGAGAGAGGCCAGAGCAACTGGCATAGCAGCTAAGACAGATCTCCCGAGTCTGCCTTTCTCTTCGGGCTCCTTTAAGTGAACTGACTGCCAGTGGAAATTTTTGATTTGCAATTCTGCCATTTGAGATAACGTCTGACTATAAAACTTGTTTAACTTCAGCAAACCGTATAAATGATCGCCAACGAATGCTTAAAATGTCGTCGTTTTTTGTAACAACGCCGGAGTGTATCAAATAAGTTAAGTCTGTAGCCAAAGTCCAAACTCGCTCTTGTAACGTGATTATTATTTGTTCACCCCTCGTTGGTCTAAAACAATAAAGCAATTTTAAACCCTAACAGTAGTACGCATGCATTTTTTCCTTACTGTAGTCTATACACTCCCTATGGAACTGGAAAGGAGAATGTGTTTTACGATCAAAAGTATCAAGACAAATGTGTTACTGCTTTGGTTTTGCTAACGTACGCAGTTCGTTTTGTGATTGGAAAGTTTCTAATTTTCGTGAAAAAACATCTGAAGCGTAAACTTTTCTGCCAAAAACATCTAGAATTTAGGACGAAACAAACAAGAAAAAGGCTATTATTTCAATTTCGAGGTAAACGCGAACTTTAAATTCAGAATATTAACCTGCCTTTGCAATCATTAAAGTAACGCGTATAAAAAGTTTGCGGGCTCGGAGCATAGTTTTGGTATTTTGCAAGTTGTTCTTTGATAAGCAATTTCACTCTTAACTTTTGTTTTATTTTATAATCTTATTTCGTAACTCTTTAAAACATCCGAGTTTATTGAATTGTGACGGAGAAAAAGAAGAAAAAATTATAGATTGGAAGCCGAGCAATTTTTATATCTTTCGCTAATTGGGTAAGTTTATTTCAAAACATGAGTTGATTTGCTTTTTGCGTTCGTCATCCACTCGAGTGTCTACAAACGATAGCCTCCATTTGGTGCAAAATTATGCATCGATACATGTTTGCGGACGTTTTTTGTTCCAAAATGCGAACAGTTTTCCTAGAACGAAGCTCAAGGAAAACTGTGGTGAATAATAAACAAGCTTAGAAACCATAGTGTTCCGTCGGAGGATTGACCAACCAGATTATGCGTATCATGTACAATTATGTCACAACAAAATTCAACTGCACTTCATTGAATGGAAAGCTCTAAGCGAAAGATGATTACCGTAACTAAGACGAGAAGTCCTCATCTTTCATCGTAGCTATAAAGTGTGATGATATTTTCTTGCGGTAAAAACGCCACCAGCCGCGATTACAGACTGAAGAGAAATGTAAACTTAATAAAAGACAAAGTCCATTTTTTTAAATTGTTTTATTCAAAACATATTTTATTCGAGCCATTCTTATTGTTGCTATCTTTATTGTCTCCAGATATAATTTTATTGCTAGTCCAACTGAGCAGTGGCTCTACCTTTGAGATTGCCATTCGACTGAATTTTCCCGTATACTCACAGCAAATAATGCTATTGTTTACCAAGCTGAGCCGTCATCCTGGCGTATCCACTGCATTTGTACACAAACCGACTCATTAGATTAGATATGTAATACTAAAACAGCGGAAAGCGTTGAAAACGCACTCTGATTGGCTACTTAAAATCCGAATATCCTTTGCTATTCTACTCGAAGCAACGCGCGCGCGATTTGCGCCCGAAAATATTGTAACCGTTGCGGGAATAAATGAGTTAAAATAACCTTTTCGTGCTATATCATCTCACTGCTTTAGTATACACTAAAATAATTATTTACCTCAGTGTCGGGGGCTAATTGTTGGTATTTACCTCGCTGCTTCCTGGCTTGGTAAATATCCACCACCAGCCAGTGACACTGAGGTGAATAGCTGCCAATCAATGTATACTTTCGTATGTTTGTTTAACCGGTCTGTCGAAAAGATCTTCAATCTCTTCCAAGGTTTTTCCCTTTGTCTCGGGTAGAAGGAGATAAACAAACAAGAAGCTTAGCATACAAAAACCAGCGTAAGCCCAATAAACACCCTGGATAGTAAACGCAGCGGCCATAGAGTGATACGTTTTGGTAACAATAAACTGCGTAACTCCGAACACCGTGGTCGCAAAACTGCAAGCAAATCCACGTGCGCGGAGAGGAAATATTTCTGAGATTAAAACCCACGGAAGTGGCCCCCACGCCAGGGAAAACATCACATTGAAAAGAAAAATAGAAGAGACTGGAAGCCAGGAAATCTCTTCGGCCGGTGGACTGGTGGAACCAGATGAAGTGTCTGCGTCTGTTGCGAAGCCTCCATCAACTGCAGGGATAAAGATGGCAAAGAACACGCCCAGTGTTATTAGGGACAAGGACATTACGAGAGCAGAGGTCAACAGAAGCTTTCGTCTTCCTACTTTGTCCACGAGGAAACACGACAAAATATTACCGATGAGTTGAGAAATACCCACAGATATTGCGACGAGCTTCTCATTTGCGATGCCCACAATTTTGAATAAATTTGCCGCATTGAAGAGTATTGCATCTGTTCCAGAGAATTCCATAAACATAAAAATCCCGACGCTAATAATTAAGGGCTTTGCTATTGTGGGCGTTCCAATATCTGTACACTTTAGCCTCCCTTGACGATCTGAAAAAAAAAAGAAGAAAAAAAGCCTTGAACTTCTTGTGACTTAAAAAAAGAGAAAAAGTAAATGAAATTGTTCTTTTGATCGTTGAGCGGATGCTCAACGACATTTTGCTATTTTTGAAAAATTGATTTTTTCATGGGATTAAAGCGCTTGTCTATAATTCTTTTGCATAATTGTAACAAACCTCTTTTTTTAATTTCATCCTGTCTATATTAATTGTTCTTGTGAAATTTTATTGGTCTTTGAAAAATTTACCCATGCTTTTCTACTCAGTTGCACTCGAAATCATATGATAACCTGTACCAGGAGCCTGCTGCCCGTACCATTATCTACGTTAGTAGAAAGTAAAAGAGTAAACATGAAATTAAAGTGAAATTAGAAATAACGCCTGAAAAAAAATTGGACAGACTCTTCTCCATCATAATTGACGCACAGTTTATGTGTTCTCGAAGCAGACTCAATCTCAGTTTGGAGGCGTTAATTCATTCTATCGGTCCACAACGGATTGGAGAGTGGAAACGAAACTGGTGAAACGGCCAGTCCTAAAATTCCAACAATTTTAATTAGAGGTCAATTCAGTTCGTTGGCAAGTTGCACCTTTATAAAATTTCGTCCTATGTCACAACGAGTTAATGCCCCCCCCCTCCCCCCTCCCCCTCTTTCCTCGACTTCACTCGTCGTCTTTTCTTTGCCTATAAAAAATGAACCTCTTGAGGGGTGATGAATTAGGTTATTACTTAAGGTGTCTTTAATGTTGGAACACTCCTCCTTTATGTTCGCTTCTGGACCTCGTAACCACAATAGGACTTCCAGCGCTTCATCCGTTCGGTTCTTTCCCAGTAACCAGCGAGGGGACTGTGGCATGGGAATCATCAGAATAAGGACCAGCGTTGGAGGAATTGCACCAATAAAAGCCAGCCACCTCCAATGACACAGGACGCCCGTTGCCAGGCATATCAACACGCCTAATGTGAAACTCAGGCTCCTGAGGCTAGCTAACACTCCACGCACTCGGGCGGCTGCAATCTCGGCAATGTACACCTAACGGGGGACATATACAGCTCTTTCACAAAGGCAACTTAAAAATGAACTACTTTTTATTTTACAACGCTGATGAAAGAAAGAAAAAAGAAGATAACTGTTTGACGATGATCAAGATTAACAAAATCCGCAAAAAGGTTAGCCAGTTCAGGTGAAGTCTGTATTCGAGCTTAATAGCTTATGCAACCGAAGCTTATCCCGGTGAAGCGACAAGGAGTTTTACTACTCCTCCCTGGTTGGGATACCAGTCTATGGCAATTTTACTCCCACCTTTTTTACTGGGCTTTCCTGACAATAAGCCATTTCTGGAGCTCCTGGCTATTTTCGATACGTTAAAATTCTAACATCATCGGCTCCGATGCTATGGGGGAAAAAACAAACGAAATCAATCATTCATCCCTCAACCTCGATGGGATTTCTTTTGTTTTATTTCCCCAAGCCTCGAAGCCAAGTTTGAATTTTAATGTATCGAAAATGGCCAATTCGCCGTTACCCTTTTATACTCCTGAGTTTTTCGCCCAAGAACACAACACAATGAGCAGGCCGGGTGTCAAACCCAGACCTTCAGACTTTGACCCCGGCCAGTTTTTCTCACTGGGCAAAGGAAGTCTTCAAAAACTCATCATCTCTGTTTCAATCCTTCCTTTCTTTTCAATACGAATGCGGTGGCTTGACAGTTAATACTCCGAAATCCGGTCGAAAGGTGTTTGTTTGAAAACTGGGCGGGACATACACTGTGTCTTGTTTGAAGGTCAGTGACTTCAGTCAGTATACTATGTACTGCCTCTCTCCATACGAGAGTATAAATGGGCACCTATCAACTGTCAGGGAAGCTTAACGAATTTATTGGGGTAACCTGCTAGGGACAAGCGTCCCATCCAGGGTGAATGACTAAACCTTTGTTTGCTTCATGCTGCGGAAACCGGATAAACTTCGATAGTGTGGGACTGTTGGCCAGAGCGCAGACTTAACCTCATCCTTCTTTTCACGAACGACATGCAACGAAGAGTCGTCAATACTCACTGGAACAGTAAAGGAGACAGCGCCACACGCCACACCTGTGATGAATCTACCAGCGTAAAGTATGGCAACACTCTTGGTATAACTGATAAGGAGCCATCCTAGGACGAAAGGTACGGAGCACATCATCGTGGTGCCCTTTCGACCAAACTTTTCAATTGCCCATCCACCGATCAGACATCCAATAATCAGACCAAAAGCAATCAAGGACTGTAAATAAGGATCAAGAACCTTTATCATCTAACAATCTCAAAGTGCCTTTTAGTAAAAACCTAACGAATTACATTCAAGTGCTTCGATCGTGTTTATCGACTAATTCACACTTTTCATACTTTTATTTTTTTATTTTCTGACATATTTACAAGACATTCCTTTGACCCGCAAATAACAAATGCTAATCGAGGCGGGTCAATTTTTTTAAATTTCAAAATTTTTTTTTTTACCAACTTAATTTAATTACACTGGAAATAAAACGGAAATGAAGAAATCTAACATAAAAGGACAAAAAGAAACACAAGAAAAGGAAAAAAAAAAAGGAAAATGGCATGTTCATTGTAAAGGAGAAAAAGTCCTAGAGTTTCGACTTTTACCAAAAATATTGTAGAACTGGTTTCTACTGTTATCTTTCGACAACAATAGCAGTGATGGAAAAGCACGCTTAAAACGGCAGAAATCAACAGAAACTACAAAGGATACATAGGATGGGAGTAACTTTTATTGATTTTACGTGTAAAATGTTCATATTTCGAAATATTTATCGTTGCAAATCGACCATATTTCGTTTCCCATACTATTCCTTCTAACGTGTTCAAATTCTCAACGGTTCCTCTCGTAACTTAACACCGAGTCACACAACAAGCGTCACGCCTTCAAGGCCTGACGCTTTCATGATTAACCGTGTTAGTTAATCGTTTGCTTTTTCTCGAGACGTGAGCTTGGGTCGCCTTTGACCTATTCAGCATGTGGTCTCTACCACTAAGTAATAACTCTCTACCGAAATACACGTATGTGATGAGCATTTAAGTAAGAATTAGACACGCGCCTCGTGTTCCATTTTTAGATCCCTAATTTTGCCAACTGGAAGCTAAAGGATAGTTACTAAAAGCATGGAATGACCTAAATCTACCTAAAACCACCTACAACCACCTAAAACCACCGAAACCACCTGAAACCACCTACAACCACCTTCAAAATACTATTTTTTTTATCATTTTGGACGTTTTTTTTGACAATTTTGTTGACAAATGTAAATACACACGGGAAATGTTGTCCTGTCTCGCGGTTTCCATCGATAGCGAAAACTAATACCCCTGTAAATTAAGTCACTGTCTGCGACATTTGCCCATCCGATGGCTCGCATGACCAGGGAAAAACACAAAGAAAATTGTTTACACAGGAGCAGCACCAAGAGCCTTAAGACTTTTCGAGTAATACTTAAACTACGTTTTCGAGGTCAGCTTTTTTCAACGTCTGACAGAGGTAAACGGGACACCAAGCGGGTAGTCAGAAATTTGACGAGGTTGCGTAATATAACATTAGGGGTGATTTGCCTCTGGGAAATCCGAGCAATCCTAACCATCTGAAATTGCTTCAAATCGGGCTGCGGAGCGTGTGTACAGCAAAGGAAACAAACCGTTTTACAATAAGTTGGTATTATTTAGAGAAAAAAATTAAATTGACCGAGAATAGGAAACCACGAAAAGAACAGTGACATTTGAAACGTTGTGTGATAAACAAAACTTGCAAATATCGCGAGATGCATGTAGCCTATAGTTCCGAAAAATGCGAAATAGATCAAGTCAATCAGCTATCGGAACTTACGACACGCTGGCATTAACTTGTTCCGATTTTAATTCTTGGCTTACCCTGTGTGCCAGAGGCTTTTCGGTCAGTTTTTATTTTGATCCGCGCGAAACGCGAAAAGCCTCCGAAACGGAGCGTTTTTCCTTTGATGGAAGGCGGCCGCTGACCAGTTAATGATTCAAATGGATCGCAGGGCTCAAGTATTTTTAGAAATTATTACTATTGGTTGTAGGTGGCTTTAGGTGGTTTTAGGTGGTTTTAGGTGGTTTTAGGTGGTTGTAGGTGGTTTCAGGTGGTTGTAGGTCATTCCATGTCTTAGTGCTCACGAAAGGTGAAGATAAATTAATGTCCGTACGCTGCAAATACGTGAAATACACTATAACGGTCTCTTAAGTTACAACATCAGATGATTGTCAAATGATATTCATAGCCTTGCCGTGTCTGTACTTGTACAGAATTAGAATAAGGTGAAGCGTAATCTTTTGAAAATATTTTTATGTTCAAAGAGGGACATATTTGACTGATTCAACGGCTCAACTTACAAAATATAGGAGTTTCTTCAATTCATCGAGATAAAAAATCAAACTTACCGAGAACCAGGATGCTTGTTCAGCCGTTAGGCTGATGTTGAAGGAGGTATTATCATTTTGTAAATCCTCCAAAGCTGACGATGAATATCCCAGACAGTAACCAAAGCTTAGGGAGGCAAGAGCCGCAGGGAAAGTGGCAAGGACCGCTTTTTCGACTCTGTCTTGATCTTTCGGTTCATCATATTGAGAAGATTCCGAGTGGGAGTTTTCGATTTGTAACTCTGCCATTTGAGATAATGGTGGTTGTGACATCAGCTAAGTTATGGCAAACTGGATGAATGTCTGACAACAAAATCTTAAGTTATGCGGGTATTAGGGGCCAATCCGTGGGGTTCGATCCCCGGGCAACCCACCGGGAACCCCTAGGTATGCATGGAGATTGTTCCAATCTACGTACGTTCTTGAGCAAACCTACCTGAGGACCAACATACGGGATTTGCCTAAGGTCCAGCGCCATGATGGCCGGCGGTAATACATCTTAACGCCAAGAAACGCGCACTCCTTGTTCTGTTGGATGTTGATGTCTTCATATGTCTCTGAGGTGTTTGTTACAATTGTACTACTGTACTGTACCACCGGATGGGTTTTAATTACATCATCTCAAGCCTGAGAGTACTTTAAATAGTGTGCTCGCCTATAGGGAAGACGTCTTATTAGGTGAGTTAACTTTAGGAAGCTCGGGATCGTTTATTCCACCGGCCATGTTTGGTTTAAAAATATAGGCAGCGGCACCCCAGAGACTGGGGTTAGAACTGTCTTGACAAATGCCCCTGGGTCACCTGGGTCGACTCCAAGGGGCGGCCCCTGGTTCCCTCATCAACTATACTCTACTGTAACTAAGAAGCTATGTTTGTATCTAGAGGCCAAATTCGCTTAAGACCTGTAACAATGAGTTGTTAAAAAGCGAGGGCAAGCTCGCTTGTGTTCCTAACAGTAAGCTGTTAACCTCTCGCATGTTATTGCGCAACTTTCAGTTGAACGCTGATGCTGGATTAATTTACTTTTTGTCACGTGACTGTCCAAAGAACTCGAACCATCCTATCGACCAAACAGATTCATAACTAAAGCCAATCGCGACCTAACCCTTCAATTCCCAAGATCTGATTCATAATTCTCCCTTCTAGCTTCTACACATTTCCTTGTAATTTAGTTAAGAGAATTTGGTGTTAGATCAAGATAACAATTTCTACCTGATAAGTTTGAGTATTCTCATAACCTGTTTGCTGGACAAAGTATGGATATTATTGGGAGAAGTTTCATGTTCATCACTTATGGGAGTTAAAGGGTTAAAGACCCGTTTTCACGCGCCCTTAGCAGTTTGCTTGCTTTTACTTTAATTTATAATAATAATAATAATAATAATAATAGTAATAATAAATGTCTTTATTGCTCATTAGATAAAAATACTTATCTAATGTTACAGGATAAAAAGTTTCGAGGTTCAGCCAAAAATTATAATAGAATAAAAAGAAAAAAAAAAGATCAAACTAGATACAATATATTTGGCATAAAATATCATAAAAGGTTGCATTTAAAAATTAATCTATTTACAAATGTGTTCTTATAACGTTCAGTGTTTATCTTAGGCCATTGGTAGCTTTTAGATTACTTTGATTTTTGGTTTCATGACACTCAATCGAAAAGCGTTCTACATAGGCAATTAAACCCTGGACCAGATCCGAGACACCAGCATGACAACCGATGCAGCAATCAAACAAAGAATGTATGACTCCACTCGATTACTTCAATAAAAGAAGGAACATTCTGAAATTTTAGCCTCCTGTCCAGTAGAATCCACAAAACAAAAAACAGTACACCAGAATTTCAATAGTATCATAAAAACATGGAGAAATTCTATAACATTCTTTTCATTTTATGGAAGAAAATTTGCAATTTGCTTCCATAAAATTATTTAACCGTTCTTGATTAGTTTCTTCATAAGTAATATTGTTATTACTCAGCGTGTCTATGGAGCGAGTGACACCTATTGCGTGTGTCGCGATGACATTACTTGGGGCTAATATCGATCAAATACAGCGGTTCCATTCCAAATTAACTCTCAGAGAATCCGTTCGTATTGGTTTTTTTCCTGCTCAAAAATAGCCTCAATCTCCTCTAGAGTTTTACCCTTAGTCTCGGGCAAAATTAAGTAAACAAAAACGAAGCCGATGAAGCAAAAGCCAGCATACAACCAATAAACACCTTGGATAGAAAGTGCCTCAGTTAAGTAACGATATGTCTTTGTGACTGTAAACAGTGTTGCCCAAAATACTATGGAAGCAAAACTGCATGCGAGGCCACGGACCCGAAGGGGAAATATTTCAGAGATTACGAGCCACGGCATCGGTCCCCACGCAAAGGAGAATGTCAGTCCGAGCACAACAACACTAAGGATTGAGAGCCAGGAGATCTTATCGGCAGGTACAGAGTGGCTGATAAAACCTTGTATTTGGGGAGCTGTATCATTACCCATGGTATGATCATTCGGAGGAATGTAGACCTGAAAGTACGTCCCCAGTGCCAAAAGTGACATGGTCATTCCAAAAGAAGCAGTCAGGAGGAGAACTCGACGGCCAACCCTGTCGACGAGAAAACATGCTGCAGTTTTACCAATAAGCTGGGCGAAGACAATAATAAAGGAGACGAGCTTTTCGTCTGAGAATCCCGCTATTTTGAAAATAGCTGCAGCATTAAAGAGCACTGAATTGAATCCAGATAATTGTTGTAACATCACCAGGCCAACACTGATAATTAACGGCTTGACCATTGCTAATGTCTTCAAATCTGCCAAATTAAGCTTCTCGTGACGATCTGTTAAAAAAAAATATCTATGATCACCATACAGTGTAACTAGATCACCTTGTTAAGAAGCCCTCTACAGGACCATGCTGGGTACTTTATCTCTAGGGCAAGTACGCCCTCATAAGGTTGGTACTACTCTACATTGGGTACATAGGAATATGACCGAAAACAGGCTTACATTAAGAGCATGATAGTCGTAAATTGGTAAAGTTTTTTTTAAAGAATACGGGAAAGAGTGTGTGAAATTTGGCTTTTCAATTGCAATTAAGGTATTGAACACATTTTCCAGGGTGTTACAACGTGGTGAAGCAACACGGGAAGTTGACAGAACTCGAGAGAAGCTTTAGGCCAGTGATCGGCAACCACAAATGAAACCAGAAATGTACCAAATTAAACTTAAAGTAAACCAGAAGGCATTTTTTTCAGCTAAATATTCTAGGAAATTTTAATAAGATGTGACTTCAGCTCTGATCCCAATTTGACCAGTGCGTTCCACTGTCTTTGTTACAAAGTGTGAGGGATTTGCAAACCAAGGTCAACTTTAAGAACCCAGACATGAAAACGGGTATTAAAAATGGCCTGCTTTGGTTTGTAAAATTTCATTATTCTGAGAACTAGGTTGAATGTATACCTTTGGAGAAGGTTGAAACGGTTTTCTCCCTTCCCGTATGAAAGTTGTAACATATTGTCACGATATTGAAATGAAAGATATTCTAAACTGAAACAAAACCGGTACATATCATGGTTTTCCTCAATGTTTTGATAGCTTCTCGTCGTCTTCCATCTATCCCATAGATGTGCAACACTTTTTCCAGAACAAATTCGGGTCCAAAATACTACGTGTTATTCACCCATTAATTTTCGCGCGATTCTATTGGCTCTTTACGTCATGTGGTGCAAAATCACCGGACTGTTATCACGCAACAACCCCCGCTGCGTCAAATTTTTTCAACTAATATTCCCGTCGAAGAAGAACAAGAACAAGAAGCCAACGGGGATAAGCCAGCTCAAGAGTTTCTCTTTTTTTTGTCCTAGTCACTTTATGTGGAAGAAAAATGAACCCGTTTTATAGAGTACAGTGATAGTGACATTACAAAGATGATCCTCTGAGCTGTTCTGGAAAGTACAAAGAATTCAACTAAATTTCCTCTCAGCGCTCGAAATGAAAAGCAATGCGAGGGAACTAAATCAGCCGACACAAGAGCCCCCTGAAGGAGTTTATTTAGAAATTAGAAACTGGTCTGTTGTCTCACCTAGATTAGCCTTAACGGTAGAGCATTCTCCTTGAACATCAGCTTCAGGACCTCGCAACCATGACAAGGAATCTAAAGCCTCGTCTTCGAAATTCTTTCCCAGCAGCCAGCGAGGGGAATCTGGTAATGGGATCATCAAAATGAGGAGCAGTGCCGGTGGAACTGCGCCTATAAAAGCTAGCCATCTCCAGTGAAACAGGATACCCATTACGAAGGCTAATAAAGCACCTAATGTTAAAGCCGGTCCTCTAACGGAGCCTAATACACCACGCACGCGTGCAGCAGCAATCTCCGCAATGTACACCTAGGGAAAGAGAAATGTAATGAGCGATAATCGGATGACTCTTAGATATTGTGTGAATGTATTTCTAGTTAGTCTTGCAGTTTTGTTAAGCGAGATGACGTCGAGGTCTGTGAAAACTGCTAGCAAATTAGCTAGAATCCCTAATCAAACAAATGTTGCAAATGATAAAAAAAAAAAAAAACAAAAACAAAACAAAACAAAACAAAACACTTACCGGACTAGTGCAGGAGATTACTCCACATCCAATTCCTGTTATGATCCGTCCAGCGTAAAGCATTTCAATATCCGTAGCGTAGCTAATGAGAAGCCATCCCAGAACGAATGGTATTGCGCACAACATGGTGGCAAACTTCCGACCAAACCTGTCCATCGCCGGACCACCGACAGAACATCCAAAAATAGCACCAATCGCAATTAACGACTATAAGTTAAAATAAAGGAAAGAGCTTAAAATCCAGGCAGCGCTGAGAGGATTGAACCAGGGTTATAGAGTCTAAAATTTGCGTTTTAGAGAGACACTTCGACTTCAGATTCTCCAGACCCTTCTCTTTACGTCTCATTGTTGCATAATCAACAACCAAATTCTAACATAATGCTAGCTGTAGAGTATATTAGAATGCGGGAAAGCCAAAGACATGTTTCGCCCCAAATTGTTCTACAAGATCGAAGGCTAAACGGTGCCAATAACCGAAAAAAATTCGCTTGCTTTCTCTATCGCTGAAATCAAAGGAGCTTCGCGCAATGAACTTAAATAAGCAATGACAGATCACTGGAAAACTAGAGAGAGGGAAAGTGGTGAACAATAAGACTGACCATTCCCCTCAAACTGTCATCTTTATTTTTGGTTGATTCCGTTCCATTTTCTAGCAGTACCTCTTAGAAGCCTGGAACTGGGCAACTGATTTAAGCAGTGACCTATTTCGGGGATGTTTGTCGGGGTCAGTCAGTTGATTGTCACGGGATGTGATTTTTCCTCACGTGCTTGTCACGTGCGAGTCTGCTTTGAGATGAAAACGATGAGGTATACTTTATATTTATAGTTATCCCTTTTGATATTTTAGATTAGTTAGCTATTGGAACAGCCGAAGACTTATCTTTTGCCAAATTTTTAGTTTGATAGGGTTCTTCGTCTTGTGATAGAGCTGGGCTGAACTTCTAAGTTTTGGCGTGACACGATAATAAAATGGCGGCCGAAAGTGCTGTCGCGTGGGTTAAAGAGATGACCAATCCGTTAAGATTTCGCAATCTGAATAGTTCTCATATGACGATAAGTACTCATATGCATTATTTTTAGCTTTCGAGCCGCGATATTTGTGCCTCTACGAGATTTTTATGGTGGCGTGACAGTGAAAACCAGCAAAAGTTAAATGAATACATTTATTCGAGAAATCTTTTTAAATAAGCAATTCTTAAACTAAGCGACCTACAAAAATTTCGACGGTTATGCTAGGTTCAAGGCAAAATGATGACAATAAAAAGTGAGTGATGCGTCATCCCTGTTTAGAAATTTGGGTTCCTGCGGTAAAACCCAGTTAGACGAGCTCCAATGGATCCACGCACGTGCCGCGAAGAAATTTTACGGTTTACACTGATGTACACTCAGCGATAAGGAGTTTGCTGGTGCGTATCGGTTCTCGTTAAATGATTTGTATAAGCTTGGGCTATTACTGCTGGCTCAAAGATGTTAATAGTCTTAGAAGTATATGCCGGCATAAACAACTTACGTTAGAAAATGACCCAAGATGTACAGCTATTGAAAATGGACCTTTGCCGTAAACTTATCTACTACCAATCAATAATGGGATACGCAAACACTGGGGAACTATAGAAAAATGATTGTTCTAGAAATAGACTGAGAAGTAATCTTATGTAAATATTCAATTTCTCTGTTTTGAAAGTCAAACCAATAGGTTAATTGTTTTAGGATCATTGTAAATAGCTTACGTTCTAGCTTTTCAAGCATTTAAATGAAACGAGAAATATTAATTTTGAAAAAATGTTTACGGGATGCTATTTTTGCCTTTTTCATCCGTGTATGCTTCAACACAACCACAAAAGCTGTTACATAATATTGCAGCGCACAATGTTAAAAGCGATCAAGAAAGGTAAGGTAGTTGAATTTAGCAATCAAGCCAAGTAGCTTGAGAATGAGGCGAACAAAATAACCTTAGCCTGCTATTTGAGTTTTACTAAGTTTTGGAAAAAGCTAAAAAGGAGAACTAAAGACAAAGGTCCTCGTAACACGAAAAGTGACTGAAAGATTCTGGCACGTGCGTGACAAAAAGCAATCCACTGGAAATTTACACTTAACGATGCAAACGAAACATCTACTATTTGCTCCCATAGGCGCTGTTAACCATTATTGCTGATCATTGTAGCTGTATCCAGTTATCTCAATATGTGCATTTCTGTTGAAGAGTAGAAAAAACAATCGAAAACTTACTGAAAACCAAGATCCCTGTTCGCTGGATAATCGGACATCATTCGGTTTATCGGCGTTTTGTAAATCCTCCAGTGCAGGCGATGAGTATCCCATACAAAAACCGAAGCTGAGAGGACCGAGGGCTGCAATGAAAGTTGCAAGAATTGTTCGGCCAACTCTGTCTTTCTCAGCGTGTCCATGGTACTGACAAGAACTCTGACGGTTGTATTCGATGAGAACGTCGGTCATTTCGAATAATTCGTTTTCGTTCAGCTGCTTGGTGTTTGTTAGACACGAACCTTCTACCTGTTAAGGTTCGAAATTTAATAGGTGTGTGTACGAAGTGGATCCCATCCGAGGTTAAATACTCCCGGGATAACACGAACTGAACGACCTATTATGTAACTCGGTTGCATAACAAGTCACTCTGTGTTTGCTTACATGAAGGAATTGGTAGATTGATGTTATGCTTAGTCACGACCCCCTACCGATAGCGCTCTCTCTTGTGGGGTCAATAAACAGCCGATTTTCGGGAAATGAACTCATAAAAAGAACGCGAGCCTTGCTTTAAGTGGTGAAAATCAAGTATAATCTTTCACTGGTGTCCAAAACAGAGCCTTCCTCGCGGACAAAGCTTCTTTCGTGCTTGCGTTGCGTGACATCCTGGCCAAGAATCGACTGTCAATCCCTCATACACTTTATTTGTGACATGATGTCATCGTTTCTTTTTTTAAATATCCACCTTCACGAGTGCGAGGAATTGTTTAATATTATTTTTTTTCCCACCACCCCCTATGGAGAAAAGTGGGAGAAAGGTGCCCTTTCTGGAACGTTTTCCCATGCGAATCTATTTTATTGAGACCAAATCGGAAAAACAAAACCGTGAAACAGGAACTTGAGGAACTTTGTACAGAAGAGAATTTGAACCCGGAATTTTGGGCTTTCAGTCGTGTAGGAGCACAGGCAGCCCAAGCTCACGTCTCGAGAAAAAGCCAACGATTAATTCATGAACGCGTCACGCGTTGTGTGACTCGGTGCTAAGTTATGAGAGGAACCGTTGAAAATTTGAACACGTTATAAGGAATAGTATGGGGAACAAAACATGGTCGATTTACAACGATAAATATTTCGAAATATGAATATTTTACACGTAAAATCAATAAAACTTACTCACATCCTGTGTGTCCGTTGTAGTTTCTGGCGATTTCTGCCGTTTCAAGTTTGCTTTACCATCACTGTTATTTCTTTTCTAAAATATTCATATTTCGAAATATTTATCGTTGTAAATCGACCATATTTCGTTCCCCATACTATTCCTTATAGCATGTTCAAATTTTCAACGGTTCTTCTCGTAACTTAACACCAAGTCACACAACATGTGACGCGTTCATGAATAAATCGTTGGCTTTTTCTCAAGACGTGAGCTAGATTCTCTTTGAAATCTGATGTTCAACGATAGTGAATAAATTAAATTTTTCTGTCACGCAACATCTTACTTTGGCGGGTTGTTACCGAAAAGGATGCGGAAAAAAAAAAAAAGAAACAATCCGAGCATTTGAAGTATAGGCGAATTTCCATAACTCGAATCTTCTAGGGAAATTAAGAAAGGTTTGAGTTATCCGTGTTTAAGTTCTTTGTAGTTGAAAACAAAGAACCGGAAATGAGTTTATTGTTTGCTTTGTTTAGTCAAGTTTTGACAGACGTGGTTTGACTTTGTACGAGTCACCAGGCGTGGGTAAAAATTTGCAAGGAATGAAGGAAAGGGAAATGGAAATTGCTTCGAGTCAGAGGGAAGTTTGAGATATCGAGGGTTCGAATCGAGTGTAATACTGCAGCAAAAGTAAACGTATGGCGGAAATCTAGCGGAAACCGAGTTTGGTTGGAGTTAGCGCGAGGTTTGAGTTAGCGAGGGTTCGAGTCATGATCGGGACTCGACCGCAAGTCCAACAGTCTCCCTAGCTTATCTCTCTCTTTATTCTCACTGCATGTCCTCTTGGCGGTGTGTTCATGTTACAAGGAGGAATTATTTATTACTGAGCCATTACTAGGAGCTCGTATGATACTGATGGGTGACAAAGGGGTAAGTTCTAAAGAGTACAACGATTGAGATCAAAGGTTAAAGAAAGACGTGACTCAACAAATAGATTACTGCTTAGTTTGATCAGTGAGAGGTGGAAACCAACAGTGCAGTTGTGTGTGAAGTGTTGGAGATGAAGTTCTGAGTATGGCTGCGTCGAGCCATACAAGGAAATTTTAATTGACCCTACCGACCAGAAGGAACAATTCTTCTAGCCCCCGGTTCTCGATTTCCTCAGCGCTAGCTATTTGGTTTGTCGCGCAAGAAACATTTAAATTATATTTTGGGAAGAGCGCTGCGTTAACTTCGCGATTCGAGCAGAAAGAAGTGGCAGGCATATAACGTAAAACACGCGCGTCTTTATTTGAAACCACATTCCTTCATTAGAATTCCTTGATCATTGTGCAAGAATATCTCACTTAAGAATATTGAATGACTTTGGCTCACCTGTGATAACTTAAGTCCGATACACCAGACTTTGTCAGTATAAGAAATGTCCAAATGCATAAATTTTACACAGTTTAATAGCCAACAATAGCAGTCTTTCAACCCGCCAGAAATTTGCTTTTGGGATAGCTATAGACAATATGCGCTTCCTTAGGACTCTTTAAAATTTCGGTCGAATTCTTTACTGATTTTCCAGGAAAATTTGTAAGTTGTTGAAGCAAAATGTACACTCTTAACGACACAAGGGTTTACGAATACAGCACATTTCGGCCAGGTGTCGCAAAACCAAACCTCATTTTAACTTTAAGGTAATGACAAAGACCTCGTACAGGCGCTTTAAGCTCTCATTTCAAGTTGATCGAAAATTAAATTATTGATTTATTCATGAAAGCGTTTTGCGTTGTAACAATTCAGAGAGCGACGTGCTTCGTTAGACACAGTACAAGGAAAGAAATATCATCGAATGAGAACGCCATATACTATGAAATATAAACATTTCCACCTAAGACGAACAAAATTTCACTGGCTTGGGACTATCTCTGCCACCAACGTCAGGCAAAGTTTACCACAATCCAAAAGCACACTCCAAAGTGAATCTACCGTATTTATCTCACGAGTAAAATGTAAATTGCTTGCATTACTCTAATTTCTAAGTCGACGATCTTTCATTCCTCGAACGTCTTCTGAAGCACTAAAATGTTCAACGTTTCCTCCGCTTAACCAACAGCGAGTTCATTTCCCGTTAAATAACATTATATACACTGACTAATACTAAATTTCCCGTTCAACGTATCAAAATGTATTTCATTTTTTCAATCGCTTCTTTTTTTTTTTTGCATTATGTTTCGAAGAAGTTGCAATGTCGACCTTTTCACTACCAGAAGTGACCGAAATGAAATTTCACGCCTAGTAAAATCATACATTTTTCAAACAGAAAGGTAATGACGAAAGATATACACCAATTGAAGAATATTGTTTGATTTAACACTAATCGAAAGTTTTAAGAAATATAAGGCAGACACGGTGGAGGACTAGAATCAATATCTAAGGAATGAAATAGTTTAGTATAGTAAGTAAAAGGGACACGAGACCCCCCTCTAGCATAGCGAATGAAATCTCACATTTATCACTCGGAAAAATTATCCCCGTGGGGGAGGGGCAACCCTGACGGCTTTCTCCCTTCTGCGATTCTCTTTTTTTAAACTAAAATGAGGGGGAGGGGCCCGGGCCCCTTCCTAGATCCGCCACTGCCTTAATTCTGAGCGGAAATGAAAACCTGAAGTCGCTAAATTACAGACGTTTATGTGACTGGGAATGGAGCGTGAAGCCTCATGTAGCTTCAATTTTTTTCCTAAAATTCTTTGCCGCTATTTTGAAAAGGTTCTACTGAATGTCCATGTCCAAATCAAATTAATTTTAACTTTCAAGCAGCTGTCCGTTGCATAGGTTTTATGAAAAGTACCACGTTGATGCTTTGACAGTCAGTATTTTGGTTCTTACACGTAGCCTACAGTTTAGTTTCTGTTACGGAAATTTCGTCCAAATCTTTTCCTTCTTGCTCTTCGCCTTCAAAGTACATTTGAATCTCCTCAAGCGATTTTCCTTTCGTTTCCGGGACATAGAAGTAGACGAAAAGCACAGCGAGAAACGCGAGACTTCCAAAGAACCAGAACGTCCCCGCGATGGTGAGTCCGTCGATGAGCACGTCAAATGAAAGAGTAACAAGGAAGGAGCAAAACCAGTTGAAGAAAGTGGCAATACCACTGGCAACTCCTTTGGCTTTCACGGGGAATATCTCACTCATTATGAGCCAGGTACAGGGACCCCAAGCCATCGCAAATCCAACGATATACACGGCGATGCTTGTTACAGCCACCCACGAAATGTCAGGGCCACCATAGGCTATGTCGGTATCTGGTACGGAATTGATTGTAACGAAGAAGTAGAAACCCATACTGAAGCAGCTGACACACATTCCGACGCCACCGATTAAAAGCAAGAAGCGCCTACCACCGCGATCGATCAAGAGGATGGACACGACAGCAGCGACAAGTTGGATGATACCTATCAAGATCGATACCATGGTACTGTTGTCTTGGAAACCAGCGTTTTCGAAAATCGTGGCACAGTAGAACATGACTGCGTTGATCCCAGTACTTTGTTGGAAGAAGTGAAGGGTCATGCTGATCATAAAAGGCCGGAGAAAACTGGGTTTGGTGAATTCTTTGATTGACATCTTCTCCTTAATATCTGTTGGAATAAATTAGAATTAACTGCTGTCTTTAAACCAATATCAAAGCAACACTACTGTTTGTAATATGCGATATCTTCACAAGCGCATAGAATTCGTCATGGGGGAAGGCTCTATCAACTTGGCAATTTTACCTTCTTGAATAAAATCTCTTTACTAACATTAATGAAATTAGTCTACTTTTAAGGGAGCAAGCTTCATCCACTCTGTTAAAATTTGAAATGCCTTTTACGTGTACCAAGTACAGCACTAAAACATTCTCACTATGGGATGTTTTCATAAATAATCTTTCCAAGGAGACTTAATACCTCGGGTTTATAAAACAACTTTGAAGGGGTAAACTTGGATTGCGCCCATGAAGAGTTTTTTCATGCTTTCTCAAGATGAAATGAATTACAGTGTATTGGTAAAATGTACATCACGAAGATAACAAGGTAACCAGATAAAGTAATTTTACGTACTCAAACTATCCTTGATTTCGACAATCTCGTTCTCAATCTCAGCATATTTTCCACGAAGCCATCTTAGAGTCTTATAAGCGCGCTCTTCCTTAAGGTGCGCCAGCAACCAGCGAGCTGTTTCTGGCATAAAGAACATCAAAACAAACATACAGGCAGGAGGGCCCACTCCTGCGATGGCGGACCAACGCCAGGAGAGGGCATGGCCGATTATGTAGGATGACAAGATACCAACGACAATTCCAATTTGGTTGAATGCACCAAATGCACCCCGAAGACGACCCGGGGAAGTCTCGGAAATGTAGTTCTAAGAAGGAAAATATGATGCCGTCAGATATCAATTAGACAAAACATTGCTGCAAAAATGGATTGAAAATTTAACCCCTGAAGCGCCAAGGGTTTGAATGAGTGAACGAACAGATTTTGAGTCAGATGAAGAATTGAAGAGATTGATGGATCTTACGGAATGAATGGATGAATGACTGAACTAATGAATAAATCATGATGAATTAATGACTAGGAGTATGATCGCATGAATGGATGAATGGATAAGTAATGGGATAGAGCGGAATCAAATCAGTTATATCCCTTCATAAGTAATAGAAACTCTCAAGACTGTATACAGCTTAACTAGAGAGACAAAAATTCGTCAATGACTGTTTTCACGTTTGCACATATTTACTTACTGGTACTATGAGTGACGCCATGCCTACTCCAATACCTGAAAGGAATCTTCCAGCATGAAGCAAAACTTCATTTGAGCCAAAACCTATCATCAGCCATCCAGCACTAAAAGGGAGTGCGGTGATCATTAGTGCCAGCTTACGGCCAAAGAAATCGATTACCCATCCACCAAGGGGACCTCCTATCATAGCGCCAATGTTCAAAATAGACTGGTGGTAAAAATAACACACAAAAAAAATGATATTTCAGTAATGATATTATTTACAAATAATCTGCAAGGAAGGCTCTTGTGGCAATGAGCCACAAAGAAGGCATGCGAAAATTGGCGCGGCCAGGCAAGGAAAAAGAAAATAAAGAGAAAAATAGCAATTTCTCTGATCACCACAATCGACGTTTGTCGTTCGCTTGCTCTTTCCAGACTGAAAACAGGCAAATTCACCGAAAATCAGTTTTTAAAGGAAAGTGTTCAAGCCGGGAGAATTTGACAACAGTTTCAGACGATCATAAAACAAAGAACTTGAAAAAGGAACCAATCCAATTGAAAAAGAAATTTTGATTCAGTCCATTATTCATCCGATAATATTATAATATCATGTAATATCTATTCAAAAACATAAATACGTTATCTAACGAACAAGTTATGAGCATAAGATCTCAAGCTGCAAACTTGAACGAAAGAAAGAAAGAATTTCATATCTACGACTGCAGCTCGGCCAACATCATTAAGTTTATAAAGAGGCCAAAGAAAATGGTGATAAGTGAAAATCAAAAATTGAACAAACTTGATTGGCTTAGATGTACGTGAATGTAATTCGTGTTTTGAAAAAATTAAGGCAGCAGCGAGATCGAATGTACATGTATCTCTCTATCCTTAGCAAGACGCATTGGTACATTTCAATAACGTTTATATCTGTACATTCTTTTAGTATACTGGCCTTGCTGTTACTATGTAGCAGAATATTGCCATCCGTAAGACAAAACCAAGCTTAAAATCAAAAGTTCTTCATGTAGGTGTAATCCCTTCACACTCCTGAAGTTTCAATGTCTGTGGGCCATGTTTGGCGAGAAAACTTTATAAATTTGTCCAAATAAGTGTTCATTTTCTGTTCTTGTTTTGTTGTGGTCTTTCTAAATAACACACCCATTTAAGAAATAAGAAATCAAAGGAATCAGAACCAAAACCCACAAAGGATGTTCCAAACTCATTTTTCCTCCTAATTGAAAATGGAATTTTACACCAAAACATCTAGAACAGTATTGAGAACATAATCCTTATATATCAGTAGGAGTGTTTGGTGCAATTTGATCACCAATTTTAAAATCAACTCCGCCTCTAGCTAATGACCCCAATGGTGAACAAATTAGTCTGCGAAAACAAATTTTTGGATTTTAGATCGGTTTACTTTTGGTTTTACAATAATATCCTCGATTTTTTTAAAAAATACGTTTCTGGTTACGATCTTTTAAGAAACCAGAGCAAAGGACCAATGCAAAAATATACATTTCCATTTGAGGGAAATGTTCAATAATAAATATAACAGCCTCTTTGATGATTTTGCTTTGCCATCCTAGGAGTTAAGTGGTTAAATGAGGGGGCTCGCCCTTGCGGCAGAAAGTTAAGTGAGCACTGAAATACGGAGTTTTGCCGTCACGTTTTCTTTTTTGGAAATCTGTGTTCTGATATCTATTGGGGCAATTGTTTTAAGGATCATAAAACCAGTTTAGGAAAAGTCATGGAATGGTAAGGCCAATTATAGAAATTGAATTTCTCAAATGCGGAATAATAATACGTGTATTAAGTGATGATATAACCGCTTATATAGCAGACACATCACGACTGTCATGAGACCGAGAATAAGCGACCTTTTCACCAACATGTTCATTTTGAAATCAATACTAATACTTTTTTCACACAGCAATCAGATAGGCGATTATTCAGCATTAAAGCTATGATAACTTTTCTTCTCTAAAGAGAGCTAAAGTTCTGATCAAACCGTTTGCTAAGATACAAGTGTTTTCTTTTCCTGTACCTCCCACAAATTCAAAAATATCATATTTAAAAAAAAGAAAATTATAATTCGTGCACTTTGCATCGTCCATGTAACCTACACAACAGAAACAATTACTTAGAGCTTAGACATTCGACTAAAAAAGACCCCATTGAAAGGGGAATTCGAAAAAACGTCTCCAAGCGCTCACTTATATGAGTTGCCATTCCTGTCTATATGCTGTTAACAGCGAAATTGAGACGAACACGACAAGGTCGCCTTATGCGGTTTAAAATAAATAAGATAACGAATCTAATATGGCATCTTACCCCAAACAATCTGATCCCGTTTTTGTCAAGTAGGACATCTGTACGATTCGGGTTCCCCAGTTGGGTAACTGCTGCGGACGAATAACCCATACAATATCCAAAACTAAAAGGACCAAACGCCGCGACTGAACAAGCGATCAACACGGCCCATAAGCGTTCCTTACTCTTCCTCTGAGGTGGTTTATCACTTAATTGGTTAATGATGTAGGCGCCTTTAGTCATTTTGTCGCGAGTTCAGGCTTAGTAACGACTATGTTTTCTTGTAACTTTCGCGAACAACCTGTATCGCCGAGAAGTTCGAAGTGATATACTGGAGACCGAGAACCACTTCCATCACTATACTACACGCCAATTCACGTGATGTCACCCTGACGTTGGAAAACATTGACCCGATGACCTCTGCGTAATAAAAGGATATGCCACACGTGTTGTGATGGAGAATTTAATGTATAGGAGCACGTGAAATTTGGCTACTCCTGGTAACCGTTCTATTTAGCTCTTCAAATTTTCTGGTCAGTCCACACATTTTGAATTTTCATCTCACGTGTGACCTATTTGACCCGCTTGATTCTTTTGAAAGCGGCAGCTCGCTACACGCGTCTGAGCATAAATTTGGTGTAATATGCACGCGATTAAATCAAATCTTTTCATCTTGATAGAGAGAAGGAGGGTTTTGGGGAACTCCCACCTCAGTGCAAGACATGAAACTGTAAGAATTTCAGGTTATTTCATAAAATAACACCTTGTCTTGACAAAAAAGGGAATCATATGAAGCGGCTGACCGTCCCACCCTCGCTCCTTAATACACGGATTGTATAGTTAAAGCACCCTCTAAAATGGAACCTAGACTAACGACACTTTTATTGACTATCTCTCTTGGTTTTTTTTTTTCGCTTTCGTTTTATTTGCTTGTTTGTCTTTTTTTTTCCTTCTAAGATCAGCGGAATTTTGTTTATATGTATTTGTTTTTGTGTTCCCAATGCCCAACTGATCGATTCATATTTTGAAATGCAAACTGGTTTACATATTGTTCAATTCATATCAAGAGATGTAAACTAAAAAATAAAAAAGAAGAGTTTATTGTACCAAGGTGTGAACTATGGGTCTCTCAACGCTCTTGTTCATAAAATGACAATGTGCAGTGTGGACACATTTGCCGAAGTCGAAAGTTTGCTTGCAAATCATTTGTCAGAGATGGCCAAGGGCTGGTGTGGAGCGATCGTGTAGGGTTTTGAAATAATATTTATGTGGAATTTGAAACACATGAAGTATACATTTGTAACCCTTTTTTCAAGAAAACTTCGTAATCAATTCATCTTTTCGGCGTTAGATTTCACTTGACTTTTGATGTAATCAAACCGCGAAAGTTTAGTCAACCACCTACTGCCCGTGTGCGAACTTCGGCTTCAGCATTTTGTTGTAAATAATTTCCTTCTGCCATATTAAGCAACTTGTTATTTTGAAGCGTTTGATTATTTCATGACGCAACGCCTTCTGTTACATTCTACTTTAGCGGTAGCGAAATAATGATTTGTTTGACAGTAGGATTTTATTTACGACAAAATGCCGAAGCTGAAGTTCGGGGTTGACTCAATGTTTGTTTACACTGAAAGTCACGTGACACTACACGTGAAATCTAACACCGAAAAGGTTAATTGTTTGACCGACTCTGCCTCAGCAAGAGATCGCCAGGATCACATGTGTTTTTCCTGTGCATAATTTTATGAAGAAATTTTCAGAGTAAATTACCTCCAAAAAAATGGGTATCGCCGATATCCATTCCGGGAATAAAGAGTTGTTTGGCTGCAACGTGTTTCTGTTTGTAAGCGTCCGATAACAACAAAAGAAACCTGAGCTTTTAGGGAAGAAGCTCACAAACCGACTTACGTAACCACTTGGTTTCCGCAAAGAAACGTGATAAAATTCGTCGCTCATGTGTTCCTCAGTCACGGCTTTGTCCATGTGGTGGCAAATTTGTTCTAAATTTCGTAATATGCAGTCAGTATGAAAACTTTTCCCCGCTGAAGTTTTTTCCCTAGTCTTGTTTTTGCCTCTTTACAGTTTGCCGAATTGACCAGCTGTCAACGTTAGATTTCATTCTAGTCCCCGACAATTTTAATGATCAAAAATAAACACTAAGAAACGTGAAATCTCTTCTTTCATCTTCCCGGTTTAAACTTTCCCCGCATAACAGCTTGCTTAACACATCATTCCGTTGCCTCCTCTCTCCCTCCCTCTGCTATTAATATTCTTTCTCCCTTTTGCCAGTCATGCCTTAGCATGACTCACGCCGCGATAAAAGACTATTACACAAGCTTGCGCAATTGCGTTTCGAGTTCCCTTCGCGCGTTGGTCATTCAAAGAGTCTAGATAATCATTTTCAAACACAATTCATAATTTTATCTCTGCTAATGTAACCATGGATCTGAGTAAAAATTTCAGAACATGGATAAGTGGGTACATTAAAAGTGAAAAATAATATTCAGTCATTGAGATAGTGTGTCAATGATGGTCTTGTTCGTACAATCTGAACTATTTATTCAGAAACTAGGGTTTTTACGACGTCATTTTGGATAGTGCGGTGTAGAATTTGATTCTCCATGAGGCCTAAAACAAAAATAAGGCCATTGCTCTGTAGAATTTAAAATAGAGCAACATGCAAAAGATTGATAGGCAAGCTAACAGGTTTTTTTCTCGTCGCTTCATCCTGTGATGCTGGTAAATAACGCTGTGCCGAAATCAAATAAGGTACCGAGGTAGATATGATTATCATGCATTACCAGATGAAATCACCGCTTATGGCTTTGGAGAGTTGTCTACTGTCAACACCATTCGATTAGGATCGCAAGGTCAAAGATTACCTTCTTTTCCTGTGTCCGAACTTTGTCGTAAATAATTTTCCTCTCCTCTGTCGTGAAATTTTTTCGCGCTCAAATTTGACTACTCTGTTTTATCATAAACGCCTGATAGGAAATTAGTGCCCACGAATCGATGTAGAGTGTGGGCAAGCTTTGATTCCCACACGGAATTTCGTATCGTATCTTACTATCTAGCAATTTTTGTATGCTAAAGTATTCAGCGAAACCAAGTTCAACCTTCAAGAACAGTTCTAGCTTGTCTACAGGCACGGGGGATTTGAAATTTTCATTTGTGGTAATCGCCTCTGCAGTCAAAAAAAATTGTTCTGCCAACTGATCCAAATTTTAAAGACGAAGTAAAAGAGATCGACAATTCATGATATACTAATTCCTAATCCATTCTTCCTGAGGACTGTGAACAATTTTGATGCGTGTGCCAAACATATCATGTGCCCTAAGGAGCAGCAAATTTCTGGAGGTTTTAACTTTCACATGAATGACCTTAGTGACAATGATACTAAAAAAAAATTCACTACTTGAAGCGTTTAGTATTTCTCATCACGTTTCTGGCCCCACTCGTATATCGGGCCATGCCTAAAACACTTGGCTCATCTCTGATGATTTCATTATTCAGTGTCGTATTGGCTTTCCACGACCAGTTATATTACGCAAAGAATTAACTTTCGTGGACTGAAAAAGATCAGCCGCGTTCTCCTTTGATATCGCCTCATCTATACTTTGCACAACCGAACTCCGGAACAACGTCGATGTACTCTCAGATTGCTTCAACTCGACTCTTATTGACATCTTGTATAGGCATGCGCCACTGAAAAAAGAACTTTCTCAACCGTTAAAACGTGCCGTGGTTTAAAGAAGCTATCAAACAACGTGCGAACGCCGTCGGCTTGAAAAAGAAAGCCTACGTGTGTTCTCGTGAAAAGCGCGAGATCTAATATGGCATTTTACTGTTTGGGCCCAGATGTTGTGGTCTCGTGCGAACAGCCTGAGGTCTGATATGATACTTTAAATGTTTAGAACCTGATGTTGTAGGCTCTTACCCGCGCGAAAAGCGTGAGACCTGATATGGTTTATTTGACGTTCAGGACCTGATATCGTAGTCCCAAGTGATGACTGTGGAGTCTACACGGAATTTTTAATGTCGTGGACATGAGTTTGCAGTTTTGGGTAAAATGCGTGAAGTATGCTTTAGTAAATTTAAAGTTTTGAACCTGAAATTGTAGTCTCGTACCCGCGCGTAGGGTCTGATATCGTATATTTATGTTAATGACCGGATCTTACAGTCACGTTGCCTTGAGCTAAAAGCGTGAGGGTCTTATCAGTCTGGGATGGTTATCATATTTGATAGTCACGTGACGTCTCAACATGGCGACCATTTAGGCAATCGAAGATTTTCGTACCAATTTCGAAATGTTGGCTGTTTATTCGTTATTACTCGTGTACTCAGGATGGTGGTCATCAAGGAGTGATAGAGACGAAATTTTGGGCACAGAAGTAACAGGACAGTTGAAATGAAACGTTCGATTGGGGCTTGTTTTTCAACTTTGTCTTAAAGTTTAGGTTGGTAAATGAATTTTTTCAGAGTCAAAAAATTTTGGAGCTGTTCTTCAACCTACTTTTCTCGATGCAATTGTTAATTATTGCGATGCAAACTGCAGTAAAAAAGTCCATGGGGTGGTCATGATTTACCGCTTAATCAGTCGCCAACCGCCATTTTGTGTTTCGACGATGCTTTTAATCTTTCTGTTTACCATTCGAACATTGTTGTCTAATTTACGATTTCTTATCTCTGCACTTTACTCACTTTAAATTTGTAAGGAAGCCTTTTAATACAATGATGGTTCCCTTTCATCTTGCTGTTATTGCCCGAAGAGAACCTTGTTACCAACACCACCAACACCAAAACTAGTTCTTTGTCAAACGAGATCCCGCTGTCATCGAATGTTATGCTCCGTTTGAGGGTTGACCTTGGTTTTGCTTCTAGTGGTTTCATGCTGAGGATAAGCTCCGGCTGGATAGTCAACTTAGCTTGAGTACAGATTTAACTTTATCTTAATTGCTACAAGTAAGGAAATGGTTAGGAAAAAGGGTTCTTCAAGGTCCGGTAAAAGTCAGGGAGTTTCACTCTTAACTTTAAAAATTTATGTTTTTCAGAAAAAATTAGGAAAAATTGGATTTTTTTCACCATTTCAAGCCCTTTAGTAGATTTTCATAGACATGAAATGTAAATAAACTAAACTGGGTTTCATAAAAAAAAATATGTTTTGGTTTTAGTGGTATATACTATAGCATATCCACTGAATGGCTCTTCCTTTATTTTTCAAATTTCAGACTGAATTGTTATTTAGAAAAAGCAGGCAACAAATGTGCTTATATTGTATGTTTCATGAATGATTTCGTAATGTGGGCAGAAAGCCAAGAACTTGTCCTTCCATATTAGCAACGTCACTCTAATATCAGTACTTGAGATTGCTAGTCAAGGGTAGAAGTCTAAGATTGAGGGAACTAAGATGAGGCCCTCGATCAGGGGCCTGTGATGGGGGTCCGGCATAGGGGGTCTGAGATGGGGTCCAAGAAGGAGGGGGGGGTCTGAGATGGCGGGAACGTTCGAAATCCTGTTCCAAAAAATTTCTTTACCCACACTGTTGTTCAAGCTCTTCCATCCCTGGACACCCCTCAAATCACAAACCAGTGACAGTGTTGAAAAAAAAAAAGTTGCACGAGGCGCTTCGTTTATAGCCGCACGCGGCACCAATACTAGGGCGACCATCGGTAAAAGATCGTCCTACGGTTCATTCATAACTAAGGTGTAGGATTTTGGAGGCAAATCTTAGCAAACTCCCCGAGAAAACACATGCCGACCGCTCAACTTCAGGAAATACTTATTAATTCTGTTCCGTAGGGAAAATGGCAATTAGGTAAATTTGGCGTCGCCCTTAGAGTCTATTTACGCAAAAGCCTGCCAAAAGTATTAAGTTCTTGTGCCGTAATCAAGCTGTGAAGACAACGATGGAGAACGGAAAAGACTACAACAAACATGAAGGACGAAAAAAATATATCATTGATTATATGTCGCAGCAACATTTTCTCTCATGACGGTTATATGTAACCATATGCCTTCATGCGCACGGAACCCAGAGTCAACGTGGGCATGAAATATTTTGGTGTTTTCAATGGCATATGCGATTACCAAATTTATAATCTGGCAGAGACAAAATTTGACAAGATTTTGGCAAAGCGGACAAAAGGAAAGTTTACGGACTCCCCCAAAAAACACTTCTTAAAAAAAATACCTGAGAAAAAAAAAAAGAAAAAACCTAACAAAACAAAACAAAACAAAAACAAAAAACAAAAAAAAACAAAAAAACAAAACAAAACAAAAAAAACCCAACAACAACTAGCATTTTATTCTTGATATCATTGCCTTGTCAGTTCTGCGTGACAAGGCAATGATATCAAGAATAAAATGCTAGGACTGGAATTGCCTACTGATGTTGAAACGATATAAGATCAAAATGTTTTGCCAACGTTCTTTACATAGCGACTCTTCAAAGACTTTAACTCAAAGTGTTCCAGCGAAGATCCACTCCACAAACAGAACAACAACGACAGCAACAACTGCAACCCAAACAAAAACGAGACAGCAAAACAAAACATAACATAAAAAAGCAAAAACAAAAACAATAGTGACCAAAACAAAATAAGAAAGGACTCATGTAACTACTATTACTGTAAGACACGTGACGTGGATCTAAGCTTATGACTAAAAGTTGCGATGTCCTGGTTCTTTGTATTTGTTGTTACGTTTGTGACAATTTTATCTTTATTGTTTATTATCCATATTAGTCTCTTCCATCTAAAACTCGACTTTTTTCTACTATGATTCAGTTCTTACGTCTTTTCTGTTTGTCTAACTGAACAAACATACTTTTATGATTTCATTACCGGTAACAATTAGCTGTATTAAAATCTACAAACAGCTTGATAACATAATTCGATGCATAACGAGCAGAAAGATTATCACTGGGTTCATTGGTAAGTTCACCACTTTATCCGACCTTTTCGCAGTCTCTACAAGTGAGAAGAGGCATCATCAAGATCCACTTGTAATGAAATATAACCCGAAACAGTCATTCACATAGTGCTACTATGATAGTTTTCGCACAAACATTTAAACTGAAACGGATGCAATGATGTAAGCGAGTTATTTTACAATAGTCATTCTTTCAGGGGCCAATAGCAAACCGCCAAGTTATAAATAAATGAAATTATTTTTTTTTATCACCTTGGATCTATTCAATATTTTTAGTAGATGGGAGCGGCGAAGATGAGATCGGTGAACATGGAGTCCAAAGCAATCAAGAGTCAGTGCTTTCTAACGTTTGGTCTTTCATTCAACTTGATCCTGACTTTAGGGTCACTTGGATTCACGTGCTATTCATTGCATCGATTAGATTCTCGTGTGACAACAGTCGAACAGAATGTTTTACTAACAAATCCCTCTGATCAGCTTCTCAGTCGAGTGACTGTTGAACCAACTTCTGCCGAACCACATCCAGGTGGCTCACGAATTAAAGAGACTGTCCGCGATAAAAGAGCTGCGGATAAAGGATCCAGTTGCCGCAAATGTAGACGCGACTGCCCTAATTCGAGTGGTGTAAGTTTTTTTTTTGTTTGCTCGTTTATCAAATATCATCTTCACAAATGCATAGAGATCTTTTTGAGGAAAATTTGAATGACTGGAACATAAACCTGCTTGTTAACCTAAGTTAACCGAAAGAGTAACAACACAAAAGAACAATTTAGTCGGGGAAATTTTTGATCACAGCCTTATCGCGAATTATCTATAACTAGGGAATACGCCAGGTTTAATCTGCTTCAACGAGAGCAGAACACTTTCTTATGAAGTTGCTTCCTTGATGTAACACATTCTCTCTCAAGGGCGTCAGTGTTGTGACACTCATAAGTAACGCAGTCTCCGATCCATCAATAGTTTGAATGAGTGCCATCAAGAAAGTGGTAGATGAGGCGGCGAGGATAATTTTATTTAATTCACTTTTATTCCATTACATCTCTTTTAGCGGTGACTTTGGCTTAACAAAGACTCAGTCGCCTACAGAAGACTATCATGCTAAAAGCAACCATCCATAATTTTATGAGAAATAATGCGAGTTATTTTTTTCTCAAAGAAACAGAACTTGACAATGGAAGGAAGCCAGGAAAAGACAGTTTGTGTGGAGGGTAAGTTTCGTGTGACTTTATTTAACGCTTATTTCAACAGCGTTTATAAGTCACTTATTGGCAGTTTCGGTTTTAGCATTGGTTGTATTTCTACTCACGGGGCTGCTGTGGGAAAAAACTCTTGACTTTTAGTTACCGGAAATGTGGCGCTAATATAACAGTGCATCTTTAGGAATCGTCACGTCAAATGTTATCGAAGAGGTTTCTGACAGTCATTAAGCCAGTTTGGCATGCAAGGGACAAAACCAACGAAAGGATAAGATGGAAAGAAAGAATTAACCTAACAGAATTATTTATTCTCAGCAAATGGAAATTGTCAGCATATCGCGATGGCTTTCTTATAATGTCACTGACATTAAATGCTCCTCGTATTTTTCTAGTTTCATGAATGCCATATAGCACCTGAAAGGGAAAATAGAGCATTATGAGAAAAAGTGGAAAAAGAGGTCATCTGAAGGAGAGTACTGCAAAGAGGATAAAAAAAAAACAAAATTGTCATGATTTTCTTTCTTTTAATGACAACCATATCATTTATTGGCCGTCTGTTACTGTGTGTTCCTTTCATCGGATCTTGTAGGACCTCAAGGCCCGCCTGGACCACCAGGAACTCCTGGCTTACCAGGTTCCCAAGGCTCCCCCGGGAAAAATGGAAAACGGGGGCGAAGAGGAACAAAAGGCCCGCCGGGTCCCCAGGGAAAACGGGGTGTCCGAGGTTTGCCTGGACCCCCTGGAAAGTCGGCACAACTTAAAACAAATCGTAACAGAGGAAATCAGTTAGGTAATAAAATGTACTTCTTAACCTATATCGGAACGGAAGGACTTGAAATATTAATTTTCTTTAGCACTTTAAAGCTAAAACGTGTCCAAATACAAAAGTTCTTGACACAATAACACTAACATTAGCTTTACGAAGTTTATAAGTCTTAATTGGTCTATCTTCATGTCAGGCCGCACAGTCCATTTCCGTGATAAGAACCAGTAAACTGTTACTCGTACTTCTCTAAATTTTCAAACTTAATGCAATAGCAGAAGAAAGTCACTTTTTTTTTTCAGAAAAACCGTACTTTGTTAAAAAGCCTCCCACCTCTGTGACGGTTAAAGAGAAAGAAACGGTCACATTACCTTGTGAAGCAAATGGCTTTCCTCAACCGGTAATCACGTGGTATAAAGATGAACGCTTAATAGAAGAAGACAGAAAGCATTTCGGGAAAGAAAGATCTGATATTGAAAGAAAGCGAGTTCAAGGATCGCGGTTTGTTCACCTGTAAAGCTGAGAATCTTTTAGGAATAGCTGAGGTATCAACTAATGTCACTGTTAAAGGTAAGAATGTGTAATCAATGAATCTCTTTTGCGAATTTTTATAACTCTAATTTCGTTTGGTTATTGGAAACCAACCTATTCGATACCTTTGTGTCATTTAACTTCTCTATTATCTTTTCGTTATAAAAAATTGTGCGCGAAAATGAATGATACATTCTCATAAAACGATTTTAAATTTAGGGCAGAGTTAATGAATTACTGACATTATTACTTATTGATCCACTTCTTCAAAATCAAGAAGTCAATATGAATCTCGGTTTTAACGCATATTGAAGTTTCTCTCTTTGATTCATTTGTCATCTCTGTTGATTTTTAGTGCCTACCAAATTTGTAACCAGACCAAAGAAATCTGTGGTTACCTACAAAACATGGGACACTGTTCTCAAATGTGACATTTTTGGCTACCCCTCCCCTGTGATAACATGGACAAGATCTCTGAGACAGCTTCCGATCAACAGACATATCATTGACGGTAATCAACTTACGATTAAAAACACTACCAGCGACGATGATGGTGCTTATGTTTGTCAAGGAAGTAATCAGTTAGGAAATGTCATGGCTGTAATATGGATAATCGTGAGAGATGTTGGTAAGTGAATCAAGTCATTGTAGTCTCCTCAAAAACTAGTCAAAGAATCAACTTAAAAAATAACAACATAAAAAGGGGGTTGTGATCACATCTAAAGGTGCGTAAGTTTGCTAAATTTTTGTTTAAGAAGTTTGCTTTCTCTTACCCATTTCTTTAAGTGAATCCTCATATTGTATCCAGACCTGCCAATGAGATTCAAGTGCAAAAACTTGGTGATACTGTGAGGCTGAACTGTTCTGCTGGTGGCTCACCGCTTCCTAAGATCATGTGGCTTAAGGATGGTCGAATAGTTCATTCTCTAGTTGTACATGGAGGCATTTTCTTGACCAAGAGTGAACTCACCATTAATCACTTCAAGCCAACAGACGCTGGGATGTACACATGTCTATTTTACAATAGGAAAAATGCCACAGCAGATGCCAAAACAATTCTTAGTATGTTTTTGTTGTGTTACTGATGTAGAGTCTGAGTGTTTTGAATAATCAAATGTTAGGTTTCCATGATTTTTCTAAAAATTAAATTTTAGATTCGCTGCATTTATTAGCTACGTCATTGTCTTTTTCTTCTGTTTAATACAGCAGGATATAACTTGAATAAGCAGAGCAATCTATTAAGTAGAGAGTTTAACACGGCATTCAATAATACACTCTGTTTTCTAATCTTCGATTCCTTTATCTAGCGACAACAAGAGGCTGGAAAAACTGTAATATAAAGAAAATTTGTACAAATGTATTTCTTTAACTAAATGGGTGTAGAGTTGTGTTTCGTTATCGTTCAATTGTGGCATTTCAATGTCTTTTATATTTGTTGCCTGGATTTTTATGTTGAGCTCTTGTCAACTGTGGTGATCCTGGTTCTCCATCAAATGGATACAAACATGGCTCACGATATTGGACTGGTGAATCTGTGTCGTTCATTTGTGATCCACAATATCACTTGACTGGTCCAGCTACTAGGACGTGTTTACCCTCTGGTAAATGGAGTGGAACACAGCCTTCATGTAAGGAATCCTATAAAATGATTATAACAAAAATTATACTTGAGAACCAATTTGTTTAATAACGGCTTCGAACAAATGGGGACCAAACTAAGTAAGTCTAAAAGTTAAGGCTGTGCAGCAACGTCTAATATCCATCATTGAAAAAAAAAGAGATTTTAACAGTAGATTCCCAAAGGTTACAACTCTGATTGTGAAATGATTTTCTTACTTAAGGTCGCCGAATGTGCCCCGCCTTGGAAAATCCAGAGCACGGTTTCATTCATGGAAATCATTTTTGGGAAGGAGAGAATGTATATTTCAGCTGCAAGACTGGTTATTGGCTGAATGGATCATCAGATCGTCACTGCTCGTTGAATGGTACTTGGACTGAAGAAAAACCTAGGTGCATCGTACCTGGTAAATATAATAAAGCTTGATGGTTTCAATATGTTTTGTTTGCAGTTGTGCGGCTTATCCTCCGAGTGAGATTTATGGTAAGTAACTAGAGGGGTAACTAAATAGAGGCTAACAGAATATGACCAAAGATACAAAAATCAATCATCAAACAGACAGATGACCATATAAAAGAAGCCATTTCAATCAAAACACTAAAAATTCCATGTTGCCATTTCATACGTAAAAAACACTAAAAATTCAGGAAAATGTAATATAATTTTTTATCACATAAACAAAAAAGCTTTTTGAGAAAAGCCGTAACAAAAAAAAAATATTTTTTCATAAACAGTTACTAATAATGAACGGCAGAGTTATTATACGTAAAACACTAAAAAATCCGTTCGCTGGCAGACAATGAGGTTCAAACTTTGCTATCCAATATACTAAAAAAAACCTTGCGTATTCATATACTTTCCAGAACAATATAATACAATTTTTTACCTGACTTCTTCTGTCGTAACAAATTCAATAAATGTTTTTTTAAATTGAAAATTATGATTGTTTTTTGTAATCATGATTCAACGCATTTTTCCATAATTTTAAAATATTTTTATTTTCATTCATTGATGAAGTCGGCTTTTCTTCCCAAAAAGGGCTATTGTGTTTATATCATAATAAAAAAAAATACATGGTTCAACTCGACATCTCACTCGTGAGCTATCGTGTCGAAGAGAAGAGAAATTCCATATCTACGAACGCCCATGTATTATTCCCTATGTATTATATAATATTTAATTATGATATTTTAATATTGATTATAATTTTAAAATAATTTTTTAATTCTTATTCAAGCTTAATCGGGCTAACTGGCGAAAGTTCGACTATGATGAAAACGTTAAATCGAGGAGGTTAAAGAATAACTTTATTCTTTCCTTATTTTAAAGAAATTACCATGCAATCAGGCATCCTCCAGAGCAGTGGGTTCTTCCACTACAATATTCTCAGGAGATTTTTGGAGCAAGCGGTTGGTATTAATCCGTCTTGGAAGCTGTGTTACCGTGCCTCCCTTCACGGCTGGGGAGCAAGTACGTTTCACAGTCTCTGTGATGGGAAGACATATACTGTTACGTTGATCAGGAAAGGTGCATTCGTGTTTGGAGGATATACAGATATTGCTTGGGGTGAGAATATAATATTATAAAAAAAGGCTTACGTTCATTTTTGACGTTTCAAGCACACTAAGAAGATAATTATAGCCCGGTCTTTACCTTCTCTAAAAGAGTGCTCAGGAAAACAAATTTTAAATTTTAAACGCTTGTTGTTCTCAATAAAAAGGGAAATTGAACTCATGGTTTCATTAAGAAAATAGGAATGAAAATTGAATTTCTTTTTGGCAGTCAGGTGTGCAAAATCTTCGAGCGATGAATGCGTGCGGCAGCCTGTAAATTAACTGTACCATCTGATCGAGAAGGAATGTAGGCTGTGCAGTAGGCGCTCGGTGGCTACGCACAGTCAGGTTAAAATAGGCGCCAGAAATTACACATGCAAAACGTATTGAAAAAGCTAGCATTTCTAACAGAACAATAAGTTATTGGAATGAATAACAAATTAATACGTTGCGGCATCATGAAGACGGATGTTGGAAGTAATACGACTGAAGTCTATATTTTAAATTTGAAAGACATCATATTTTATCATACGCAGGAAATTTTGACGGTCTCTTCGGCATTGAGAAAAACTCAGATGTGATACAAATCATTCCCCCGTTGCGTCCCTTCCTATCCCCTCGATAAGTTCTTGATTCCATTTTCTTCTATTCGCACGTAATCTGCAGATGTTGTGATTCTTTTATCTACTTATTACCTGTTCTATCGCCTCAGCTCTTGCCCATTTCTCTTCTCTATGTACTGAAACTTTGTCTCCTCAGAGCTATTTTCAACCCATTTACTTCCACCGACGTAATACTTGTCAATTGCTCCTCTCAAATCTCAGTAGAAAGTTCAAAAGAATGATAAGCATTGATGGGTTACCGAGTTTCCTTAGAGTTAGCGGTACACTGCAAGCTCCGCCAATAACTAAGAGTTTGATAACTGTTTTGCAATTTCACACACTGTCATTATAATTCGCAAAGGTTTATAAGTGGTTGGAAGATATACAGACATAGCTTGGGGTAAGAATTTATTACAAACAGATCTCATTTGATGGAACGGCGGTTTCTGTAGCAATTAAAACGGAAATCTCAATTTTAACGTACAATTTTACACTCAGCAGGTAAATTACTCTCCGTATCATCTATGCCACCGAAATTGAACAAGGTAATCATTGTTGAGATTTTAGGAGGTTTTGAGGTTTTAATTTTGTGAATCAAGGCTTGCTCACGTTCTTAATCGATTTGTGGGCACTAATTTCCTATCACACGTGGATTTATTTGACAATCTACGCGCTTAACCTCCCAAAAATACTTAATATGATATATCACTGTAAATAGAACTAGTTTGAATATTCCATGTCGCAACGCCTCCTTTCACATTCTTCTCTTCTACTTTTGTGGTAGCGAAATGACAACTTGGTTGATAAGTCCTTTTTTGGCCTGGAAACGCTTCAAGGCAGAAGTCAATTATTTACGACAAAATTACGAAGCCGAAATTCAGACACGGGTAGTGGGTGATTGACTCAACGTCCGAACTTTCGCGTTTTGTTTATATCAAAAGTCACGTGACACGTGAAACCTGAAGTAGCCGGCAGATCAGGCGCAATATTTTGGCGAGCGAGTGCTCAGGGGAGAGAAAGAAATCCGTACCAAGAGTGTGGGCGACGGTCAAAAATAAGGAGAGGGATGGGATGGGGGAGAGAAATATACTGCTCCGTCCTCTCTTGTCTATATATGTTTCAGTGAGAACGGAACGCATCTTCATATTGAATCACATCCAAACTATTTCCTTAGTGCAACGCACTTTCTCTTGTCCTTCGGCATACTTGAATGCCTGTGAGCCACTTCTAAGCGATGTAATTTCAGATCGGATAATCCTTTTAAAAATTTGGGGTGCGGGCATTTATTTTGCACAATCATGTCTTAATGGTTTTTTTTTTGTTATTTTTTTCCCATTGCCCCATTCGGTTGATCTAAATTTTCTGCACCAGTTACAGCATGACAACATATGCGTCTGGTACGTGTGCGAAGGGTGAATAGACGAGTTCTGTTTCTCCACGGTGCTATCTAAGAGGATCTCAGTGGGGTTAACCGATAACTGTAAAACGGCCGAACATGTCATGTGCCCTGAGGAGCAACAAAATTTCCGTGAATTTTAACTTTCGCGTGGATGACCTCCCTGACAATGATACTGTCTGGCCCCACCCATCTATCGGGTCATACCTAAAACCACTTTGCACTTTGCTCATCTCTGACCATTTGGGAGTGGGGGAGGGGCTAACAGGTTGAGATTCCACCGAGCACCCAATGATGTTTGACTTGTCTTCTTTTCCTTTGTCATTTACACCCCCCTTTCACTTTCAATTAAATATTATTCACTCACGTTTCTATTGTTTTTGCAATATCATATTTCCTGGCTCCTTCCCTTTATGCTTTCAAGTTTCTATTACTATTTAGACACTAGTGGTCACCTCAGTTCCAGTTTCAATGGTTCATTTTGCCTCTCATACCAGTGTGCTAATATACTTTTAGTTTTACTCCTTTATGATTCTTTGTCTACCTGTTAAACAGATTCCAGAAGTGGTTGGTCATTCACTTCAAATGCGTTCATATTTTCGCTCATCAATAAAGAAGGACTAGCACCTTTCAAAAGCATGGTGAAGAGACCCTCAAACGCAATTTACAGAGGCTCAAGTTATGGTCCGTTATTTGGATCAGGGAACGACATAAGGATTGCTGATAATGCAAATAGTAACACTAATTCATACACGTCGTTTGGGGACTCCTACTCAGTACCCAGTGGAGTAAAGGACAGATACACAATCCTGGCTGGAACTCAAAAGTTTTCCCCTGATGAGGTAGAGGTGTTTTACCGCAACTGAATCACATGACATATAGACCAGTCAAGTAGTCTTGTAATTTACGGAAACAAACAAATAAGAAAAGGTGTGTGTACTTTGCGGTATGGCACATCTATTTGATTCTTCCGCTTCATACTATCAATAGATTCTGATTAGGTGATAGGTTACTTTTACGACTTACAATTCTTATGAGGCAAAAAATAACGTAATTAAAGAGTGGAATAGAGGTAATCATGTTATAGTTTCGAGAAAATGTAAATGTCAAGTTTAGTAATACAGGAAAACTTGCGAATTACGTCCTGCAAAAAGAGGACCACTATAAAGATATCGGCACCCCAAAGGGATGGCTCAAAATTTCATGTATAGGGAGCAGTTAACTTGTTTGATTATATATACGTCGTTCTCTAAATTTGAAATCATAATTTTCGTTTCTAGCAATTATTGTTTACAAGAATCTTTCAACGTTCCATTTTATCAGGGAAATAACTTCCAATAAAAGAAAACTGAAGGACTGCAAGCTACTAGTGTCAATTTCGTCCTAATGAAAGTTTTCGAACTCAGTTCAAAACCAACTCTTTAAAAAACAAAAACAAAAATAAAAACAAAAAGACAACAACAACAACTACAACAACGAAGCAGAATTGTAAAGGCAAGAATAAATGCTAGAACCGAAATTATCCACCATTACAAGATCAAAATGCTTTGCCAACGTTCTTTACATAGCGACTCTTCCAAGACTTTACTCAAAGTGTTATTGCGGACATCCACTCCCTTTCCAAACCGCTAGTCCAGTCCAAACATTACAGCTATTTTACATTGCAAACAGTGAACTGTTAATCGCGAAGTCACGTTCTTCGTCGTCTATAAGGAAGACATATAATTTAAACGAAAGATCGCTTAGTGTTGACGCGCATGTACTGTTCAAAGAATAATCCACAATAACGATTTGTCAGTCTTCTCTAGCTTCATGCTGTTCTCATTAATACTCTCACTGTGACTATTGCAGCGAAAGTGGGCTCTTCGCAACCAAGCTTGGTACTTATACCACACACACACGCACAATTTTTTTGGCCATATCTATTAAAAAGATATTCAAAAGTATGCTATACTAAACTTAATTTCAAAATATCAAGTGACTTGCGCGAAACAGTGTTCGAGGATTATTATGCACGTGACATTGATGATGAAGGAAGTTTGTGCAGTCACGTGCAAATGGAATTTTTTCGGACACCCTCTTTAAGTTTTAGTTATTTTTATGGGTTGAACATTTGCTGAGATTTGGCCCATTATTCGTAAAGGGAATGTTTATCAAGCCCAAAAAGTCGTGGAAAGAGTTTGTGTCTTTTTTTTCGTCTGTTTGTTTTTGTTCTCTTTGTTTCTCAGTGTTGCATCGATTAGATTCAGTGTCTTTCTGTTTGCGAGATTTTTTTTCGTAAGAAGGAAAGCAACATCAACAAAAACATTAAAAAAAAACCAAACAAACAAACAAAAAAACAATGAATACAACCACAGCCAATTAAAACATAACAGAAAAAAAACAACAACAACGGCAAAAACAAAAGGAATATTAACCAAAACAAAGTAAGAAGTGACTCACGTAACTACTTCTGGTAAGACACGTGACGCTGATCTAAGCTTATAACTAAAAGTTGCAATGTCACGGTTTTGTGCATCTGCTGTTACGTTTGTGACAATTTAATCTTCGTTGCTTGTAATCCGAAGTGGTCTTTTCCATCTAAAACCCGACTTTTTTCTTCTATGATTCAGTTGTTACGTCTTTTCTGTTTGTCTAACCAAACAAACTATAATTTTATGATTTCATCTTCACTAACGATTTTTCGCGTTAAAATCTACAAACAGCGAGCAGCACCCTCTTAAATCTCCTTAATGACATATATTCGTTTATTTATCTCAACTCATTTAGCTACGGAGTATACGTCGAAATAAACTGTAATAAATTAAGAACAATTGCATACACCTTAATAATAAATTACTAATATTAAGTAATTATATCATTGGAGCACATAATTTTATTATAAAATTTAAGCTTTTTCACGTCGTTGTTTGAATAATTTCGAAAAAAGGGAATTCCTTGAAGAACCAACCAGAGCGGCATGCTTTTTTCAAATGCAAAACGCAGCAAATATAAAAACGTCTGAAGACCAAGCTGATACGGGCAGAGCTCCATTTTACATCTTGTGACGCTAGTGCATCACTCAAAATCAATGCTTAACGAGCAGAAAGATTATCACTGTGTTCATTCGTAAGTAAGTTTACCACCTTCGCGACTCCGAGATGACAATGACCGTTCCTTTTTGCAGCCGCTACAAATGAAAAGGGGCGTCTACTTGTAATTAAATCAGTATAACCCGAAACAGTCACTCACATAGTGCTATTATGATAGTCTTCGCATAATGTAAGGTTATTTTACACTAGTCGTTCTTCGAGACGCCAAAAACAAACCGCCAATTTATATGTGAACTAGTTTTTCATTTATCATCTTGTATCTATTCAGTATTTTCAGTAGATGTAACGAAGTCATGAGGGTCTAACAACTGTCTGTACTTGTGTTTATTCATGGAACTATATCGAGCTTGGCTGGGATTAATGTTGCCCTGAGATCAACTGGTAATCATCATATGTCAAGGGAATCATATTACGGGATTAATGCCTACTCAAGTGTAAGGAATCTCGTTATCATAGAAGGGAGCGGCGGAGATGGGATCGGTGAACATGGAGTCCAAAGCAGACAAGAGTCAATGCTTTCTAATGTTTGGTCTTTCATTCAATTTGATTCTGACTTAAGGGTCACTTGGATTCACGTGCTATTCATTGCATCTATTATATTCTCGTGTGACAACAGTTGAACAGAATGTTTTACTGAGAAATCCGTCTGATCAGATTCTCAGTCGAGCGATTGTTGAACCAACTTCTTCCGAAACACATCCATGTGGCTCACGAATTAAAAGACTTTCTGCGATAAAAGAACTGCTGATAAAGGATCCAGATGCCGCAAATGTAGAAGCGACTGCCCTAACTCGAGTGGTGTAAGTTATTTTTGTTTGCTTGTTTATCAAATATCATCTTCACAAATGCACAGAGATATTTTTAGGAGAACTTGAATGACTGGAACATATAAAGCTCATTGCTGTGAAAACCTAAGTTGACTGAAACAGTAGAAATACAAAACGACAGTTATGTCAGGGAAATTATTGATGACAGCTTTTTCGCGAATTATCTATAACTAAGGATTAAGCTCGTTTTAATCTGTTTCAACGAGAGCGGAACATTTTGTCACGTAGTTGCTTCCTTGATGTAACACACTTTCTTAAGGGCGTCCGTGCCCTTAAATATCTTGTGACACTCACAAGTAACGCAGTTTCCGATCGACCAAAAGTTTGAATGGGTGCCATCAAGAAAGTGGTAGATGAGGCGGCGAGAATAATCTTATCTAATTCACTTTTATAAGCGCATTTTTTTAAATCCACAACATCTTTTTAGCGGTGACTTTGGCTTAACATAGACTCAGTCGCTTAAAGAATTGACTATCATGCCAAAAACAACCATTCATACTTTTATGAAAAATAATGCGAGTTAATTTTTTCTTAAAGAACCAGAACTTGGCAATGGAAGGAGTCCAGGAGAAGACAGTTTGTGTGGAGGGTAAGTTTCGTGTGACTTCATTTAAAGCTGATTTAAAACAGCGTTTAAAAGCCACTTCTTGTAAAATTCATAAGTCAAGACTCTTGACTTATAATCACAGGAAATGTGGCGGGTATATATCAATGCGTCTTTGGGAATCATTACGTCAAATGTAATTAAATAGGTTTCTGAGAACCATGAAGCCTGTTTGTTCGGCTCGCAACAAAAGGATGAAATGGAAAGTAGGAATCTCTAGTTTCATCAGTGCTATATGGCATTTTGCTGAAAAGGAAAATAAAGCATTATGAGAAAAAGTGGAAAAAGAGGTCATCTTAAGAGGATTTTTGCGAAAAGGATAAAAATTTAAAGGTGCCATGATTTTATTTCTTTTAATAGCAACCGTATAATATATTAGCCTTCAGTTTTTGTGTGTTCCTTTCATCGGATATCGATCTTTTAGGACCTCGAGGCCCACCAGGACCACCAAGTCCTCCTGGCTTACCAGGTTCCCAGGGCCCCCCGGGCAAATGGAAAACGAGGACGAAGAGGAACAAGAGGCCCGCCGGGTCGCCAAGGAAACCGGGATGTCCAAGGTTTGCCTGAACACCCTGGAAAGTTGGCGCAACCGAAAACAAATCGTAACGGTGGAATTCAGTTAGGCAATAAAATGTGACTTCTCAACTTATTTTAGAACGGGAGGACTTAAAGTTTTTTAATTTTCTTTAACAGTTTGGAGCTAAAACGTGTTCAAATCTTGCATGGAACAATAACATGAACGTTGGCTTCACAGCCCATTTCCGCAAAAAGAACAAGTAAACCGTTACTTGCACTACCCTCTTAATTACGTTACTCTTTTTACCACTCTAAAACTTTCAAACTTTATGCAATTGCGGGAGAAAGTTTTTTTTTCCAGAAAAACCACGCTTTGTTAAAAAGCCTCCCACTTCTGTGACGGTTAAAGAGAAAGAAATGGTCACATTGCCTTGTGAGGCAAATGGCTTTCCTCAACCGGTAATCACTTGGTATAAAGATGAACGCTTAATGGAAGAAGACAAAAAACATTTCGGAAAGAAAGATCTGATATTAGAAGAAAGTCAGTTCAAGTATCGCGGTTTGTTCACCTGTAAAGCTGAGAATCTTTTAGGAATAGCTGAGGCATCAGCCAATGTCACTGTTATAGGTAAGAATGTGTAATCAATGAATCTCTTCTGCGAATCTTTTGAGCTCTAATTTCGTTTGGTTATTGGAAACCCGACCTATTCGACATCTTTGTGTCATTTAACTTCTCTATCATCTTTTCGTTACAGAAAATTGTGCATAAAAATGAACGATACATTCTCAAAAATCGATTTTAAATTGTGAACATAGTTTATCAATTACTGATGTTATTACTAATTGATCCACCTCTTCAAAGTCAGAAAGTCAATATGAATCTCACTTTTAACGGATATCGAAGTTTCACTCTCTGGTTCATTTGTTATTACTGTCCATTTTGAGTTCCTACCAAATTTATTAATAGACCAAAGAAATCTGTGGTCACTTACAAAACATGGGACACCGTTCTCAAATGCAACATTTTTGGACAAGATCATTAAGACAACTTCCGATCAACAGACATGTTATTGACAGTAATCAACTTACGATTAAAACACCACCAGCGACGATGATGGTGCGTATGTTTGACTAAAAAACAACAACAAAAACAGGTGTTTGTGATTACATCTAAAGGTAAGTAAGTTTGCTATATTTTCGTTAAAAAAGTTTGCTCTCTTTTACTTATTTCTTTAAGTGAATCCTTATATTGTATCCAGACCTGCCAATGAGATTCAAGTGCAAAAACTTGGTGATACTGTGAGGCTGAACTGTTCTGCTGGTGGCTCACCGCTTCCTAAGATCATATGGCTTACGGATGGTCGAATAGTTCATTCTCTAGTTGAACATTACAATGAGAAAATTAATGCCAACAGACAGATACACGTGTCTATTTTACAATGAGAAAAATGCCACAGCAGATGCCAAAACAAGTCTGAGTATGTTTTTTTTTGTATTACTGAAATGGAGTCTTAGTTTTTTGAATAATCTCTGAGAGGTTAGGTTTTTCCATGATTTTTCTAAAAATGAAATTTAGATGCACTGCATTTATTAGATACGTCATTGTATTTTTCTTTAAATAAGAAATCGGTTAGGTCTAACACGGCATTCAATACTACACTCTGTTATTTGATCTTCGATTCCGTTTTCTAGTGACGACAAGAAGCTAGAAAAACTGGAATATAAAGTAAATTTTTGCGAATGTATTTTTTAACTGAATGGGTATAGAGTTGTGTTCCGTTATCGTTGTGGCATTTTTATGTCTTTTATATTTGTTGCCTGCATTTTTATGTTGAGCTGTTGTCAACTGTGGTGATCCTGGTACCCCATCAAATGGATACAAACATGGTTCACGATATTGGACTGGTGAATCTGTGTCGTTCGTTTGTGATCCACAATATCACTTGACTGGTCCAGCTACTAGGACGTGTTTACCCTCTGGTAACTGGAGTGGAACACAGCCTTCATGTAAGGAATCCTATAAACTGATTTTAACAAAAATGATACTCGAGAATAATTTGTATGATAATGGCTTCGATCAATTCTTACCAAAATAAGTTAGTCTAAATGTTAAAGCTAAGCAGCAGCGTCTAATATCCATCACTAAAGAAAAGATATTTTAACAGTAAATCCCCAAAGGTTACAAATCTGATTCTGAAATGATTTTAATTCAAGGTCGGCGAATGTGCCCCGCCTTGGATAATCCAGAGCACGGTTTTATTCATGGAAATCATTTTTGGGAAGGAGAGAATGTGTATTTCAGTTGCAAACCTGGTTATTGGCTGACTGGATCTTCAGATCGTCACTGCTCGTCGAATGGTACTTGGACTGAAGAAAAACCTAAGTGCATCGTACTTGGTAAATATGATAACAGTGATGCTTTCAAAATGTTTTGTTTGCAGTTGTGCGTCTTATCTTCCAAGTGAGATTTACGGTAAGTAACTAGAGGGTTAATTAAATAGAATAAAAAACAATCAACAAACTGACAGATGACCATACAAAAGACGCCATTTCAATCAAAACACTAAAAATCCCATGTTGCAAAAGCTTTTGTATAAAAATATTTATGAACAGTTACTAATAAAGTTATTAAACGTAAAGAGCTAAATCTTTTGAGAAGTTCCCTTACATATACTTTCCAGAACAATATAATACAATTTTGTGTAATACAATTTTTAATTATGATATTTTAATATTAATTATAATTTTAAAATATTTTTCAGTTCTCATTAAAGGTTAATCGGGCTAACGGGCGAAAGTTCAACTATGATGAAAACTTTAAATCGAGGATGTTAAAGAATAACTTTATTTCTTCCTTATTTTAAAGAAATTACCATGGAATCAAGTATCCTCCAGAGCAATGGCTTCCTTTTCAATAATCTCAAGAAATTTTTGGAGCAACCAGTTGGTATTAATCCGTCTTGGAAGCTGTGTTACCGCGCCTCCGTTTACGGCTGGGGAGCAAGTACATTTCACAGTGTCTGTGATGGGAAGACACACACTGTTACGTTGATCAGGAAAGGTGCATTCGTGTTTGGAGGATATACAGATATAGCTTGGGGTGAGAATATACCATAAGCATAATAGGCTTACGTTCATTTTTAGCACACTAAGAAGATAATTATAGCCCGGTCTTTATGTTCTCTATAAGGGTGCTGAAGGAAAACTAAATTTTCCTGAGAGTAATACTTTGATGTGGTGCGTAGTGAAGCAAGAGAGGTGATATGCAGCCAGGAGTATTAAAAAAATACAAAAATAAATAAAAAGAGCAGCCAAAATCGTGGCAACCATTGTTATTAAAATGCATTTCTTGCTTACTTAATCAGTATCATTTTAGTTTCTCTCAGATATTGAAAGAGAAGGTTATCTTTGAAGGTCATAAAAGCAGGGATTAAACAATAATACTTTAGAACTTATAATAATTTTGTCACAAAATTTAAAAGGTGCAATTTCTAATCTATAGCTGTTGCTTTCCAAGAGCAGACTGCTGTATTCCATTGTGTCAACGTTTGCGTTGATTGGCCTTTGTTCGCACTTCCTACATCAATAACTGGTGATTATCATCCGCCTGAAACACCAATAGTATATCACCGAGTGAGAAAGTGCAAATTTTCGAAACGCCGAATTTCTTACTACCCCAATGCAACTGCTACACGTAGGATTTTGCTTCTGTCTGGTGATATCGAAGTAAATCCTGGCTGGGGAAATGGTCTGAAGAAATTTGACCCTACTTATGTCTCTAAAAACCAGCGATCAGTCGGTTCCACTCCACCTGTCAACTCACATATTCCCGTGCGCATTTGTGAGAGAAGATACTCCACCCATTCGTATCTGAACCAACACCAATCACCAACACGAATATCAATCAAGCGTGTACCTTTCATTAAGTCCTCTAGTACGCCATTGTCTCGGTGTCTACTTAACTCGCGTTCCGTCAGAAACAAGTCAGCGGCCTTTTTCAATTATATTTGCGAGTGCAAAGCTGACCTAGTCGCTGTTACAGAGAGTTGGTTACGTTGTTGGGATGATGCAATCCGAGCAGAACTTTGTCCGGATGGATATAAGCTATTAGATCATGTACGTGATTGTCGTCAAGGCGGTGCTACAGCTCTATTGTTCAGGGACTCGCTGACGGTCAAGAAAGTGGGTGGTGGTGCTAAAATGTCATTTGAGTTTTCAGAGTTGACCGTCCAGCTAGCTTCTTCCTACGGTCTTCGTTTGGTTGTAGTCTATCGACCACAGTCTGACTCTGATGATCACAGGATCCCCATGACCACGTTTTTCAACGATTTTACTGACTAACTAGAAACGGTTATTCTCTGTAAAGAACAGCTGGTGATCGTCGGTGATTTTAATATCCATGTAGATGTGCTTAGCAATAGTGACTCAACCAAATTTCGAGATCTGCTGGAATCTTTCTGCCTGCAACAGCATGTGGTAGGTCCAACCCGTATTCATGGTCACACCCTGGACCTTATCATCACCCGCCAGTCCGACCAGAATGTAAGATCCACACCTCAAGTCGACTGCTATTTCTCTGATCATGCACCAGTGCTGTGTCATCTTCATTCAATGAAGACTTCTTTCTCCACCAGGACTCTCTCGTATCGGAAAGTAAAATTAGTGAACGTGGATTCCCTGAATGATGACCTAGCTAATTCTGAGCTGTGTAAAAATTCCACCGGACGATCTCGAGGAACTTCTTTTGTCCTATAACAAAACCCTAATAGCTGTGCTGGACAAACATGCCCCTGTTAAGAATCGAACGATTGTTATGCGTCCGCAAGTTCCATGGTACACAGACGAAATCAGACAAGCCAAGAGAGAGCGACGGAAAGCTGAAAGAAGATGGAGATGGTCGAAACTTGATTCCGACTTGGCTGTCTTCAAAGTTAAGCGCAATGCTGTCAACAATCTTATGAACAAGGCACGACAGGCGTTTTACACTAAACTTATCGAGTATAACAGCTGTAATCAGCTGTTCAATCAGTCGCAGGGCGATGAGTTACCTCCGAATCTGCACGTCCCCACTTTTGCAAACGACGTTGGAAAGTATTTTGTGTCAAAGATTGATACAATCCAGAGACAAATCGATGCTGATATTACAGATTTATTTGCCTCCGCATCCACCCCTGCTGATGGCTTTACTCGGTTCACTCCATCGTTATCTGCATTCAAGATCCTGTCTGCCAACAGTGTTAAGTCGCTTATCCATAACTCAACATTAAAGTCTTGCCCACTTGACCCAATGCCCTCTCGCTTGGTCAGCAGATGTGATGCTCTTCTTCCTATCATCACTAAGATCATTAACTAATCATTAGAAGCCGGACACTTTCCTAAGTCCTGGAAGGAGGAAGTAGTATGTCCGTCACTCAAAAAGCCTGGTCTTGATATCACAATCAAGAATTTCAGACCGGTAAGCAATTTAGCTTTCTTATCGAAGCTCACTGAGAAAGCAGTCTTCCATCAGATACACGAACACATGGTCGACACGAATCTATACCCGAACGCTCAATCAGCTTACAGGGTGCATCATAGCACTGAAACTGCTTTTCTGAAAGTGAAGAATGACATCCTGCTCAATATGAATAAACAACATGTAACCCTTCTAGTGTTACTCGATCTTAGTGCTGCTTTCGATACAGTCGAGCATAATATCTTGTTGGAAGCACTCAATACGCCCAAATCCAACAGATACTTCCATAATGTAAGAACAATTGAAACCTTTTAATAGCCATTTCGTGGTTATGACCCTAAAATCAGCCTTAGTACCAAATTTCAGCCAAATCTGTGAGGTTAAGTGGCTGCGATTTTTTGAAAAGGTTCGAAAGTTACAAACTGTTATTTTATGTTTTGTTAAATAGGAGTCACCATTTGTTGTTAAAAAGATTAGACGAAAGGATTTTTTCTGACAAATTTCGTTTTTCAACAGCATGAATTTAAGTCTCTTATCATGAAAATAAAGGGAACGCACTTTAGATAATATCACTGGTAGCAGAAACGGAGGCACACAAAAGTAAGGAAAGTTGTCAGTAGGTCATATTTTTCACTCGGTTTATGACCGATCCACTTTCGGTTAATATTTTTCCAAAGTTTTTCAGAGTTTGCGAAAGATACAATGTCATCTACTTTTTGAATTTAATGTTTTATTTTTTATCTATTTATTTACAAATTTGTCTATTTTATCATAAAAACTCTAAAAGCATCAACCTAACAATTCAACAACAGAAAATAAGTTGGGTTAATATTGGTTTCTTGTTAGCAAACTTTCTCCATTTACCACTAAACCGATTACAAGTACTTAAATATAAAACAGATCCGTGTTGTTGTTGTTTCATTTGTTTTGTTACTTTTTTTTCTGCCTGGCGTTCAGTCTGTACCACAGTAACGCTTGTTACAGCCAATTGGCTTACCAAGTTTGTAAATAAAGTAGGATCCTCAGTTCTTGACAAAAATGTTTTTGAGGCTTTTGCAATAGTGGTTTGGTTTGCCACTAAAGCAGACGTTCCCGTGAACTTCACCATCTTCCACTGTAGGATGAGCACCATCCAACCAGCCTGACCAGTCTGTACCACATCTGAATGCTGGCACACGTTTTGTCGGCATTTTTGTTCCTGCAGCTCCCACAAAACGATACCATCCCACAGAGAGTTGGTTGTCACAAAAAAGTGGTCCAGATTCCGGCGTTTTGTACTTTGTGTTTCGATTGGCTTCACTCAGGTTTAAGTGATGAAGGCAAGGATCGGCTACAAAGAAAAATGATCATTTTAAGAGCATTATAGTTATTAGAATCAGTCACTGAGTTGACTGTCACACAACGCTGGTCCAGATAGCAGTATAATATAACTACTTCTTCTATTGGCACGCTCACTTCTTTATACATTTTACACGGATCGTTATAAAGTTTACTGAAATTGTATATTGGTATTAAAATAAATGGTGAAATTGATTTCTTAACATTTTGTGAGTCGATCACTTCAACAACAAGCAGATGGCACTTGTTTTTTTGACAAAATTACATCTGTGCAGTAAGTAAAATGTGAGGAAGTATTGGCGTTGGACAATAATGATGCAAAATGACCTAAAATTAAATAATAGCATCATAAGAAGTTATGCATCCTGTTGATTTAATAGCCCATCAAGTCGTTGGCTGTTTGAACCCTAACTGCATACTACCATACCGGTCTTTGAACATTATCACATTATCACTCTGTGGAAGCCTTAAAAGGCTTCTACAGAGTGATACAGGCCCCAACAGATTAGGGCGTGACACAATTACTTCACAGGAGCGTGTGATTTTTTTAAAAGTATCTTTAGATAAGCAACATCCAGGAATTGGAATAACAACTCGAACTGGATTCCATAAGTAAAATTCATTTGATCATAATTGCTATCGTTCTAACTTTGCAGGAATCTTCTAAGTTTAGAGATACACGACGAAAGACCTCTTGTAAAAATAGTTATCGGAAAAGGTATATTCTTATGTAGTATTCAGCCAATTATTTGAACTTTAAAGAATTGGATATCTCAGCCGAAGTGTTCTCTCGAAGTTAGCTCTTCCATTAAATAAAGCAACAATACCCAAAACTTCAATGTGAAAGTCCAACCTCTCGATTTTTTCGCGCATCAACTTTTTATTTCGAACTTAAAAAGCGTCAAAAGAAATGCACGAGTTAAAAAAACATTCATAGACGGTAATAAAAGTTATAAAATGTACCTCGGCACGATTTTCCATCCCCAATGTATCCTTTCCTGCAGGTGCAGTTGTGAGAGCCACCAGTGTTAGTACAGTTCGAATTCACATCACACATGTGGCTTCCATCGCTGCATTCATCGATATCTGAAGAGATGTGTAAGGGGTAACATGATGAGGCTTTGTCTGACAATCATTCGTTTCATTATCGAATATATACTTAGTTACTCATGCAGTAATTAATGTCTAAAGTCATGTACCTTGACATGATTGTCCATCTCCAATGTATCCATTCGTACAAGTGCAGTTATGAGAGCCATTGGTGTTAGTGCACATTGCATTCACATCGCAAACATGAATTTTATCGCTGCATTCATCGACATCTGTAAACAAAAATGATGGCAATAATGATGATCAAAATGATAGCGACAAGGACGATGTTGGTTGATGATGACAATGATATTGACAATAACTTTTTTTAGGTTCCTTTCGTATTAATGTCACAAACCTTTTTACCATCGCTTCACTCAAAAATGTCTGCATAACATAGTGTTATACTTGTTTCCTTTTGCCTCCGATACAGCTGCTTGACATAACCTTAATGTATTGCTTTATTGCTGCACTCACTTTTATGACAAGACTTCGCATAGAGGTTAACTAAAACAGTTAATGGAAAATCGCATCTATGGTCATATTGGATAATTGAAAAATTAAAAAAATATTGAAAATTAAGTGTACCTGAACATAAGTGTCCATCACCAGTGTACCCCGCTTTAGGGGTGCATTTGTGAGAACCGTACGTGTTAGTGCAGTTTGCATTCCCGTCGCAGTCATACATATAATATTTACATTTATCCATATCTAGAATTAATAATTTTCAACCTCCACTAAGAAGATTATCCATAAAAGCAGTGGCTAAGATAAAAAAGAAGTGGGATGGGTATCCACACTAAAAATGATAGTAACCAAACAAACAATAGTGATTAAAATAAAAATAAAAATAACATGAATATCATTGTGTGGTAAAAATAAGTTAACTCGTAAAGAACATTATAGGACCTACCCCCGCTAGCCATATCACAGTTAATCAATTTTGCCTTCCCAGTGCCTGTTGGATCCAGCCAATACTTGCGGCTGATGGTGTTTTTACCTTCACTCGCCTTTATTTCGAGACAGGATATCGCCGGTAACTCAGGAATAGAACCCAAAGGAGCTGCAGTAAAAATAAAAGTTTTGTTTTCTTCCTATTCTTATTTCTTAATCATAAGTGAGAGGGAACAAGGTCGGCTATGTGTGGAGAAAATCTGGAGGAAAAAAACAGCTAGCACATAGACTTCTGATTTCTTACTTCTGCCGTTCAATCGCTTGATGTAAAACCACGAGGGCGCTGAAAGAAAATTCTCTGGTCTCGCCTCCTTGGTGCGGTTATTTAGTTCACATATTTGGTATTTTCGATTGTAGTTATAGCTTTGGCACGTGATTTCTTCTCCACATTTGACGTCGCATAGGTGAGGAGCCGCTACTGACCATCTTTTGAAGACAAAGCGCTTGAGAGCCATTCCTTGTATGTTTACTTCTGTCCTGCATTGTTCATCAGCTGTGATAGACTTTGTGGCAAAGGCGAAGAGGAGGAATAAACAATACATGCTTCTTTGCTTGTGCAGAGGCTGCAAATATTAAAAAATGGAACCCCACGAGTAGATGTTATATTCTCAAAAAAAGAAATCAACAAAATCTGGTTGCGTACCAGATGAAGACATAATAATCGCAATACATGCACTTTAAATTTTTGCCCGAATTAAAATTAGAAATTTTTTTTTCGCGCGAGCGGCCATTGTTAGCGCGGGGAAAAATTATAACATATTTCGCGACAATAATGGATACAAACAGAGACTCAGCGCACCAGTCCAAAACGAAGACAATTTTCCGACCTTTTCCCTTGGGCTAGAGTTCTTAAACGAGGCAGAAAAAGAGAAAAACAACGGAAAAGGAGACTCCGCGAACAATCACTTCTCAAGAAGCTAGAGTTGCACTCGGCTACTGCCTCGGGCAACTCTTACGCTTCTTTCGTGCTCTCCAAACTTCCCACGTGTTCCATAACTCGATAGTGCACGCTCAAGCATGAACCAATTGTTAAATATTAAGCGTACCTCTATGTTGCGTTAGATTATCTTAGATTTAAAACCTGTTTTCGGCTTTTGTTTAATTATGATTTTTTAGTATACTCATCTAAGGTTACTGACAAAAAGGAAACAAAGAAAGATAAAAGCGAAGATGGCTTTGCCAAATTGGCTGACTCAAATTTGGATACTGTTGTTTTACATACATTTGAAAGTGTTTTTCCAGGCTTTGTTTTACAACTTATTTCCGTGACAAAAAGGGGAAATCGATCCAAACATATGGTTCGCCCTTCAACAAATAATCACCCCTTAATTGTTCAAAACTCATTTAACATTTAAAGGAATTCGTTGTCCGAGTTGAACAAATTCAAAATTTTTCACCATCTCGAAGTGATAGGTAAATGAAATGATATACATCGTACCAGTGCTATCATGTTAATTATCGCATTAAGAAACAATCATGCAGAGGTTTAAATAGTATAAACAAAGTAGTAGGAAAACTAAATATGAAAACTGGTTAACGTGGTCTATTTAAAAGCAGCTTTGCTGTTAACAATTCAGTAAACCCTAATTTAAGTGTCGAGAAAAACTTATCTAATAAATTTCTTGGATACAGAAATATTTTGAGGAGATGCGGGTAAATGAGATTCTTAAAGAATAGACATGTTCTTGACGGTGTATCAACTATGTTCGTCTATTACCCGTCAAGATGCAAAGTTGCTGAGTGCCTAACTTCTACTGCGTCAATGATGCTCTATTTCATCCTTTTAATCACAGTATTTTTAATCATAGTATATATATATACAGGACGTTTTTCTATAAGAATATTCCCCAGGTCTTTCCATAATCCAGTGTTTTAACAAGGAAACTCAACCATGTTCGTAAATCAGTTAAATTAGTTATCAAGGATAAAACTATAATAGAAAGATCGCCTTTGGCCACGGAAAATTGTCATTTCTTATCGATTAAAATTTATCGCGGCTTTTTGAACAGCTTCTTCACTGCAAGTGTTTTTATCATACTTGTTGGGAAAAAAATTACAACCTGTTTTTATGATAATATCTCCCGAGCACTAATTAAGACGAGAAAATTAATTTGCTTTACGCCAGTAGATGTCTGTCAACATGATTTTTCAAATTTCACTCTCCGTTTTAGTATGACAGAAATGACAGGTACTAGAGGGTTTTAATGACTCTTATGTAGACACAAACTCTTAATAATAATAGAGGCTCGTTTTCACTTGTTTTTCCGGGTCACTCTTTCATCCGTGTGAGTTGCTCAAAATGTTCAAATTGCCATTATAATGGCTAAAACGCTCACAAAGTGAGACTTATGACTGAAGGATGGCACAGCAATTTTAAGAAAAATTATTATTTGAAATTATTAAATCGTGGAATAATTCACATTTTTGGTTCAAATTGTGATGGTTTTTATCTGCATGTGCGGGTGGTTTCATTCCTGAAATTTATAACTTCTCAGACACACTTTAGTGCGAGTTCCTGTACAACAACAATACCAACGGCGCCCGAAGCACACTAGCGGAGCAGCGCGGCCCTTTTAAATTTTAAAAAACCTTGCGGACAAACTTTAGCGCTTTTGTATTGAAGAGCTTTTCCTGACAGTGTTTTTTAATCTTATTTAGTATCTAAGAATAAGGGCCATGTTCAGAAAAAGAATTGTGAAATAATTTTGAACATATTTGTCTTAATGTCACACGAGACATGCCACTAAAACACGTTTTTCAAACGTTATAGTAGTTTTCTTCCTAAAGTTTAAGGGAACTAAAGAACAACTTTATCTATCAGCTCTTACTTATTCAAATTTTCGTGAAACAAATATGTATGCATTTGTGTGCTGGAGTTTTTCCCCATTATTTAACTAAACAGTTTAGTAACGAAAGAAGGCAAATATATATCTTCACAGTAAGCCTTCACATCTAACAAATGATCTCTCATTTGTTCAAAAACTCTAATTTATTACTTTGAGGAATTCATTGTCTGATTGCAACAAATTCAGAATCTTTTGGATAGCTTGAAACATTAGCCACGGTTTTATGTTTTGGCAGTTTTTGAGGTAAACTGAGAAGTATTCGGCGTTGTAGACACTTGCATCTTAATTGTTGCGTAAGGAAATAATCATGAGGAGGTTCAGATAGAATACCCATAACATAGAAATTAATCTATGAAAACTGGTAGTCTGGTCTAATTAAAAGCATCTTTAGTTAGTTTGCCACCAACTATAAACTACAATGTAATTTAAGGGTTGAGAAAATTTATCCTATGTTATGTATTCTAAAATGCAGAAATATAGGAGATGCAGGTAAATGTACATTTTAAATGAACAGAAATTTTTCTAGTAGTGTATTAACTACGATCGTCTCTTACCTCTCAAGTTGCAAAGTCCTTGAGCGCCTAACTGTTACCGAGTTATGAACAGAACAGCTCTTTTTCATCAAAGCATTGTTGCTATGACAACGATAAAATGGCAAGCAAAAATTTCCAAAAAGATGCGTAATGGGTGTTAATGCGATGCAAGCTGAATCAAATATTTAAAAAAATATATAGAAACTTTACAACTACGTACGCTTCAGCCTGACACTAATTAGCCTCTGTCAGTGCAGTATTCATATGGTAATAATGCAGAAAAATTGAAAATTTATTGTTTCATTCGAAATTTTCTTGAATCGCGTTGAAGATTCATTAATCGTTACGTTATTGAATTTATGCCGTCTTGTTTTAGACACCGTTAGATTTACAAGGAGAAGTGTTTTGAAAATTATGTCGGTAGTACCATGATATATATTAAAAGCTAATAAACGACAATCTTATCAATTAAAAACGATTATTACTTGCTTCCTCCCTTTGCGTTGCTCGAAATTTTCAACATCGCTTAAGTGTGATATGCACCTGAACAATAACAAAGCAATTTTGAACAAAATATAATTTGAAATAAATTAAGTAAGAATTGTGTTGTCCTAAACTCTAGTCCTGGAAACTCTTGTTCGAATTTTTATTGTATCTATGTTTATACAAGGGTGGCCTAATTTATTAAATTTAAAGCCTCTAAGCAAACTTTAGCGCTTGTGCATGAAAGAGCCTTTCTTGGCAGCCTTTTCATCGTATTGAGTTTCTAAGCTCTTTTCAAGAAACAATTTAAAGTTATTTAGAAAACAATTGTTGGAACATGAAGTTTGTCTCAGTCAAGGGACTCGATTTTAAAGCGTATTCATTTATCATCGCTGTCAACGTCCTCTCTACAATTTAAGATGCTTGCAGGTGATTCTCTTTCACCTGTTGGCCCGTCACCCTGGCATATTCTTTCAAGTATCTTAGTTAAGTTTGAAGGAAGAGATCATTTTTTGTTTAGGCAAGTTATCAATTGCGTCGTAATTTTTTTTGGGATTTTATGGGTAAATTTCCAAGCTATGTCATGTTGACGCACGTGCCGGCGATTGTTGCCCATCTATTGCTAATTAGAATGATAGATACAGGATAAAGGAAATGCAGTCACGTGTACTCGAATTGCTGAATACCGTGGTAAGGCTCGCGTCGTTTATTTTACAAAACATTTTTTGTGTTATTTGCCTCGTGTTCAGGTCTCCTTTTGTAAATGAGAGACTTTTTAACATTAAATTAGTCGAAGACTAGTCAACTTAGAATGTTTAAACAACGGGCAGTAGCCATGAGGGATTTTTTTCTGGGCCTTATTTGTTCTTGATAATTAATGTTGCAGCATACAGCTCTTCTATATAACTCTACTAGAAGGAAAAAAGTTGAAAAATTCTACTATGTTAAACTATGATTAAAAAAAAAAAAAAATTATTGCGTTAACAATTCTACCATTCCTGTAAAAATTTGTGGAAGATTTACTCGATCGGTGTAACAACTTATTTACAACTTGCTTTAACATATACAAGCTCTAAATCATTGTTTTCGACTTGTAGCTCCTCTTAATACATGTAATCGGCTTGTTGAGTGTGTTATGTTCTATGTAAGCGTCATGCTTGAAAAGAGAGGACAGCTTTTATAAGATTCATGCAATTTTGTTGTTTTCGAAGCAAACACCTGCCGTTTTTCTTTCTTTCTAACAGGCTTATCTGAAAAGAATGAAGTGGACGCGCATTAAGCTACGCTAGGCCATTTTATGATTATTACTCCCGATTCGGAATCAGTCCAGGGTTTAAGGTATCCATTTTGACAAATCTATATCAATTCGGAGACATTAATTTTGACAAATGGTTTCGACAGGTTCAAAAAAATCAAACAATTCTTACGTGTACCGAGAGTCTGGAAATTGGTTTAATCCTCTAATATACTACGACACATTTACCTGGTCAAATTTGCGAGTCAAATGAGAAAGCCGGCCATCAGATTTTGACAGTCATACCAATTTATTTGTTTCCATGCTTGAAATGCAGAATAACACATCTTGGTTGTCTACTGAACTACACTAAAGTGACTATGGTCGATAATGACAGCAAAAGAAGACTGCCGATTTCGAGTTAGTTTTGAAGATCCTTTTGCCGACTCTGGTCCATGACAGAAGCTACCATCAGAGTTATCACTCTAATCAAATAATCAAACGAGAAAAATGGTCAAAACAATGAGCTTGAAATGTTACTTCCTATCTTACAGATTTCACATTTCGTTGAAGATCCTTCGACAACTCTCCTCGATGACAAAATTATCATTCTTACTAGTTTTTAAGGAATCAGAAGCAACTTAAAACAACAACAACAATAATAATAATAATAATAATAATAATAATAATAATAATAATAACCTGCCTAACATGGCAATATTATTTTCACTGAAAAGGATTTGAGTGTCAAATTTGATCCATCGCTTAATTTCCCTTTTCTCTTCTTTTCTTTATAATCTTTTTATTTTTCATTTTCTTCGTCATCATTGTTGTTGTTGTCGTTGTTGTTATTTTTGCTTGATTATTTATATTTATTCGAATGGCCGCAACATTTGCTGTCGTGTTCGCGTTATGACACTCAGCTGAAAATGATCATTTCAAGATAAATATATTTACGAGGGATTGCAGGATTGTTGTTAAATAATGAGACTATACAGACGATATGGATCCTCGTATATTCGCATCACTCAAAAAGCTTAGCTAAAACGTGAACCAGCTCATGTAATCTTTCTTTGCAAAGCCCACCAACGACTTTCGATATTTTGATTCATTAGTGTTAATAAACTCGCCTGTGCCTTGCCCCTTTTGCCTTGTTGTTGCCTATTGCAAATGAGAGACAAATTAACATCAACTTAGTCGTAAACTAGTCTTAGGATGTTTAAGTGTCAGGAAGTGGCCATGAGGGATTCTCTTTCCTAGGCCATATTTGTTCTTGATAATTAATGTTGCATCACACAGCTTATCTTCATCACTCTACTAAAAGAAAAAAAATTGAAAAATTCTACACTGTGAATATGTGACAAACAAAATTTTATTTCGATTATTAAATCGAAATAAATCTGGCATTCCCGTTAAAAGTTGCCAGAGATTTACTTGATCGGTGCCACAACTTATTTACAACTTGCTTTAACGTTCAAGAGGCTTTAATTCTAAAGTGCGCGAGAGGTTGTTGAGGAGTGGGCCTGAAACAGGCCGCCGTGGTTTTGCGGTAAAATGACGATCATAAAAAATATCTACGTAGGCTGTTTATTTCCTTTTAGCTTTACTGTTGATTTTCATATTCTGCATGTATTTTTGATTTTACAGGAAGGTGGTCCAAGAAATAAAAGTTTTTTTTTACCCTTGACGATACTCTTGATAGAGCAGTTTAAAATCTGCAAATAACAACAACAACAATAATAATAATAATAGTAATAATGATAATAATAATGATTGTAATGACGAGTGGACTAACTTGATATGCCTTTAGGTACCAACAGCTACAGATTGATTTATAAAAGCTCAATTTTCAATTTTCAAATTTTTTCTTCATGTTCAGTCTGTACCACAGTAGTGTGTATCACAAGCAGGTGGCGCCATAAGTTTGTAGATAAAGTAATGTCCACAGTTCTTTACATAGATATTGTTTGAGTATCTGCAACCGGAGAGACGATCACTAAAGCAGACCTTCCTGGGTACTCCACCATCTTCCACTGTAGGATGAGCACCATCCAACCAGCCTGACCAGTCTGTACCATATCTGAATGCTGGCACACGTATTGTTGGCATTTTTGTTCCTGCAGCTCTCACAAAACGATACCATTCCTCAGGGAGTTGATCATCACACAACACTGGTCCAGATAGGGGCGTAGGGTAGCTACTTATTCTATTGGCATCGCTCAGTTTTTTATACATAACACACGGATCGGCTACAAAGTTAAATGAACCTTAGAAAATTGGTTGTAAAATAAATAGTAAAATCGTTTTCTTAGCTCGATTCGTTCAACAGGAAGCAGATGGTACTTGTTTCGTTTTTTTTTTTAACAAAATTACATCTATGCATAAAGTAAAATGTGAGGAAATATTAGCGTTGGACAATAATGATGTAGAAAGGACCTAAGAATTAAGTAATAGCAATAATGAGAAGTTATTCATTCTATTGCTTTAAAAGCTCATCAAGCGTTAGCTGTCTGAACCTCAACTGCATATTACCATCCGGGCTTTTAGGGATTTTTTTTATCCCCACCTTCCACAGAGTGATATCACGGGATTAGGACGTCACGCAATTACTTCCCAGGAGTGCGTGATATTTTTAAAACTCTCTTTCCATAACCAACATCCAAGAATTCAAATAAAAATGCGAATTGGCTTCTATATACCTAGAACTGGTACTAAAAATCATAGTGATAAAAATGTAAAATAAGTCGAATAGAAAATTATAAGACCTACCCCCGCTAGCCATATCGCAGTTAATCAATATTGCCTTCCCAGTGCCCGTTGGATCCAGCCAGTACTTGCCGCTGATGGTATTTTCGCGTTCACTTGCTTTTATTTCGAGACAGGATATCGCCGGTAATTCAGGAATAGAACCCAAGGGAGCTGCGGTGAAAATATGAGTTTTCTTTTCTTCCTATTATTATTTCTAAATTATAGGTGAGAGGGAACAAGGTTGGCTAAGTATGGAGAAAACCTAAAGGAACAAAAATCAGCGAGATACATAGACTTCTGATTTCTTACCTCTGCCGTTCAATCGCCTGATGTAAAACCACCCGGCGCGGAAAGGAAATTCTCTGGCCTCGCCTCCTTTGTGCGGTTATTCAGTTCACATATTTGATAAATTCTATTGTAGTTATAGCTTTGGTACGCGATCTCTCGTCCACATTTGGCATCGCAGAGGTGAGGAGCCGCCACTGACTATCTTTTGAAGACAAAGCACTTGAGAGCCATTCCTTGTATGTTTACTTCTCTCCTGCATTGTTCATTAGCTGTGATAGACTTTATGGCAGAGACGTAGAGGAGGAATCTTACTTGGCGGAATATCCAATACATGCTTCTATTCTTCTACAGAGGCTGCAAATATAAAAAACGGAACGCCACAAGCAGATGTTATATTCTCAGAAAAGAAAACAGAGTTTTAATTTCTCCCAAAAAATCTGGCTGCGTACCAGATGAAGTCATAATAATCACACTATATGGACTTTAATACGTTGCCTTAAATTAACCATCATTAATCGTGTTAGTACAGAGTTTACGTAATGCTTTAAAGGAGAATATTAGGTGCACCTTTATTTTGCGTTAAATCACGTTAGTTTTAAAAGCAGTTTTCACCTTTTGTGCAATTATGATTTTAATATGCTCATCTAGTGTTACTGACAAACCTATGTAGTTATAGGAAGCAGAAATACTTTGAGGAGATGCAGGCAAATGTAAATTCTTTAGGAATAGAAACTGTCCTTGCAGTGTAACAACTACTTCGTCTCTTACCTCTCAAGATGCAAAGTTCTTAATCACCTAACTGCTACCGAGGTAATGATGTTCTGATTTATCCTTTTATCACAGTATTGTTGCTAGGGGTAAGGTATTAACGATTGCCTTCAAGCCAAAATGATAGTTAACTCTAAGAAGAACTTCCTTGTTCCTGGTTGGGCTCCTTGTTGTGGGGGGTAAACTAAGAAACATTTCAACAAAATACGTACCAGACGTTAAGTAACATAATCGTTCCCTTTGCAAAATCGCTGGAAAATGGCAACGATAATAAAGTATTTCTGTAGATAGACATGTATTTATAAAAATTAAATAAACACCACTCATTTGTTATCACGATTTCAAATCATTCAAATGATTTGACTAAACGGTCTAAATTAGCATTTAGCCATTTGTTAATAAGATGTTCCTTAACTATTTCCACAATCCGGTGTTATACCAAGTAAACTCAACCGTGTACCGAAAATGTATTATCAACGATAAGACTAAGATTATTTTTGGCTGCGAAAAAATTTTTTTAGCCTTGAGGAACGTTGTATTATTTTAGTAAGAAAACTCCCTCAGTCCTCGAGGAACACTAAGAGAAATTATTGATGATTTTACTGGCATTACGCCAGTTGGTGTTTTCGCTTATTCTTAACAAGATAAATAATGAATAGAAATCCTCGCCCACCTCGTTTTAAGTAAACAGACATGACCAGCATCAGAAGGTATTAATAAATTTCATTGGAACACAAAATGTGATAATAAAAGAGGCCCGTTTCTACTGAATATTTTTCTGGGTCACTTTTTCACCCGTGAGAGAAGCCTTTACTGCTTATGCACAAATAAGTTTTGCTTAACAGTCGTTTACTCTTGTTTAGTTTGTTTGATTGTTTTTGAGTTAAAGGGAGAAATATACATCTTAGTAATGCCATAATATTAAGTATCTCATAAAGAAATAATCATGCAGAGGTTTACATAGAGTAAACAGAGCAGTAAGAAAAGTAGATATTAAAACTGGTTATTTGGGCTGTTTGAAAGCAGCATTACCGTCAAAAATTCCCTGAATCCTGATTCCAGAGTTAAGAGAACCCCATGTAGCTTTAGGAAGCAGCAATACGTTGAGGAGATGCAGGCAAACTGTGGATTCTTAATTTAAGGAATAGAAATTGGCTTCAAGCCATAATAATAGTTAACACGTAAAGAGAACTTCCTTGTTCTTGTTTGGGCTCCTTGTTGTGGGAGGTGAGCAGAGAGGATAATATTAAGAAAAATATTCAACAAAATACGTACCAGGTGTTATGCAACATTATTCTTCCCTTCGCAAAACCGCTGGAAAATGACGTAAATTTCGACTAAACAGTCTAAATTAGCCATTTTTTAATAATATATTCCTTAAGTCTCTCCACGATCCAGTGTTAAACCAAGGATATTTGATCAACGATCGGATTAAGATCATATTTGGCCACGGACAATTATATTTTAGCCTTGAGGAACGTTGTATAGTTTTTGACTCGAAACTTCCTCAGTCATCGAAGAAGACATTAGCTAGTATTAATGTTTTTCATGGTATCCATTTTTCAAAGTAAACAGAGGTAAATTGATAAATTTTATGGCTTTACGTCAGTAGGTGTTTTCAGTATGATTTTTGCGCATTATTGACCAAATAAACAATGTTTATAAATCCTTGCCCACTTCGTTTTAAGTTGACAGACATGACAGGCACTAAAAGGTATTGATGACTTTTATTTGAACGCAAAACGTTGGTAATAATAGAAGCCCGTTTTTAATTTTTTCTGGGTCACTCTTTCATCAGCGCAAGAAGCTTAGAATTTTCAAATTGCTCGTAACATAGTTATACCTTCACAAAGTCTGACTTACGACTGAAATTTGGCACAACAATTGTGAAAAAGTATTATTTGAATTGAATAAATATACAGAGGAAGAATTCCCAGTGTGATTCAAATCTCTGGGCGTTACTTTTGAGATTTTCCGCAATGTTTGTTGTTTTTTTTCAGAGTAATATCGGCAAGTACACACACAATTCGTTTTCTGCGAGAACGTTATCCACTCCCTTTTGCCAAACAGATAACATTGAGAGGATAAATAATAAAATTAGGTAATGGGCAGATTTACAGCTTATGCTGAGAGATTGATTTATTACCAGACCTTTTTAGGCCACTGCTCCGATTGTTTAATTTATCGAGGAGAAATGCTAAATTTGCGAAGTTACCTGCCGAATGTAACCTCCACTGACAGTCTTCTGTTGTAATATTCAATGTTAAAAATCGTGTCCTCACTATTCCTAGCTCCCCAAGATAACAGTGATCTGTCCCATCTTTTCTTTATTGTAGACCTCCCCCTCCCCACTCCCCATCCCAATCCTCCCCCCTTGTTTCTTAGCCTGTTATTACAAACCCCTTAGCACTAACAAAGGTAGAGATCAAAGCAGATGCCCTTCTGTGTATTTAATTGACAACGAACTATGACATTACTTGTGAATTCTTTCTTGCTAATGAATCAGAAAAGGTTTACAGCATTTTTTTAAATTATGACATCGGAAATGAAGATTAAATTTACTTGTAGTTCAGTTTTCAGTTGAGTGTCGAAAATGCCGTTCCATCCTGTAGTTTCCTTTACGTGTTCTTCGCTTTAAAATCTTTTTATTCGTTATTTTTGTCATTGTTATTTTTACTTTGTTATGTTTAGTCGACTGGCTGTAACATTTACTTTCGTGTTCCCGTTAAGACACTCAACTGAGACTGCTCCATTTACATGCAAGGCTAAATAAATGTGTTTATTAGGAATTTACACCATTTTTGTGAAATGATGAGACGATGCCCGTCTATTTACACCACTCAAGAAGCTGAGCCACAAAGTGATCCAGCTCATATCACTCTCGTTTGTAAATACCAGCAACGATTTTTCGATATTTTGATGTTGTTAAAAAACTCACCAGTTTTTTTACCTATTTGCTGTGTTTTCAGGTCTCTCCTTAAAAGCGCGAGACAAATGAACATCAAATGGATCGAAGACTAGCCAGTCATAGAATAGTGAAATATCAGGCAGTGGCAGTGGTTTTTCAGGCGTGGTTTTTTTTCCTTGTCCTCATTCGCTCTTGATAATGGATTTGTTGTATATCTTTATATATACAGCTCATTCCTACTACTTTATCAGGACAAAAAAGTTGAGACTTTCACCGCGTGAAACTGAGATAAACAAACTCCAATTTTAATATCAAATATAAATCATCTGGACGGAAACTGCATCACGCCATTTTCATGGTGATCATCAATTCCGGTTTGGAATCCGCCTAGAATTTAAAGGATCCATTTTGATACACGGTTTCGACAGGTTTAAGCCGTTAAATTATTTTACTGTGAGTCTGGAGGTTAGTTAAAACTCTTCTAAATACTAAGGCACAATTACAACGTCAAACTTAGGAATCATTTGCCAGGGCTATCAGATTTTGACCGTCATACTCATTTATTCGCTTTACTTTGAGCTTTTCCCCACTAACGGACAAAACTAGAATTGTCCCGACAAAATCAAGGGAAAAATTTTGTTTTGACAATTTTTTTTTCCGTCAGCCGTAAAAGCCGTAAAATTCCGTCAGCGCCTGATCTGTTCACGAGACCGGCAAGCATAGTTGCCAAGGGATTCCACCTCCAATTTCAGGGATTTATCCTCAGTCATATTAAAAGTTTAGAATTACTGAGTTTTGCAGCAAAAGACAATTTTCCCTTTCTAGAAAACTGATTTCAGTTCAATTACACGGTTCTTGTAGCTTATACGACGAATGATTGACACGTTTATCACGTTTTTGTTTATTTAGTCGATTTTGTCCAATTTTTACCCGTGAAAAATTTTGTCTGTGGTGCTTTTGAAGATTTGTCCGCTTCGGCCAAAATTTGTCGAGTCGCGACAAACCACACGTACTTGTAAGATTTGTCGCTAACGGGGAAAGGCCCCAATTTAACTAAGTTACATGTTACATACCTTATGCAAAGTCATAAAGATCTATTTATGTACCTTCTTATTACGCGAACTATATTTGCTTGACATTCAGTCTGTAGCACAGTAACGCATATAACAATCTGGTGGCCTAAAAAGTTTGTAGATAAAGTAAGATCCACAGTTTATCACAGAAATATTCTTTATGGCTTTACAACCAGAATAACGATCACTAAAGCAGACCGTCCTGGAGACATTACCATCTTCCACTGTAGGATGAGCACCATCCAACCAGCCTGACCAGGATGTACCGCATCTAAATGCGGGCACATGTGCTGTTGGCATTTTTGTTCCCGCAGCTTCCACAAAACGATACCTTTCCTCAGGGAGTTGGTCGTCACAAACCTCTTGGTACTGGGGTGTTATGTAACTACTCTTTCTAGTGGCATCACTCAAGCTTTGATAATGATAACATGGGTCGGCTGGAAAAGTTCAATATAAATTTTGAAAAATGTTGAACAATCAAAGGTAAATATTTTTTCCTTGACATCTCTTAGAGAATCAGCTCAACAAACAGCAGACGGCATTTGCATTTTGCGAAAAAAAAAAAAAAAATTTATGCAATAAGTGGAATGGGAATAAGAAGTAGTCGTGCAGAACAATCATGATGAACAAAGGAATTAACATAAAATGATAGCATCATAAAGAATTATGTTTCTTCTTGCCTCAATAGCCTATCTACGTGTGAGACTTTTTGGACCGGCTGAACTTGATGTTACCATGCGCGTTTGAGAAATTTTATAACCCCAGCTCCCGGACACCCATACCACCCTAAAAAGCATTTGTTTTCAATAACTGTTCCCTTGCGTGTGTAATGCCTCTGTCTGCTACGATCAACAAATGAAGTTTCTGTAATGACAGCACGTCAAATAACTAAATAATTGCTATTGTTATAACTTCTCTCAAATAAGGGATTTTCTAAAGCTTTAAGGATTGTAGGGAGAGAATCATGTTTGCGTTATGGGACACTTCTTGTAAGAGTTTTTTTAAAACCATTTGAAACATAATTAAGAGATCATTCATTTTTGCGTTTACGCTACTATGAAGGAGAATTTCGCCCGCTTTTCATGTTTCGAAAGAAAGACAGCTGTAAGCAATTTATTTTTAAATTAAAGCTGAGCTACAAAATAAAACTTAAATTGGCTCAAAGAAACCGAACGTACCTTTACATTTGAAACCATTTCCAGTGTAAGTAGGATTGCAATGACAGTTGTATGAGCCCCTAGTATTAATACAAGAGGCATTCGGATGACATTTGTTTAATTTAACGGCATGAGCTTCACTGCATTCGTCAATGTCTAAGAGAGAGATTATTATTTGAAATGTCAAATAAAAAAATGTGTCATTATCGCGATGATATTAAGGGTTATTGTTTGTTGCCGATATAGGACATGCCAAGAAAAGACGACGGTCTCGTTTACGTTTAAAGGAACCAGAGGAAAACATCACTTACCTGCACAACTGAGTCCATTTCCAGTATATCCAGGGTGACAAGTACAAACATACGATCCTTCGGTGTTTGTGCAGATCGCATTCACGTCGCAAGGTTGGTTTCTTATACATTCGTTCATATCTGGAAAATCATAAATAATGTTTATATTTTATCTTTTTGCCTCCATGCATACAAACGGCGCATGACATGCAAAAATGTTAAGAATTGTATTGTCTGACGCTTGCAGGGATAATAGAATGTGGCTAACAAACGCAGAATTTACATCCAAAAATTGGCTGTTTGAAAGGCTAATCTTTTGTACCTTAACATGATGTCTGTTTCTCGTTTATCCCTCCTTAACGGTACAATTATGAGAATTAGTGAGAATAAATAACTGTTGTAGGTGTTTTTCGTAACAATCATTACAGAGGAGAGTTGCCACACAATTCACGATTAAATAAGCGATGTGGTGATTCAGGTACAAAGACCATAGCTGACTATTCCTGCGTTGTCGCTAAAACTATTCCTGTATACCTTGGCACGATTTTCCATTCCCAATGTAACCTTCCTTACAGATGCAGTTGTGAGAGCCATTCGTGTTTTCACAGTTTGCATTCACATCACACGAATGGCTTCCATTGTTACATTCATCGATATCTTGAAAGAGTAAGCAGTGTAATGAAGAGTTACAACGTTAAAGCTGATGACCATGATGATGGTGATGATTGATGATAATCATAGTAATGTTAAATGTGGCGATGAAGATGATAACGGTGATGTTGTGAGATGATAATGTGATAGAAATCATTTCAAAGAAAAAAATGCTTAGTTTACGTCACATACATGTCATAAACCTGCAGATTATCGTTGCACTAAGAAATACTGGCACAGCATATTTTTAGAAGAGTCTGTTTGGCAGATTTACTTCCTCCGATGTAAATGCTTGACGTAAAATGAATATTCTAAATGAATAGCTGCATTCGTCAATACATCAGTAATATCATTACTACTTCATTTCTGTAATCATTATTTTGAGCCGATTAACAGAAAAAATAGCTAAAACAGCTACTGGAAGCAAAATATATCGGGTCATCTTTGAAGATGAAGGTATAAGTACCTGAACAAGAGTGTCCATCACCAGTGTATCCAGCTTTACATTTGCATTTGTAAGAACCGTCCGTGTTAGTGCAGTTTGCATTCGCATCGCAGTCACTGATGTCAGATTTACATTCATCCATATCTAGAAATTGCAAAAGAAGAGAAAATATAAGAAAGTAATCCAGACAAGAACTGATTCTGACTAAACAAACGATAATGCTAATAATATAAAAAAACTAATATTGTTACGTTGACGTCATAATCTTTATCGTAGTACAGTATGGGAAACTTGATAAGTAAACGATTACTTGTGGAAGTGAACGCACGTGTTTGGATATTCTCCTGAGAACTAGAGCCGCAAATGTCGGTATGTAAAATCATTTTATATCGTTTCGCTTTTCAATATCTTGTTACGTTTCTAAGCAAATCGAATCAGTTAGCGTTTTGTGATTTATTTTCAGTTGACCTTTAGCTTTATATCAAACACAAGTAAATAAAGTAAATAAGTGCGACAACTGGCAAGCGTTTGTTGAGTATATCCAAAGCATTCGCAAACATAACTTCGTAACTTAACTCGAAGAGAAATGATAAGACCTACCCCCGGTAATCATATCACAGTCAATCAAAACTGCCTTCCCAGTGCCAGTCGGATCCAGCTAAAAGTTGCCGCTTATACTTTCGTTTCCTTCACTCGCCTTTATTTCGTGACGGGACAGCGCCGGTAATTCAGGTATAGAACCCAAGGGAGCTGCAGTAAAATACGTTCTCAGTTTTTCTTTTCTCATGATCATTTCTTGTAAATGGGAAGGAACGCGGTTAGCTCAGGATGGAGAAAATCTAAAGAAACAAAAAATTACTTTGGTACATAGACTTGCGATTTCTTACCTCTGCCGTTCAATCGTCGAATGTAAAACCACGTGCGCGCTGAAAGGAAATTCTCTGGTCTCGCCTCCTTGGTGCGGTTATTTAGTTCACATATTTGGTATTTTTTATTGTAGTTATAGCTTTGACACGTGATCTCTTGTCCGCATTTGACATCGCAGAGGTGAGGAGCTGCCACTGACCATCGTTTGAAGACAGAGCGCTTGAGAGCCATTTCTCGTAAGTTTACTTCTGTCTTGCATTGTATCTTTTCCTCTGTCCTGCATTGTTAACTAGCTGTGACAAACGCTATGGCAGAAGCGAAGAGGAAAAATCTTAAATTGCGTAACGTCCAATACATACTTCTTTGTTTGTACTGAATCTGCAAATGTAAAGGATAGAACCCTAAAGGTATATGTTATGTTCCTGCGTAATGACAGTCTATTTTGAAGAGGAAAAAAGTAATTTCTCTCAACCAAATTGGCTAAATACCAGATGAAAAGATAATAATCATATCACATGCACATTAATATGTCATCCGAAAGTTAGCGAAAACACTCTATATTGATATTGTGAGTACACAATTTACATGATGCTGGATAGGATTTCAATTAAAATGGCAAGGAAGAATTTTTAAGCACACTTTTAGCTGCGGTAGATTATCTGAGTTTTGAAGATAAACGCATTTTTAAATTTTGTGGAATTATGATTTTAATATGCTGATCTGGTGTTAATGACGTAGAGGAAAAAATAGATAGGCAGCAGAGAAGATGTCTTTATCAAACTGGCTAACTACGAATTTAGATACTTAAAGGGTAGGATAAATTCAAACAGTAAGGCCCGACCTCCAACAAATTATCCTCTTCTACTTGTTGGAAAATGAATTTATATTTAAAGGAAATCGTCTTCCGACTGCAAAAAATTCAAAGTTTTTGGCCAACTTGAAACATTAGCCAAGGCGGCTGTATGTATTGACAGTTTATGAGGTAAACAGAGAAATGTGCGTCGTACCAGAAACAAATATGTAGAGATTTAGATAGTATACCCGAAGTAGAAAACTATTTATTAAAACTGATGATATGGTTTATTTCAAAGCAGCGTTAGTCAGTTTGCAGACAACAATTTACCAAACTCTAACTCAAGAGTTGAGCAAAACTTATCCTATGTAATTCTAAACTACAGAAATATAGGAGATGCGGGTAAAGATTCTTATTGAAGAGAAATTGTCCTGAAAGTGTTGTTTCTTACCTTCTCAGGTTGCTTGTAAGCGCCTAACTGCTACGGAATTAAAAATGCTCTCTTTCATCAAAGTGTGGTAGCTATGGTTACGATACTTAAAGTTGGCTCTAAGCCACTGAAATAAAAGTAAATACTAAAAACATTTTATTTTTCCCCACTTTGGGTTCCTCGCTCAGGGAGTTGAAAGGAGGGGATAAAGGCCAGAAAAAAATTCAACAAAATGAGTATACGACTTTCGTGCAATATCGCTGGACAATGGCAGCGATAACAAGCTTTTTTTTTGTCTTTTAAAAAAAAATAAAAAAAAAAAAACGTCGCGATTCGTTTTCCTTTAAAGTTCCAAATCATTAAAATCGCGTGCATTACAACTTATCGGTCTAAATTAGCTTTTACACGTATTTTAATTAGATATTTCTCAAATTTTCTCATAATTCAGTGTTTACCTAAGGAAACTAAATAAACCGTTTGCTAAATAAAGATTATTAATGATAAAAGCTATAAAGAAAGAACGTCTTTGGCTACGGAAAAAATCAGTTTAGCCTGAGAAACGCTATTTCAGAATCTTTCATTTAATTTTCTACACCTGATTTCATTTTTTTTTTCTGATAACTTCCTCTGTTCTCGTGAGAATCTTCGAACAAACAGTAATTTTTTCCAATGTAAACAAGACTTAATCATGTGCGAACAACATAAAGACTTAGATGTACGGAACTTAGCAACAAAAAATAAGAGTTCAAATTCAAATTTTTATAGCTACAAGCTGTACGTACATAAAAGTGTAAGCTTGACACTAATTAGTCACCGACAATACATTTTTTGGTTGGTAATAACGCTACAAACATGTGAGATTATTTTGCCATACAAAACTAATTGAAAGGTGTTGAAATATTTTTAACCATTGCATTATTGAATTTGTACCTTCTTGTTTTAAACACCGTTAGATTAACACGCAATAGTGTTTTGCGAATAATGTCGTTTCTAACCTATTTTCGCGGTTCTCACGAAGGCTTCATCGTCAAAGTTAATTTTCTCATACTTACAGGGAAAAACATGTGCTTTTACGAAAATATTATCCGAGCTACAAGTGTAAGATACGAATTGAAATCGGCCGTTTAGCAACATAAGGTTTGTAGAATAAACAATAAATAGAAATCCCCTGCCACCTTCGTTGTAAGATGACAGACACGAATAAATAGAAGCTTGCTGTAACTTTTTTCTTTTTGTAAGGATTACTCTTTCTTCCGAAAATTTCCAAATTATTCTTAACGCAGTTCAAGTTCTCATTATGTGTGACTTGCAACTGAAAAATAACAAAGAGATTTTGTACAAAATACTTTTTGTAACGAATAAATCGAGAAAAAATTTCCAGTATGATCCAAAATTCTTATTCTAATAGAGTCTTACTTTCATTTATTCTGGATTGCTTGTTTCTTCCGAAGGGGTTGCTCGAAGTTTTCAGTATTGCTTAGGTTCTCATGAAGTGTTATTTGCTGCTGAACAGCAGTAGAGCAATTTTGAACAAAGTGTCACTTGGAGTGAATAATTCGAGGAAGAATTGTATGGACCTAACTTGTCTAACTTGCAGTCCTGAAGTCTCTTTTGTTAGAATTGTGTGGGTGGTTTATGAAATTTGAGACTTAAAAGAGTCTTAGTGCCAATGCATGGATGAGTTAGAATTGTGTGGGTGGTTTATGAAATTTGAGACTTAAAAGAGCCTTAGTGCCAATGCATGGATGAGGTTTTCTTGACAATCCTTCTAATCTTAATTTCACATAGCTCTCAGCCTTAGACGCGGAAGGGTTCTCCGTCTAAGGGCGAGAGTAATATGAAATCAAGAAAATCTTCAATAAAAAAAGACTCTTAAAGTAATTCGACTAGCTGCAGAGGTAAGACGTTGGAATGGCGGAATTTTTTTTTTTTAATTTTGTAGAGATGTAGGCGTATTAATTGACGTGGTTGATATTTACCATATAAACCATATATTTACCAAGAATACAATCGAGGAACCTACAGAGATATGCAATTTTAAGGATTTGGTTTTTCTTTCTAGGTGTTCCGGAGGGTCTGAGATGAAACCAATTTCATCTTAGCCTCATAACCCTTTAAATCGCATGAGTGACCAAGACAGAACATCTCTTTACAATATCGATGCTGTATCACGCAAGTGAGTGATGAGAACAGAGAAAACATCAATTATGTATACGGGATTGTCCAACACCAAATTCTCGGAACTAACATGTTAAGAACTATATAGAAGTAAGTAAGTTTAATCAGTAATGAGTTCTTGGTAGTAAAAGGGTTAATACCACAATGATCTTTCCCTTTCCTTTCATCGTTCAAACCCGCCCCCCTTTTTGGTTGCATTTTAGTGATAATTCCTAAGCAGAAACAGACACAGACGACACAGACACCAATATATGTTTTTTACATGTTATTTCATTCAGTAATTTATAAAATGACGGGTAATCTCCAGCATTGCAGTTACGAGTACTATCTTACATAGTAATAATTAAAAATTACGATATCAAGTAAATAGCAACAATGTCAACATCATCATACCTAATTTAACTTGTAGTACCGTTTTTAGCGGAGTCTCGAAAGTTTTTTTTTTTCCTTTTTTCTGATTCTTAGTTTTCAATTTTATGAAGATTGTTTGCCATTCACTGCTAAAAGTTCAACCAGGTTCGATTGATAGATCCGTTTTCTCTGCGCTTGGCTCTGGGTTTATTCATTTTTCCTAAACGTTCCCTGCTATCTTTATATTAAGTTAACATGCCCTTTCATCTACTTTAGTCCTAACATCATTCATTTGGAAACGGTCCACGTGCAATAAAATATTTTCACTGTGAACTGTATAGTTATCATTCCATGAGTTGATATGAGATGGTACATAGCCAATGTGGTGCTTAGCGCCGAGGTAGCTATAATCGTTGTGGTATCCAACGAGCGCAGTGGAACAATTATTTTATGAAATTTCATTTAATCATGGACGTTTATTAACTTGTCGCAATACATTTCCATATAAGGCGACTCGAAATATGAGCTAATAACATGAGTTGAGTGAACCAATCAGAACACTAGAAATCCAATATCCGAAGTTAAAATTTAATAGCATAATATTTATGTATGTATGTATATATATATATATATATATATATATATGTATATAATATGATCAAATGCACGATGTCTCTTTTATTTACATGACTCACCCAAGCTGAAATACGCAAGAATCGCCGCGAGCTATATCATTTTTTCTTTGAATAGCCCCCCTATCCCCTCACCCAAGATGAAACATACAATGACCGAGCTATATCACTCCTCCTTTGAATAGACCCCATATAATATTTTCTTTCTGTATTATCATCTTAAGTTATCTAACATCGCCGTTGATTGTCCAATATTGGGTGGGTGTTACGCGGGTAATCTCTCAGAGGATGGATAGCTCGAAGACCAAACTGAACTCGGGGTTGTCGGAACAGCAACAAGAAGATTTATTCTAGAGAATGAACGTAGTTTTCACCAAGTAAAACTCTTACTTACTCGGCCTCCGCCAACTTCAATAAATACTGCTTGGTCACACTTGAATGCTAAAGTCAAACTCTCTTCACTTGTGAAAACTGGTTAAAACTTCGCTTGGACTCGCCTGCTTATATACTTACACAATAAAATTCTAGAACTTTCTAAATAGTCTAACTATAGAGGGATTACAAATACACTAAATACACTAAAATAAACAAATGTGACCTCTCGCGAAGCTTCTAGAAGGTCATGCTGTCACGCACTACAATTTTTCGTAACAGTGGGTTCAAGTTTTCTCTCGGAATGGAGATGCTTATGGATACCAAATAAATCGCTAATTACCCTGAGAAGTTGAAAATATCAACCAATGGCCTTCGAGGGTTTCTTTCGTGAACCCTATTGGGCTTTGGCAACGGAACAATAACAGTTTTTTTTCATTTCTACAACTCGTCTGTTAAGCTCAACTATATCCTGCTTTAGTCTTTGTTTTATGAAACAAATTGTCAGTAAAGGTTTTCAGCATTAAAATGCAGAGATCTCGTTTTATGCTCAACTGCTTTTCCATTCCTTAAAAAACATCTTTCACCAATCTTTCGTATCGACAAATATATCGACAGACATCCAATCGGGAGTATTGCTCTAAGACTATAAACATGTTTTTTCTAAGAAGGATTAATACCACATTCATACTTAATTTTCTAGGTAGGTGGTCCTCGGTGAGACTAGAAATGAGAAATTTTATTTACAGTCAACAAATGAAACAATATAGCAGTTTGTTAATCATTAGTGCAACGTTTCAATGATTTTGATAACGAATAAACTATTTTAATTCTTTTGAAATACATGTGTACACAGATCGATTTATGAATCAACTGTTTTGTCATGGCGTTATTCCATTCAGTCTGTACCACAATAACGTAATTTACAATCGGGTGGAAGCTGCTGAAGCTTGTAGATGAAGTATGATCCACAGTTTTTAACAGAAATTTCATTTGAGTATTTGCAACCGTCATATATTTTACTAAAGCAAACCGTCCTGTACACGTCACCATCTTCCACGGTAGGATGAATACCATTCAACCAACCTGAGAATTGCGTACCACATCTGTTTCGTGGAACACGCGTTGTTGGCATTTTAGTTCCTGCAGCTCCCACAAAACGATACCATCCCTCAAGGAGCTCATTGTCACACAACGCTTGACCAAGGGTTTTTACGTTGATTCTATTTCTGCTAGCATCACTCAAGTTATTGTAATGATAACATGGTTGCTGTAGAGATAAATGATAATTGCAAACGGGTTATCATCCCTCAGGGAGTTCGTCATCATGCAACACTGGATAATTGGGTGCTTGATAACTACTTTTTCTATCGGTATCACTCATTTTTCTTTTTTTCTTTTAGTTTCATTTTAGTAAGGATCCGCTAAAAAGCTAAAAAATAAATGAAAGCTGTTAGAGGAATGAAACTATTATGGCCAATGGTTATTTCATAAGTCTCACACTTAACTAATCCAAACACCGAACAGCAGCACCTACAAGAACAGCTATGCATGACGTAAGCGATAAATTGTACTTGTGTAGGACATTTTCGATCGATCGACGACCCTAAAAAAGTGGTTAGGAAATCAACGCAGAAACATTTTTTTTGGGCTGCAGTTCCTGAGTTATGCAATCGCTCTATGCAATCAATCATTATTAGGAAGATAATTTATTAAATTTTAAACGACTGTTAATACATGAAAGTCATATATTTCAACTGCGGATAAAGACGTGAATATGAAAGCGATCTTCGCAGTAATGAACACTAGTTGAGCAGTAGTGAAAATAAAGCCTGAAAAAAAATCGTCTTTATCCGCATTTCAAATATATGACTTTCATGTATTCACAGTCGTTTATTCACCACTTTACGGGTTTATTTGGAACCAACATGATAAGCAGCTCCCAGTTGGCTTGTTAGCTCATTTGGTAGAGAACTGCACCGGTATCGCAGAGGTCATGGGTTCAAATTTTCACTGCTACTCAAGTAGTGTTCATTACACTTTCGCCAACAAGTTTTGCATATCACATTCACGCGTTGATATGTTTCGTCTAAAAATTTGATTTGGTTGTTTACCACAATCAAGGAATCACCGCGCTAAGTTCAGGGTTCAAAGCCAAACTCTCTTTTTCCTTTGTTCCACTTATTACTATAACGCTCACCTAAGAGCAGACAAAAAAGCAGTTCGCACTATCACCCGCAAGATTTGTTCTCGATTCTATCAAAATCAACTGCATGGTTCTGTTGTACAAGTATTTACCTCAATCCGCCTTCTGCCACTCATATGTTATTTATACTTTTGTGTCATAATCATCATTGTCTCTATGCCTATTCTCGTATTTATTTTAATATGGGCACGCTGGTAAAACGTGTAAGGCAAAGATCATACTACTTTTCTTTCTAATGTGAAAATTAAAAAAGAAAAGTGTAACTGTGAATACCCTTAGATTTTGTATAAATCGCAGTTATGTCACAAGCACACGGATTACACTGCTGCACTCGCCAATACACAAGCAACATTAATGTCAGAAAAAAAATATGAGAAAGAAAATATCGAGTTCAACTAGGTGAAAGATTCCATAGATATGGTCACATTCTGTAAATCTCTGTGGGAAGAAGAATCAAGTATTGTACCTCGGTATTATTTTTAAAATTTTTTTTTTACCTGAACATGAGTGTCCATCCCCTGTGAATCCTTCTTTGCAGGTGCAATTGTAAGACCCAACAGTATTTGAACAGTACGCGTTGTCGTCACAGACGTTTTTGCTGCCTTTGCACTCATCGATATCTAGTTGGAAAGAAATCGAAAGAAAATAACAAGGAGAGATTCCTTGAGCCGACAAGAAAGGGATACGGGATAAAAAACTCAGCGTAAATTGATTTTGATATGCTACACTCACTTACCTTCCAATTTCATGTCGCAGTAAAGCAACTCTGCCTTCCCGATGCCAGTCGGATCCAACCAGTACATTTTACTGATTGTGTCTTTACCCTCACTTAACTTTATCTCATGGCAAGATAACGCTGGCAACTCAGCAATGGAGCCTAAGGGGACTGCGATAAAGATTAAATCACATTTTCAGTGGTTATAAAATTCACAGAAAAAATAAAATAAATAAAAAATGAACTCACTGGGAAAAGATAGAATTGGAGAAATATATTGGAGCTGTGAGCTATGATCAATATTGATCAAGAGAATATATTTATTCTCTGAAAATTGATTCAATATGGAAGGTGAATTTTGCTCTAATGACTGAAATATGAATATGAATGGAAACAAGTGTTTGAATATTTTATGAATAAAGCATTTAGACACTTTTGCTCTCGGAGAGTAGCGGCTTTTTACTAGGAATCACTGAGAAAAATCTGCTCGTATAATGAATTACATTTGATGCTTACTTCTGCCAATGAAGCGTCCCATGTAAAAGCGTGAATCGTCTGACTGGAAATTCTCGGGCCTTGCTTCCTTGGTTCGAGCGCTCAATTCACAGGACTTTTCACCAATCACATAGTTGAAGCTTTGACATTTCGTTTCTCCCTTGCAGGTAATATCGCACTCATAAGGAGCTGTTACTGTGACCTTTTTGTAGACGAAGCCCTTGAGAGCCTTACCGAGTACGCTTACTTCTGTCTTGCACAGATCTTTAGCAGTAGCGAGGTCCATAGCATCCAAAGAGATCAGCAGGATTAAGAAGCAAGAAATCCACATCATTTCCTCGGATTCTGTGCTAGAACTTTAAGGTATAGACAAATCAATTAAACGCGCTTATAGTTTTATTTATAGAACATAAATTAAATGCAAATCAAACCAAGCAAACAAACACTGAATAGACAGACTCACAAACAAATAAACTGAATCGACCGCCCAAATCGCAATTAAGAAATCAAAACTTATTGGACCTCCTTCAAAATGCCCGCTCAAACGTTTCTGTGACAAGAGATTGCCTTTTATTGATGCTCCTCGTTTTTCGAACTTGAAAAACGAATGAAGTCGATATTATTGCAAATTTTAATGTTGTTGTATTTCAATATCTTTTTGTTCCAAATGCGGTCTCTTGAATATCCTTGAGAGAATTCTCCAACGATCTTTAATTCCGACTTTACGTCTTAATGAAGAAAACTAAATGAGCGAGGCAAGGATCAAAGTTGCTTTAAGTTGCGACCATTGACAATGGCTGCCGGCGGGATAATTTAGCTCGAACGCCAGAGCTGATTCTCGCTTGCGGCAAAAATAATGAGCTAACCTCTGCTCCAAAATAAGCGCTCTCAAACTTGCAACATGTTGTGGTGATTGTATTTAAGAGACGATGTCAGCATCCATCGAACAAATTTGAAATATTGTGGCAAGTCGCCCAAAATTCGTTTTCCCTCCTACCTTCATATTTTGTTGCCCAATATGTACTAATAATTGTGGTGTAGTTTTTTTGCGAAAATATGTTTTAGTTTTCGAGAAATGACTTCTTTCGTTCGACCGCTCAAATATGCAAATTTCCACCATGAATAGTACCCGAGTTATGTGACCTCATGTAACGAATGTACTAGACCTACGGTATTTCTGTGAACATAATCCTTTGTTTTATCATCTAAATTTAATTCCCTGTTGTTATTGAAGCTGCCAAAGAAATATTTTTTTTTTGGTGAACATTTTTGTCCGACATACTTTTCCTATGTCGAAAAGTAGCATCAAAACAAAGACAGTTTTAACAATGACCGATATGACACAATCTACTGAGCTTCAAGCTTTTAAAAGACTAAAGGATGGTTATAAAGTTGCTGTAAAAATTTCCTTGTGTATTTGCGTTGTTCTATCTTGAGACGAACTCAAAGTCCGGCAAAATTTACTTGATAGCGACTATGAAATGTACAGAAATACTCGCCCCATGTAAGGAATCCAGGAAATTTTTGCTTGTGGAATCCGGAATACTGGGCTCTGGAATCCAGAATCCAGCTTTTGGAATCCAGGATCCCGCTAAAAAGGGAATCCAGAATCCACTTGCTGAAAATCCATTTCAAATCGTATTAGCGGCTTTCACCCGCATTCATGCAACCACTGTAGAGTGCAGTTCACTCACGTTATCAATCGGTGCTCAAAGTGAGCTTTCAAATCCCACAGGATTTGCTTGGAACATCAATATGGCCGCGATTTGATTGTTTTGGAACACCTCTAAATAATGATATGGCCGCTAGGACGTCCTGTGAGATTAACTTACCTTGTAAAAGACACGCTTTAGTTTTGCTTTTAATCGAGGAATTTGTAAATTTCTGCGAAAATAATCTAACTGTTGACAACTTGGATGCTTGCTTTTGCCCGCTTTCCCCGCCGGTTTTTTAAGCAAATTGGGCGCACGGCAAGCTTTGGCACCGGAAACTGTGCTACTTTTATCTGGCACCTAGGGTCGAGGTATCGACCTTAATACTTAATACTTAATACTCTTTTCCTTTTCGACTCTTTCGAACTTTCTGGCACTTCTGACTCGCGACTGACCAAAATCAAAAATAAATATTCATTTTCCATAAATCATAATGAGAGCATCAAAAAGTAATATTCTCCTGATGGCTGTAGAGGCATAGTTGTAATTAGAAGCCAGACGAAAGCCAGGAACTGTCAAAACTGCACCAGTCACTCAGAGCACGTAGAGGGACACAAGCTGCAGTATTACAGAAAATTTGCAGTGTCTTTTTCAATATTGATGTATCATTTGTTTATTCGATTTGCTCTTTCTCTAAATCTCGATACTTCAATCATAATCTATGGGGAAGCACAAGAAAAAGCAAAAGGCGGAGGGGGTAAGGTAAGTGCAACATTGTAATGATTCAATTGATTTTCTGTTCCATTTTAAACTAACTTAACCCCCAGCGAAACTTACAAAACATTACTGAAAATGTATCTTCAGGAGCTCAAGAAACCGAAGAAAGAAGGACAAAAAAGAAAAATACACGAGTTCAAGATCATCGAGGTTTGTGGATTTTTGTGTATTATGAAACACTTTTGAATTTTTTTTCGGGGTTGCAACGAACAAACAGGAACGACGGAGGTTTTAATTACACACTATGGTCAGTAATAATTTTTTCTAGGTTAGAGCGTAAATCGTCAATGTAGTAAAATTCGGAAGTTTAAAAGAAATTGAAAGACTCGAAAAAACGCTTTGCTAAACTTGAGAATACTCGGCCAATTGTTTGCATCTCATGGAACAACAATGTATTATGCCTCGTTAAATGATGAAACGCAACAAACGCACAGCATGACTCGCTCGTTAGCAGTGCTTTAGGCCTTTTGTCGTTTTGAGATCAGTTACGCTAGAGGCTTGAATAAACTCTGCTTGTTGAATATTTTATTATGCTACCTGACACTGATCATGAAAATCGCTTACTTTGCGCAAAATTTGGCCCGAATCGTGATTCACACTTAAACACACACTTTTTCAACTTGAGAATACCTGGCCAGTTGTTTGCATCTCATTGAACAACAGTGTATTATGCCTCGTTAAATGCTGGAACGCAGCGAACGCACAGCATGACTCGCTCGTTAACAGTGATTTAGGCCCTTTGTCGTTTTGAGATCGGTTACACTGTAGGTTTGAATAAACTCTGCTCGTTACATATTTTGTTATGCTACCTGGCACTGGTCATGGAAATCGCTTATTTTGCGCGAAAAAACCTGCCAAATAGAAGATGCTAATGTCGTACTGCAGGGTAGAACTGTGCGGGTGCAAACTGTTTACCACAATAAGGATGTCGTTGCTGTGAGATTTCGCCATTCTGGCTAGCTACTCTCTTTCAAGACGTTCAATTAGAAGTAGATGGAGGCAATTTATCACGAAAGAAAGTGCAATTTCATTGGCTGAACGGTGATGTCTGTGATCGGAACTCACCCAACTGCATTCTAACCCAAGTTTTGGGATTCACTGTCAAGGGTTCAAGCGTCATTTACTGTTATACATTTCAAATGTCATAATTTCAAGTCTCATAAACATGCATTCACACACATTTCCTTCAATAGCGAAATCCGCCATTGAAGTCATTCCTAGAAAACGAAATGTGAAAATTAGGGGCAAACCAGAAACTAAAATCTGGAATCTTTTGTGTTTTGGAATCCGGAATCTGCAGCGGTAGAATCCGGAATCCAGCACCTGGAATCCGGAATCCACAACGTGGAATCCAGAATCTAATACCGTCCTGGATTACCTTACATGAGGCGAGAAATACCGTACATTCGTTACATGAGGTCACACAACTCGGGTAATAGTCACGGTGAAAATTTGCATATTTGAGCGGTCGAACGAAAAAAATTATTTCTCGAAAACTAAAATATATTTTTACAAAACAACTACACCACAATTATTAGAACATATTGGGCTACAAAATATAAAAGTAGGAGGGAAAACAAATTTGGGTGACTTGTCGCTGTTTGTTTGATGCATGCTGACATTAGCTCTTAAGAACCACACATTGCGTGATCCAGTTCTAAGTCGCTTCATTACTTGAAATTGGATTTTGAGATAACTTCTTGAATTTTTTATATTTCGCTATGGAACTGTGACCCAGGATTGCAAACTTTAAAATATTGATGCATTGGGGAAATTTATTTTTTAATTAGGTTAGAGAGTGCAAGTTGCTAGAAGTTCTATTTCCATTTTGGAAAGGATGCCCTGTGGTCACCAAATACGAACGAAAAAAATTTTCGTCTCTAAGGAAATTAAGTCATGAAGATCTCAATTCTTAAGACAGGAAAAAAAATTACGCTCCTACTGCAATTTAAACTTTTCTCTTCCATTTATCCTCAAAAAAAATATTTGTTGGCTTTGCCTAATTATCAAAAATTGAAAAGGATGTTGCGTCGAATCATTAATGCAAAGTGAAAATAATAATTATGTTCTCCTCAAAACTTGCATCGACGCCATCAATATCCTCTAAAAAAAAATTGCTGTTCTTTTTAAATATTACCCCGGCACTTCTTAATTAAACGTAGCGAATTCAAATAAACTACGTTCTCGCGTGCCATATGGCAGTATATATTTTTTCCCATTTGTTTGTTTAAAGGCACCACAAAACTTTTGGGAAAAGTAAAAAAGTTAAATTTAAACGCCTTTGTAAACCAGACCATCATCGTTTTTAAGGCAAATAAACACACCCTCAAGGGACGAAGATAAACAGTGTTGGTTTAGGAAGCATCCTTATAAGTAAAGTATTCATTTTGATTATAAAACGTTGCTCATGTAGACTTTTTAAGGCTGTTTTAACAAATTTTTTGGAAAGAAGGGGAATATAGCTCGCGTTGCGAATGTGTCGGTTAACAAAAAAAGTGTGTTTTTTCTGTTAGTTCAAGAGAATTAGAGGTATCATTTCAATTTTACTATCTTACTACTCAACAGAAAGTAAGAAAATGCTCAGAAACATAGCATTTTCATGTCCTAATTTGTTCGCATACAGGCTTTTTTCTTTCAGAAATGAAGAAATGTTATGTTCGAAATAATTCAAATGATGTAAATGTAGTTAACTTGACCGGATCAAAGAAAACTGGCTTACCGTTAAGAATGTAACACGTTTTCTCCAGAGTTGCTAGCGAGGATTTCAAAACCTCTTGACAAATGATAGTTATCCGAGTTCATCCTCTTATAACTGTCATTAGAGTCACAATGGTTAATAAAAAAGTTATTAATAATTAATTTCTTGTTCCTGTGTGGCCCTTGAGATTATGGATACGTTGCTTTT